GTATCAAAATATAAGGGGTTTTAGAGTTTCTATGCAAAATTAAATGTGTTTTTGTTAGTTTCGATTATTTATATTCTGCAGATTTTTTTTTCATTGGTTGGAATGTTTTGGATTCTGCAAAATATAAGGGATTTATTTATATTATAAAACAGAGGGAGTATAAGATAATAAATTTATGCAGTTTAGGGCTAATGTAAAAATAAGCAATATGATCTAACATATTGGTTTTGGAAATGTGAATTTGTGATCTTCAAACCCGGAAGATTATATTGGTTTTGGAAATATATGCTTTCCTTTTATTAAAAACCTTTGCCCAAAATCAAGAAAACATTTAAACATGTCAAGAAACATATCCCTAAAGGTGGAAGAAAATGTTTTGAGCTAAGAGAAGCACAAGGCAACATCTTTGGAGACGATACTTCTTATCTGTTTTTCAACAATTTCGGCTCAACTTGAGCTTCTTCACCATTGACATCAGATGGTTCATTAGGAGGAGGAGCGGTTGTAGGAGGCTCGTCTTCTGGATGAAAAGATCACAGGTAAATCTTTAACAGCTTAAAAAATTGTAAGAGTGACAGCTCAGCAAAATTGACCTTCAATGTTCCTTTTCATATATAGAATCTCATAATGGAAAGTTGGTTTATTTATAGCCATATTCACTATTGTGTGATGGTTTAGAGAAGAAAATAATAGTCGCGGTTGCCAACAAATTGGGTTTGGTATTATAAACCGGATACCAAATCATTCACAAGCACATAGTAAACAACAACACTAACTCGAACAAAAAGACAAAGATGCAGAAATTATGCAAGGCGGCAAATACGAAAGCAAATTAAATTGTTTAATTTCAGTTGTGTAACACTGTAGTATTAAAATTCAAAAGGTAAAAAAGGAGCTCAATGATTTCACTTTAATTTTTTTGACCAAAAAAAACAAAACAAAATGAATTAAATAATGTTTTATATCAAGATTGATTTCGTTTTAAATTAAAAGTTTATTTTTAAAGATAATTTATACCCTTGATTGTAACATCATTATTTAATTTTTTTGAGATAAAATATACATATTCCACGATATGAAGTATATATGTGCTCAAATTTAAAGGAAAAGATCCAGTGAGTATAATAAAAGAGATAGGAGACATAATTTGAAGTGCAAAGAATCAAACTGGTTACACACTGATAATATTACAAAATGACTAATTAACGCGCAAATACTAAAAAAGAAAACAAGATTGATATCAATTCATGAAACTCCTAAAAAAAACCTAACATTCTCTACATAATCCGAGAGAAGAATTAATCTTACAAAACGCGTCCCAAACTCATAGTCTGAGTTTACTTCAATCTTAATGTTTCTACAACTATTGCCACTGGGATTGTAAAAGACAACGTAAAACGCACTACGCGCATGATAAGGTGCCAAAATAAACTCACCCGTATGAGTAGTGCCTGTTATCTGAAATCGTTTATTTGTAAACTCTTACAATAAGGTTCGACGCTGAAACTTGTCTTCAACCATCCATGTTCCTCCATAACCCACACATTAAACGTGTATACTGAAAGCTTTTGTCGCTATGGCTACTTTCCCCTCATACTTTATCAAAGTATACCATATGGACTATAAGATCTGCGGGTAAATCAGTTAAGAGATCCAACTTTTCAGACCTCACATCAAATCTCATTAAGCTCCGTTGCAACATTACTTTCCCCGTGAAAGCAAGATAATACAAAACACCATCTATGCACAAACCGTTAGACCAAGGACGGTGAGGAATGCTACAATCCATCACTCTCCATGATTCTCTTTCTCCAATGTGAATACTCTATCGTGAGATAACTGAAACTTTCGATGATTATTATCATGAGGTCTTTCCGTCAAGCACAACACTTTGTATTGATCATTGACCGGATCAAACCCTAAATAAGTTTTGACGATCTTTCTCCTCGTTACGACTTTAGGTAGAGTTATGGACTTACCAGTAGTGGGATTATATATGATTTGTTCTTCGCCAAATCCAAGGCTTATTAAGCCATTCACAAACTGCGGGAAGTGCTCTTTGTGCTCAGGAGCTGCGAACGGACATGTAAAACGTGATATACAATGACGTTGCTGAAGAAGAAGACGAGGAGAAGAAGTCCAAATTGGCGTCTTTCTCTGTAATCTGAATTACTGAAAGTGATTAGGAGACGAGGCTGCGACGACGAAGACCCAAACGGAAAAGATGTGATGAAAGCTCGACTTCGGATGAACGTTTCCCATGACTTGGATACTACTAGAAACCTCGCTACGGATTTCGACGGCAATCTCCCAACGATCTCGATCACTAAGTCAAGAGGGATTTGGACAAAGTGTTTTCATCTTCCGACGCTTGTGAATTGATCTTGTTCACGGTCTTGGTCCTTTTGCTGCGTCTTCTTCTCATGATCGATGATGGCTCTAAAACCCTAATCTCTTTCTCTACTCTTTGTTAGTAAAAATCTACAAATTTCGTATTAATGGCCTTGTGTAACCGGGATGGGCCTTCAAGGATACGGTTTAAGTAAGTCAAAACGCAACCGTTTAATTATGCGTTTAATCGATAGTTGTTTTTAATTTACTTTGGTTTGGTTCATATTGCTTCGCATGTGCTTGCCATTACTGATCATTAGGCATTTGTGCATGTGCTCCATCGTATAGCAAAGTTAACTTTCTTCTTCTTTTAAAAAACTTTTGAAAAATCAAGTGTTGCTATGTGGTAAAACAAGTCTCTGTTTTCTGTTGTGTCTGATTTCAGGGATAACCTATTTCAAAGAAGCTTGAAGTTGCCATGCTAATGGCGAGAGATGATGCAAAGAAGATCATATCTTCAGAGGACATAGTCAGGTCATTAGCTCTGCAGGTATAGTCACATTCACAATTTTTTGTTTCCGACATCATTTGCTAGTCCTATTAGATATGATTCTTGAGCTCCTCCAATGGAGTTTTCACTCTTTTTGCTTCTTATAGTTGAAGAACAGAGAGCAACACATTTGTGAATTCGTAATTGACAAACAGAGAAAGAAAACAGAAGTTTAAGTTTGAACCTTTTGTTTTGTGTGATTTTGATTTTTGTGTTTCAGGTTAATCCAGCCCGCGGGCTGACCCGCAAAGCCCGCCAAAACATGCGGGGCGGGCTTGGGCCTATAAAATTTATTCGCAACCCATGGCGGGCCAACCCGCACGGACGTATCAAAAAGAAGAAGCCCGATGGGCTGGCCCAGGCGGACGCGGGCTGACCCGATTGACAGCTCTAGATTTGGCCTATACTGGTTTTGGAAATGTATGTTTTGCTTTTGATTAAAAAAAACCTTTGCCCAAAATCTAGAAAACATTCAAACATGTCAAGAAACATACCCCTAAAAGCCTCTACCATGTGCAGATAAATGTTTTTGAGCTAGAGAAGCAAAAGACAACATCTTTGCTTATGGAAGAATCATCATGACTTCTGCGGTTTTGGTGGCTGCTAAGGCAAAACTTGAGCTTCTTCACCATTGACATCAGATGGTTCACTCGGAGGAGGAGGAGCGGTTGCAGGAGGCTCGTCTTCCGGATGAAAATTGATAGGAAATTTAGTAACTCTCGGTTTATCAGAGAGTATGTTCCTCTGTACTTTATCAAGCAAAACCTTACTCGGAGGCTCTTCCCTAAGCTGCTCATCACCATAGTCATTGTTCACATAATAACCAACTCTCAAGAACTCTTGACCTGTATAAGAACATGTCAGCAACAGCACCGTGACACCGATTATATCTTCCTCGCGGATCTTTGATGGATCTGGAGGATCAGCCTGTAATAAAAGTAAATGGACAAAATGTTAAGATCATCAAGAACTCTGTTTTGATAGACCATAAATAAACAAAATGCTTAATGTTATGTTACCTGCAATACAAAACGGTAGTTGCCAACATTAACAGGTCCTACGAGTACACTCTCTAGAAGTTGATCGTATGTCTCATCTTCTGCTGATCCTACGTATATCAGTTTCCATTCCAAATCTGCACCAAACGCAAAGCTGGTTTAATCCATTGCATACCCAAAATCTCCAAAATCATAACCATAACTAATAATTTTTTCAAACTACAATCATCAGCATACAAGTTAGTGTCAAGTATCATAGAAACAGAGACTGAATTATAAGCAAAGAAGCAGGATCAAGCCTTAAGCTGCTACAGTTCTCTATACAAACCCTTTTTCATCATGTTATCAAATCAAAGACGAGAACAATTTAGGGGAATTGAGAAAAATTAGAGATTTATACCGTCTTTGAGAGATGTCAAGCACTCGTATGAAATCTCGAACTGAAAAGGGCTGACGAAAGGAGCAGGATTATCTAAAACGGCGACGTTTGTGATGTTGATTGCGCTCATCAGAGAAGAAGAAACCCTAGATTCAGAGAAACTTCATTTCAAATTTCGGATAAAACAAGTTGCTTCTTCGAATAAACAGCGAAATTCGATTGGAAAATCAAAAACGGAGAAGCAGAGAAGGAAGAGTTTAAGGGTTTTTTCTCTCTCAGAATTTGTACAGGATTTAATCAACGAAAAAGCTCGAGAGAGAGACAGAGAGAGATTGTTTATCTGTTTGAGCTAATGGAAGAAGATGGTTTCAATTTAGGAGTGTGTTGTTCGTTCTTGTAACCGGTCGTTGTTGGGGAAAGTGACCGGTTATCACCGGTAAGATCATTTGGCGGGAGGGCGGTACTTAACCGGGAGGCAAAATGGAAACAAAACTGAAACTCATGTTTGATTATTAAACACACAAAAGAAGAAACTCTCACTACCTTAATTTTAGATTTTAATTACTACTAATCAATAACTTAGCTAAGGAATATTTACAACAAGTTTGCAAAGCGATTGCAAAACATAAATAGCAACACAAACTACTCAAAATATTGTGTGCTTGGGTTGGCTTAATCCCCTAAACGAACCAAAACATTAAAAATGTAAGAAGCTGATCAAGTAGACAGATAAAGAGCCAAGTTAGTGTTGAGACTTGATGTTCATTTTTCTGGTTTGAGCATGAAACATCTCTGCAATATCAGCAGCCGTGCTGCACTCCTCAGGATTTCTATCGTTCACTCTACCGATAAACCTCGGAAACCTAACAGAGATGCCTCTTGACGGATGGACCAGACCCAAAGCTGCATGGTGCACAGGTGAGACTGTTAAATCCGCACCTCTGATCTCCCAAACAGCCTCTGCCGGAAACCACATGTCCGGTGTCTCCCCTGTTCTGTAGTAAGCCGGCTTTTTCGATAGGATCTTGTCCTCCGAGTACAACTCTTTCATCTGCAAGATAACAAAAATGTAGATGCTAGAAACACGCTGAGTTGGTTCTCAAGTCACAATTAGAGGCCAACATATAAACCAACACTCGTATATTTCATCATCAAAGGTGAATAAATGGAGAAGTAGGAATATGTAGTTGAGATTTTTTCGTTACCTCGATGTAAAAGGCATCAGAAAAGCCAGACATGACACGGCAGACACTCTGGAACTCCTCGGTCTCGGGGTTGAAACAGGCCATGAGGAATGGACTATACCTACACACAGACACACACAAAAAGAAGAATCAGAGACTTTGCTTTACCAAGAAAACGAGAAATATGTTTTTGACTAACCATCCTGCTTTTCTCCCATTGCCATGCCAAGCACCTATAGGAACTAAATCCAATGTGTCACCCAATCCATCTACGTAATCTCGCTTAACCTAAAACCAGAACAAAATTAGCACTATTTTGATCCGTTTTTAGCACTTTTGTCTGTGATAAGATAATTTTACAGGATGAGACCTTGAGCCATGAATCAGAACGTTTTGTAGGGTAGTATCCGGCATCAACATCTAAAGACTTGACCATGATTCCTTCAGATGATGACTGAAATGCTTCTTCTAGAAAAGCATTTATGCTACTCAAGGTCTCTTGATTATTCAAAGACGCTTCTTCTGCTCTCACCTGTTAAACAATGAACGGTTCAACGAAAAAGAAGCACTTTGTTACGATGGTTTTGGCTGTAACTTATAGGTCATAAGGTATTGTACTATAGCACTTACAGTGATTTCCTTAGCATACTCAAGATAGCCCGGCCTAGTCTCGGGGAAGACCTCCTTTAGACCTGAAAGTTTGAGAATGATCAGAGTAGGCAGATATGAACACGATAATGAAATATGAACGCAACGAGTTAGGAAAAGAGAGAGTAGGTTTTACGTTTTCGTCTATCACGGAGGGGAAGAGCCAACAGCCTGCATTGTTACGTTCAGGAAATTATGATCCAACAAATATTTTATTAGGAGAAACGCAGAGGAAGGTGAAGATATTGAGCAGATGACATACTGTTCACCATTGAGGAACATGATATCAAATACAAAGACGCAGACTTCAACCTGCACAATGCCATAAGAAGAAAAGAAAATACATCTTGATAAAGCTATGGAGTAAACTGCAAAACTTCTTGATATAAAGGCTGATAAGCATTTAGCTATAGAAATAAGACTGTGAGGATAATGCGTTCAATACCTTAATGCTTTCTGTAGTTACCGAAGTATCTTTGCTCCCTCTCTCTCTTGTTGACAACTCTTGGAACGACATGAGTTTATTTCCATTCTTTCTATCAGTTGCAACCACCTGAACACGTAAAAAGACCAATACACCAAGTATGACCAAGAGAGTTCATGATAAACCGGCAAAAGGTCCTTTGCGTCATTTCTTGACGTTTGGCAAGATGGGTTTGGAGAGATAAAGATGCATCACAGTGACTAAGATGGAATATTCTCCTACCTCTGCGTCCAACATGAATGTCTCAGCAGCTGGGGAAGCAAACTGTTTTACAACACTGACCAGATCCGGAAATCTAGAAGTTGACTCATCCCCATTTCGAGAGAAGATACGCACATTACCATCAAGTAACTGATGGATCTGGGCACGCTGGCCATCATATCTGAAAGTTAAAATTTAGACTTAATAGCAAGGTAATTCAGGAGATTAATGGAAATCAACAGGATGCAAAACAAGATAGATTCATGGTTTGTGAGACAAACTAACTTGTATTCACATGTAAAAGCCTTGTCTTGGAAGATCTTGAAAACATCTTGAACCCCGTTAGTGATTCTGCAATGAGAAACAGAAAAGTTAATAGAGGCATGAGAGCAGTTCTGGTCGTTATCTTGAAAACAAAGCTATTATCATTCGAAGTTCATGGAAAATTACTTTGCAAGCATGGGTTTTATAGGTATCCCTGGGACCATTGACAGAGTTGATGTTGAGAACTCAATGTCTCTGTCCATGAGAGAAGGAACAACCACGTCCTGTTTGAAAACGAATAATATTTTCAAATTGATGTCTCTATTTGTAAACTCTCGTAACTGTACTACTGAGTAAGACAAAGCACAAATAGTTCAAAGGCATCCTAGAGTTGTTAATTGCATAAAATAAAAAGTTTAATACAAGAAATTATGTTACGGAAAAATAAGTCATTTGGCGTGGAAAATGGCAGAGCGAATAGATGCGCAAGCTCACCAGAGAAGGAAGTATATTGTAAGCCTCAACTACTGCAGCGGAAATACCCTGAAAACTTGAGCTTTCCTCTTAACACAAATAACTGGTGACAAGAAAAAACTTCGTCCGAACTGAGAAAGGAAATAAAATTAAACCTCAAGTTTCTCTCTGAAACAGTTCTCTGATGGTTCATTGTTATGGCAATTCCAGAGAGAATTCATAACGACTGCTCGCCCCAGTGCAGGAAGAACGGTTCTCAACATAGCGCCAATCCTTAAATTACGAGCCTGAACAAGGAAATAGCTGTGTTTAAAACGTAGAAGCTGTGAACAATATTTGGGGAAAGATATTCTTGGAGAAAATCTTACTAATGTTCTAACTAGAAATTTGATCTCTTTCTCTCTACAAAACCGCATTAGCTTCACGATCAGGTTTTTCTTTTGCCTGTTACTTCCAGTACCTGTCTGCACACTGATGAAAACTATTAAGAGCATACTAGGAAACAAAATGTGGCTATACAGCAAAGATCACTATAATCATCCGAAACTATGCTTTAACTGGAAGAAATCTAAAACCAAATACCAAATAAAAATTCACATACGGTTCTGCTTAAGTAGAAAATTTATCAACAACACATTAGTATTTGAATATAGCTTATAGTGTCAAAACCAACACAAGGCTATCAAAATATAGTTGTCTCACTAATAATGCTATAACACAATGACACATAATCAGTAATGTTCTTTACCTTATCTTTCGTAGGGTTGCAAACACATCTCTAAGTAGAAGTGGAGGTGGAGGAACCAGTAGCTTTTGCGTTTGTCGACATAGCTGAGCAACGTCCCCTATAAATTTTGAGAAGTAAAACCCGTTTTTAGTATAGATTTTGCTTCAGCAGAACCGTACATTAACTGTAATGGCATAGATTTGTCTTTACCAAGATCCCCAATTCTGTTATACATCTCCTTCATAGTAGACCGGCTTATTCCACATGCTTCTTCCAATGCAGAAGAGATCAGACTTCCACCAATGTTAAGCTCCTGCCCAATTGATACATGATTTAGTCTTATCTTATGTAAATAACAAGAGAAGGCAAAAGAATATAAGAGACTTGAACCGACAATATTCTCATGGTCAGCGGCAATCTTATTTGTGCAAAGATAAACAGCTGGCAGCACATCTTCTGGAGAGAGAGCCAACAAGCTGATGGATGAGAGAATTTTACAAAAATATATAAGTGCCAATCATCATTGCAGCAGCTTTATCAAAAGAGCGAACGGGAAAGAAAGAGAGAGTAGGAAACCTTCTAAACATGTTGCAAAGCATAGACGTAGCTTTGATCTTTCCCTTTTCACCTTCAACGGACGCGAATGTTCGGACGAGGTGGAGATATGGAGCAGCCTGTCCCTCCTTCCAACAAGCTGCATAATACCAAAACACATATGGGTGTGGATGCAAACTCTCTCAAAATTCCTACCACAGCAATTAATTTCGTTGCAAGCAAACGCTCTCAATATTAAGGAAATATAACAGATATGGTATAAAATTTAAAAGATTGTGCTTATAAATACACCAACCATGCTCTTTGGGGTTATACTTTTCAGGAGGCAGAGATACATAGTTTTTGTCCACAGTTTCCTCTGCTGATGTCGTCTTCCCACATAAGTTAACTGCAAGTCCTGACTTTTCTGACGCGTCGTCCTGAGAGGAGCACGCTTCTGGACATTGCGGAAGCTGAATTGATTTGGTAGAGAGTCCTACTCCACCGTCATCTGCATGCTCACCAGGTGTTTCCTTACTGTAATAGATGTTCAATGCCTTGTTTATATCTCCTTTAGCCTCACTAATAATTGAAGCAGCATAATCTCTTAAAGATTCAGAACCATTAACAATCTCAAGAAACTGATCTGTTACTTCTTTGTATGGTTCTGTAGCATAATCACGGACCACATTTTCATCTGCACCGCCCTCTTTCGTCTCAGCACCAACACCAATAGAGTTAGATCCACTATCCAAGACCTTATTGAAGAACTTAGTTATGGTTGACTGCGCTGGACCAACAACTGGTTTCACTTTCTGATCTTTCTTGGCCTTCTTGTTTGACTTGCTTTCTATGCTTCTGCCTCTCTTCCTAGGAGATATACTACTCTTTGTCAAACCCATTTTGCTTGGTAAGTCAAAAACTTTTTGACTTGCTTGACCATCTACACAAGTGCCCTTAAAAGGCTTCAGTTGCAAGTCGTCATCAAACAAAACAGCCTGATTTTCCAAGGAAGACGTCGCGAGAGAGGATTGCTTGTAAAACTCTGCTTCACGTTCATAAAAGTTGCTTACTATGTCTACGGGATTACCATCGTGTTTGTTAATCAGTTCTAACATCTGCTCTTCATTAACCCACGCAGGCAAAGAATCACGTAGCTCTATCAGCAATCTTTCAGTCACCAAAGACTCACTTCTTGGAGCTTTATCATGCAACAAGGGATCATTATCTACACCGTCTTCACACTTCTTCTCATCTTTCTGATTCTCATCATTCTTCTGATACGACTGACGATAAAACCCCAACAAAAACTGTTTCTTGTTCGCCATTTCATCAACCAATCCAGCAAAATGCTTCTGCATCTTACAAACCTCCCTACTACCAAACTTCTCTACATCAACTCCAACCGTAGGAATCACTCTCTTAGGCTTCAAGAACTTTATATACTCTCTAAGCTCATCATAATTCGAATGCTCGCTATACGGTACAAGATGAATCTCCATCGAGTCTTTACACTTCACAGCAAACTTATTCCTCTTCACTTCATAAGTCCACCCTGTAGGCACAAATCCCACAACTTTCTCATAACCTTTCTCAACCATAATCTCATTCATCTTCACGAAATTCGGTCGAAAATACGGCCAAGTCTCACCTAAAACATTCCATGCCACAACATGAACATCACTCTCATCTTCATCCTCTGTGAACATTCCTTCCTCTCCACATCCTAATATAGACAAAATCGACATTTTCCTCGCATCCACAAAGATCTTCCTTTTGCATCTCTTTGCGATCTCAATCAGAATCTTCTCTTTACCAATAACATAAGTCGCAACAAGAAACAAAACTTTCTTCTTCGTTTCCTTAGTCTCTTCTTCGTCAATCTTATCTATCACATTAACCACATAATCAACCGACTCGTCTTGCTTGGGGAAAACGAATTTCGGATTGCAATAAGTCGTGTCTAGGAAAACACCATCGCACCCAATAAAGCCGATGAGAGACGAATCGAATCGCATCGAATCGGAGAATCTGAAATCTCCGGTGTGAACGTACCTCTCAAAACCGCCGTTCTCTGATTTGACTTTGAACAGGAACTGTACGGCTCCTGGGCAGTGATTTGCATCGATTAGAGAAACTTCGGAGCCGTCGATCGCAACTATTTGATTCATCGGTAGAGGGAAGACGAACTGCGACGGGACTTGGAGGATTTGTTTCACGAGGAGAGCGGTTTTGGGAGAGCAGTAGATGATTCCTCGGGACCATGAAGAGGAGAGGCCGGAATAGTGATCGGAGTGGAAGTGTGAGAGGAAGAAAGCGACGGAGGAGGAGGAGGAGGAATCGGAGGATTGTGGGAAGCGGAATAGGTCGACGATGAAGTTGGTTTTGGGGATTCGCTTTGATTGAGGGATTGAAAGAGATGATAACGGTGGTTTTGGTGGAGGGGGTTGTGGAGAAAGAGAGGAAACTGCTGATAAGTAGAGCTCGGTGGAATTGAGGTTTAGGGTTTCGGCGTTCTCGGCATTGGGGAAGTTGCCGGCGATTGTGTCTCCGGCGGAATTGGATGACATGAGGAAGATGAAATGGCGCCAAAATGCGACGGTTTAGGGCTTTTGCGTTTCCTTTTGTTTGCTTTTCCGAGAAAATGCCACAAGCACACTGTAAACTGGATTGTTCCGGGGTAATTGTTTTTACACAACAATTGACAAAACCAATACGACAATGCATTATTTTAGCAAAATATTGTCGTATAATGTGCAAATGATGAATTGTTTTAGCAAAATATTACCTTAGATAAACCAACATAAATTAAAACATTATGTTTGGTTCTCTTTACCCAGATTAGAGTTCTTTTTTCCATCAAGAAAAAAGTTTTAAATCATTTTTTTTGTTGAGTTTGTGATGTTATTAGAGAGAAAAAAAAAAACTTAGAACTCTATTTTTGAAATAAATAATGATCCATTTTGGGAATTGTCCAAGAATCTAAGAGATGTGTGTTGCGAGCATCATATCGATTATAACAATAAAGATTTTTGATTTATTTAAATACCACTGCGTAGCCGTAGACAATTTACTTTGTTCATTGTGTTGTTGTTCTTTCATTGTTGTCTTTTTCTTCTTCTTCTTCCTTTGTTTTTCTTTTCTTCTTGATTCTTAGCTGCTTCGGAGTCTTTAGTTATTATGATTGAGTCGAGTCTAGAAAAAATAAACGCATATACCATGACAATTTATGATCTAAAAACAGAGGATAACGAACATTAACCGAAATTTCTTCTTCCGTTCAAATTTCAAAACATCAACAGGTTACTTAAAAATTCTCAAATTATATCCTCCATTGATTCCAACATGATACTTAAAGATTTATAGCTCTTTAATCAAAATATTATGTGATATGAATTTGCAAATTCTCTTCTATGCATTTTTTGCATGTAACATATGGATGCTATTTTCTTTAACAAAAAAACATATGGATGCTATTTTACAACTTCGCCTTTGGAAAAGGTAATGTCTAAACACATATTGTTGTAAGTTGTAACTTTGTTTATCAAAACTCTGTACTAACTACGAGGAGAAGCTTTTAACAGTCCAGTGATTGTTGTAACTTCTTACGAGCTAAAGCACCTTCTACGAAGAAGAAAAACTTATTACACTAACAGTGGACATGGATTGTCACAGAGGTCAGATAGACTTCAACATCATGAATTACGAATTAAAGTAAGAGTAGTCTTGGAAATATATAGAAAATAGCTTAAGGATAAAAAGGAAGCTTGAGCGGCATTTGCAGCAAGAGTAGTCTTGGAGCAACCTGGAGGACCAATGCCCATTTTTACAAACGCAGCTGAATGTTTGATTGGCCATTCAATATTAGAGTGATGAGAGAAGAACACATTTGTGTGTAGGAAGAAGTATATTAACTCTCATGAAGAAGATGAATATCATGTTACATAATTATATACTAAAGAGATTTCCTAAACTAGATAGACACAAATATGTAAATATCTTTATATAATAAATATACAATATTTGACAATAATATTGATGATCTTCTGGATCCTTCTACATTCAACAGCTTGCTGGAGCTTTTCCTGTCACAAGAGTAAAAACAAAACCGTTATTTGCAGTGAAGTTAACAAGACAAGAAAGTAAAGATGGCTTGTTATTTAGAGTCTTTAAGACCACCAACGTCGTCCCATGTCACTTTAGGGATTTCAACTGTGATGCCTCGGACCAACCAAAATCAGCACTTAGCAAAATCCCATTAAAGAAGTCAATATATTACCTGCAGGATGTTCAAACGATCCTCCTCATTTGGCGTGCAACCTTCAATTAACGTATCGAATCGTCCCGCCCTTGTTAGCGCTGGGTCGATCGCATCCACCCTTTTGACATGATCATCGAAAAAACCATTGAATCATTGCATTCAAATACAAAAGTGTTAAAACTAAATGTAATGTTTTTTTAAGGTAGACAAGGACAACAACAACTCTTGGTGCAGGTGTGCAATGATGAGTAAAAAAAGCAGAAAAATTAGTTTTCCACACAAACACAAAGAAGCATAGAAACATAAATTAGATTTAGCCAATTGCTCCATAATTTACTAAACAAAGTAGCTTAAAACAATCAAATGTGCAATGATGAGTAAAAAAGCAGACAAATTTAATAACATTGAAAAGAAATTGACAAGCTTAGATCAGGTACTGGATGTTTACTTTGAGACCAAGAGTTCAAGCTTCGAGAGGGTAGGGAAAAGGAGAGATTATGACTTCACTAAGAGCTTCCAAAGCCCTCTCGTTGCCACCGATTTCTGCTTTCGGTTGCCATCGGATTTGAGCAGAAAAGAAGCACACTTTGGAATTCACAAGTTTTGGGCTAAAATCCTAGTGATTTCTCGTCTAAAATCGATTCAAGTCACTGAATCGCCTTTGTATCGCATCAGAGAGGAAGAAGAATAGAGAGACAAGGCAACATGTCAAAGGGACACGTGTACCTTACAAACGTCGCTTAAGCGAGATGGGCTTTAGCGACCCCGTTAATGATGCTCCAGGTCCAGTTTATTTTATTAGTCTAACTCTAACCCATTAGGACACACAAAATAAGCCATTAGCTAAAATTTAAAGAATAAACAAACCAAAAAAAAGCATTGGAGAGTGACGAGAGTCTTCTTCAAGAAGTGGAAGAGTTTTTGTAGGTTTTAAAGTGGAAGAGTTTTCTGGGTAACTCAAAAGTCTTTCCTAATCAGAAATGAAGCGTTCTTCTTCAGAAAATGGAGAATGTTCAAGAATCACTCAACCACAAAAGAGGAACCGAACACGCTCGGGAACGGTAGAGGGAAGGGTAGATCTTGATCGTCTTGACTGTCCTATTTGTTACCAGCCATTCACTGTCCCAATCTTTCAGGTATACGCTTTCCAAATCTTGAATCTTTTTATTAACCGTGCATGCATTTATAAAGATGATAACTGAAATCACGGCCACTGAATTAGTACTCGTAGCTTGGTGTAAAGATCTTGAGACTTTTGTAACCTCACTTAGGGTTTTGTTTTTTCTCTTTCATATTCTTCTTTGTAATTTGATGGCCGGTGGAGATTTTTTTTCTAAGCTTTTCGTTTGTTGATTATTAGACTATATATGTTAAAATCCTAATAACAGATCGAGATTGGATTTCTCTTTCGCCTGTAGCGACACTTTAGCTGCTTATCAAGTTTATTGAATCAAGTACTAGACAATACACCAACATATCGTTTAATATCAATATATTTAGCGTTGAAACATTTCATAAATTTTGCCTATAAAGATTTTCAAATTCTTCTTCTTGTAATTTAATACCGGTTTAGTTTTTTTTGTAAGCTTTGGTGTGTGTTTATTTACATCTGATTTTCAGTTTTATCTCTCTTTATTTCTTTCATATTCATGTGCTCATTGCTTTATTTCTCTTTATTCCTTTCATATTCATGTGCTCATATTTAAGTGTTGATATGAAATTTGAATGTAACTCATTGCTCTTGAATTTCAGTGTGACAACGGACATGTAGTTTGCGGTGTTTGCCGTCCTAATCTGAATCTGGATAAATGTCCATTCTGTGCTTTGCCCATTGGTAACAATCGCTGCAGAGCAATGGAGAGCATTCTTGAATCAGTCACTGTCCCATGCCGAAACGCCCACTTAGGCTGCACAAAGTATGTTCCTTACGGGAGAGAAGAATCAAATCACGAGAAGGAACATTGCAAGTTCTCTCAATGTTCTTGCCCTGAGGCTGAGCTCGAACATTGCAAACACACCGGCGTCTACAACGAAATCTACTTCCACTACATGGTTTATCACTTGTTGAAAGACGATTGTTTCTTCACTTTTGGTGAATCCAAGAAAGTGCGGATGCTTATAAGCGAAAAGAGTTTGGTTCTCAAAACGCTTCTCAGGAGTTTAATGTTCGTGATGCAATGTATCAGGGAGCCTAATGGTGTTTATGTGATGATAAGCTTTCTTGCACCGACGTCTCCGGAAGTTGAGAAGTTCTCTTATCGGCTCTCGTACTCTTACAATGGGGAAGAAACTCATACTCATGGACCGTTGGAGATGAAGAATGTTCTTAAAGTGAGTTTTCAGATCCCTCAAGAGAAAGAAGATGCCATGTTTCTTCCTAACAGGTTCTTGCGTGGCGATGAATTGGAGTTGGAGCTCTGTATTAAGGAAGTTGTTTAATTAGGTTTGGTTTGGGATCAAAAGATGTTTAAGTCTTTTTCTTTTGTTCGGAAGTAGTTAGGTCTGGTTTGCTTTAAAGTCCCTTGGTATGTTCTTTTGACTTTTTGTTTTTACCATGGTTGACTCTTTGTTTTTACCATGACGTTTTGTTGTTCTGATGTAAAATTATGCTATAACTCTCCTCTGATTCCGTTTCTAAATGTGTAACTTCATTCCTTAATGTGTAATTTGAAGCATTAGTTTGTCTTAATTTAATTCACTTTTGTGGATTACCATATTTATCAAATACAGTTATTGTTACTTGTGAAGATTTACCAGCTAAATGTTATAAAAATCTAAAGCATGCAAACAAAGAAAGTCTCCGACGAAATAAAAAGAAATTCTTGCAAATTCAGTTTATTTAAAAACTCCTAACTCAATCAAGAGATTGAATCTTTTGTTTTTACTTTTACCTTTTTAACATATCACTTAGCCATCATAATCTTGACAAACTCCTCGTAGTTAATCTGACCATCTCCATCAACATCAGCTTCCTTGATCATCTCCTCGACTTCCTCATCGGTCAGTTTCTCGCCGACGTGGCGGAGTTCTGCGGCGGATATGAATCCGTTCTGGTCTTTGTCGAACACCCTGAAGGCTTCCTTGAGCTCTTCTTCCGAGTCTGTGTCTTTCATCTTCTTACCTAGTGACCTCATCACTATTCCCAACTCCTTCGTTGTGATACTAGAGATTAGAGAATATGGCAGATTCCAATATGATAATTACATATGAAACATGAATGTGTGCCAAAACGAATCATTTTGAGCTTCAAATGTCAACAATCAACCAAATACATAAACCATCAATGGATACAAGAAAAATGATCAGAATCTGAGACCTCTGGATCCAGCTGTTGTGAAAAAGGTTTGTCGAAAGAATCATTTGGAGCTTCAAATACATAACCATTAATGGATGCCAGAAATGTCACTAGAATCTGAGAATCTTTCAATATTGAAAACCCATGATAAGTGCTAAAACAAGCATGAGACTAAAAGTTTTCTGAGAATCTAAACCTATGGAACAATATGATTCCTTAAACTGTGAAAAAAACATTTGAAACTAGATTGATATACATATACATATATGAAACATGAATGAAACTAGGACTTGTCGTAAAATGTGAGTAGAATAAATCTTTTAGAAAATGTTTGTGAGAGATAGGATGGAAATTTCGACGTAAGACCAAAAGTTGGTTTATTTGTAACCATGTTCACCATTGTCTGATCGTTTAGCATAGCAGTGTTCAAGAATGCGCTAGGCGCTCAGCGGGCAGTGAGCCATTGCCTAGCGCCTAAAACACCTAATCGGGGCCTAGGCGATTGCTAGGCGTTTTTGAAGTTTACAAAATAAACCTATATATTATACATATTTTAAATATATTAAGTTTAAATACACTCAAAATATTAAAAGAGTATTAAAACTTTATTATAAAAAGTATAATATATTCATATTAGATAAAAACATGCATAAAAAATGAATTTTATTAAATTATAAATAAAATTTTATTTAAAATCACCGTATATGAATACTTAGACGCCAAGAAAAAAATCACTACAGTTTATGCCTAGCGCCTAGACCGCCTTTTAGAACACTGTCGTTTAGAGAAGAAAATAATAGTGGTTTTTAATCTGTTATCATTCATAACCACTAGTAGTAACAACAACACTAACTCTGACAAAAAGATGCAAAAATCATGCAAGGCAAATACCAAAGCGAATTAAAACAAAATTAATTGAATAATATTTTGAATCAAAACTAATTTCGTTTTAAAAGAATATACTCCTTCTGTCTTATAATATAAGCTGTTTTAGAAAAAAAATTTGTCCCACAATATAAGCATTTTGCTTTTATCAATGCACTTTACACTTTATGGAATGTTGTGTGTCCAATTATCTTCTACAGTTTTTTATATTGATTGGTTGGCTTTTATTTAATTAATATAAGAAACAATATTTTACTAAAAAAAAGCATTTACCTTAATTTTTCACTTTTTGCTAAAACAGCTTATAAATTGGGACAGAGGGAGTAGATATTAAAAAAATATTCAATAATGATCTTATAACATGCATCATTATTTAAAATTTCTGCCCATCGCGGATCACCAAATATGTAAGTACGTACTCCCTCTGTTTCATAATATAAGAGATTTTAGGTTTTTGCACAAAGATTAAGAGTCTATTTAATTCTTGTACCTTTTACAATAAAATATATTTGATCATCAATTTCAAAACATTTTAACCAATGGAAAAATATGTGCACAATATAAAGAATCAAAAGTAACAAAAACACATTTAATTTTGCACATAAATTTGAAAACCCCTTATATTATAAAACAAAAATAAAACTCTAAAATCCCTTATATTGTGAAACAGAGGGAGTATATATGTGCTCAGAGAGTATAATAAAAAAGATATGAGACATAATTTGAAGTACAAATATCACATAAGCAAACAAACGAAACAAACTGGTAATATTTTTTTGGTAAAACCAAACTGGTAATATTATTTGAGAGAAGACTAATTAACGGAAATATCAGAAAACATTATTGGGATTATAAATAACAATGCGTCCCAAACTCATAGTTTGAGGGCCTGATTGGTTTAATCGCTGCGTTTGCCGTTGCGGGTGCGGGAGTTTGCGGAAGCGGGCGGTTGTGATTAGTAGCGTTATTAAGCGGTTTGTACGACTGGCATAACAATTGAAAATGGATGCGTTTGCGGGATACTTATGACTGGTTCACTTGCGGATGCAATAGCGGTTAAACAATAAATTAATAATATAAACACATTATATAATTATAAAAATATCAAAACTATATTATAATGAAAATTTTAAATTTATGGTTCAACATAATTAAAAATAATTTTTTTATAAAGAATAATATGTGTATAATACTTACGTCTATCTTTTAATTTCTATAATTTAAATAAAAAATGTGATTTTATTTTCAAAATATATATTTAATGTGAAAATTAAATTTATATTACAATTTTATTTATTAGATATATATGTATTAGTATGAAAAGAATATTTATCAAGAGAATTTTGATTTGTAGAACTTATAAATATATAAGTATGATATGATTTTAATGAATATTGACTAAAAGTACTATTTTTTTTTATATTGTGATTTTATTATCCAAATCTTATTTTTTAATTTTTTTTTTTAATTATCCACCCGCAACCGCCCGCAACCGCAAACGCTGCTGGGAAGGAGCTTTTGATTTTGAGGGATGTTGAGGGATCTTGAGCGGTTTGAAGCGGTATAAAGCGTTTGTGGTGATTGTTGTCAAACGCCAATAACCGCTACTACCCGCAAACGCAGCGTTTGCGGGGAGCAGCGGGTGAACCAATCAACACCAGAGTGTACATCAATCTTAATGTTTCTACGCTATTGGGATTATAAAAGACAACATAAAACGCATTACGAGCATCGCAAGGTGCCAAAATAATCTTACCGGTATTAGTAGTGTCTGTTATCTGAAAATAGTCTATTTGTAAACTCCTACAATAAGGTACTGAAACTTGTCTTCAAGTCGTCATCAAGCAAAACAGCCTGATTTTCCAAAGAAGACGTGTCAAGAGTGGATTGCTTGTAAAACTCTGCTTCACATGCCTTCTCAGTCAAGCTTTACTCAACCTCTTTCGCATTTTCCTCATTCTTCTGAAACGACCGACGATAAAACCCCAACAAAAACTCTTTCTTGTTAGCCATTTCATCAAGACATCAACCAATCCAGCAAAATGCTTCTGCATCTTACAAACCTCCCTACTATCAAGCTTCTCAACATCAACTCCAACAGTAGGAATCACTCTCTTAGGTTTCAAGAACTTCATATACTCTCTAAGCTCATCGTAGTTCGAATGCTCGCTATACGGCGCAACCGCACAAGATGAATCTCCATCGAGTCTTACACTTCACAGCAAACTTACTCCTCTTCACTTCATAAGTCCACCCTGTAGGCACAAATCCCACAACCTTATCATAACCTTTCTCAACCATAATCTCATTATTAATCTTCACGAAATTCAGGTTGAAAATACGGCCATGTCTCACTTAAAACATTCCATCCCACAACATGAACATCACCAACCCACACCCGAATACAATATGGAAACGAAAAGAAAAAAATGAACTTCAAATAATATGACAAATACGAAAAATGTAAATAATAAAGTAAAAACATAAATATTGAAAAACAAATTGATAAAACATTTTTTTTGTTAAATAAAAAACAAAAGTTAAGAAAATATAGAGAAACTTCTTATTTAATATAAGGAAAGTTTTAAAAGATTGTCATAATTAAAAAAAAAAAGAAAAATCAGCGAAATCGATTAATTAATAACTCTATAAACTAATAAAATATTAAATTCCAACATTATTAATTAATATAGTTTCTACTGTATATCATTATGATTTATGAATGTCGCTAAATTCGTTAATATTATTATTAGCAAAGAAATAACTCAAAAGGTATCATAAAATCTCTGGAAAAATACCCTAAACTGGACTAAAAAACTTTGTATTCCAAAATAGATCCATAATTTGTTCTTCTCCAAAAATAGACCTAATTATATTGTGAGAACATTTGATTACCCTAAAAAAATTACACAAAAAAATAAAACATTATGTTTGGGTTCTCTTTTCTCAGATTAGAGTTTATATATCTTCCTTCAAGAAAAAAGTTTTAAATCATTTTTATGTTGAATTTTGTGATGTTATTAGAGAGAGAAAAACATAGAAGTCTATTTTTGAATTTTTTTTTTTAAATGATCCATTTTGGAGAATTTTCTAAGAATCTAAAAGATGTGTTTGCATTACTACAAGAAAACATATCATTAGTGTTGGATTTGAGCAAAAATTAGGTTTATGTTTTTACTTCTTTAGCTACGTCATGGAGGCAATTTCCCATGCAATCAAGAAGCATGCCTTTCATTGTTTCAGATATTTTGACTCCATCCGGTAGACATGATCCAAGCAGAAATAACAATCCTCCGGACACAAATTTATCTCCTCTTGCTTCCAAGAAACCTCCAATGTCGATCTTGAACTGATCAAGGTACGCTTCCCTGACCTCTTTCGAGAATCCAGTGCAATGAATGTCCTTGTTCAATGCGGGAGAGTTTCGATCAGCGATCCCTTTGGGAACTTGGGACAACCAATGAAGAGTGAGTAAGAACAATGACCCACATGGAGACTGTTTCGAGGATGAACACGGCCGAAGAAAGAGCTGGGAGGTCGTCCAACAAAGAAATTATTTTTGGTTGGGGGGAGTGTTTTGAAAAGGGTGTTGAAATTATTGTTGGAGTGATCGTTAAAGAGAACTTGAAACTCGATGTTATCTCTCGGGTTGTGCTGAGTTTCTTTACGATATTTTTCTTCCACGGCATCTATTATGTATTTATGTTATGTACTGCTAGGATAGCCTAGGAAAGTGTTAGGTCCGGTGGAACAACCAAAATCCGCTATGCTAAATCAATAGGAAGCTGAGTTTATTTCGAGTATAGTGGAGATGGCTACACTGATCTTTTCCTTTAAACGTCAAGCATCGCTTAATTTCTACAATAATTAATTCCACCAGGAGTAGATATTATGTTTATTAGATAGATATTCAACGCTTCAAATTAACTCAAAGCTGTTAAGTGTTTTAAGAAAATGTATTTCAATTTATGTTCTTGGTGGTAAATAAAGCTCAGAATTATATAGAAAATTTTGACAGTTTTTAGAAGAAAACAAAAATAGAATTGAAATATAAGTCCACTAGCTATGATACTTTTCACTATTCGACCAAAAAAATATATAATACTTTTCACTGTTTGTTTTTTTTTTTGAACAACTAAATAATACTTTTCACTATATATCTTAATACAGTATAACTGTAAAACTGAAGGCACCTCGATTTTGTTTTTTTTTGTGTGTGTGTGTGTGTGTGTGTGGACAAGGTTAACGTACAGTTCTCAGTATGGACAAGGAGGCAACTTATGTCTTTGCAAATAAATGTCTGATCTAAAAAACCAAACAACCCCAGAAATGCTGAAAATTTCACGAATAAAAATAAAACATGGAACATGTTTAAATGCTTCTTCACAGGCCCGCTCTAGGAACATAAGAGCTGTTGACAAAAAAAATGCTTCTTCAAAAACGATGAATATGTTCTTTAGAATTGAGATAGCAACGGTAAGATTTTTTTTTAGTTAACTAATTTGATACGTTGAATGCTGGCTATAGCTGTTTGGACCATCGCCTCCGGCCATCACGTACGAATGTGCCATCTGTTTTACTTTCTCTCTCAAAATCTTGAGAATATGATGGTTCTTCTGAGTTAATTTGGTCGATCTTAATTTGCACAAGTGATTTGTTTATTATATAGTCTCACATATTGGAAATTATACTGAAAAGAATAATGAAACAAGTAAGCCTGGGTTGTTTCATTCTAGACCCAAAATTGTGGTCAAATGCAAAAGTAACCTCCTGTTTTTTTCGTTTTAAGTTTGTCCAGTTTTTTCCAATTAATTACCGAAATGCCATTACTTTTTCGATTGGTAGACCGATATTTAGGTCTACCAGATCTGCTGAAAGACCAAACACCCCTCATCTTCTACACTTAATTGCCAAAATGCCATTTCATCAATGTTCACAACCACCATTTTTACCCAATTTGGAGCTGTTAATGCTCCGAAAACTCACTTTGGAGCTAGCATTTCTCCTTCTTTCATCTCACAAACTCTTATTCTTCCATTTTCTCTCCATTTTCATCCCAAAAACTTAAAAGAAAACTCAAATCTTGGGTCTTGGCATTTCCAATTGTTTAGCTTATGGTGATGACCGGAACTCGTAATTGAAGGCCTAAATTGAAGTTATCAGCCCTCGAAGAGCCTTTTTCCAACGGCCAGTAACTTTTCTTTCAAAATTCTAAGAATTTCAGTTTTGGTCTGTTAAGGTAGACTGAAGTGTAGGTCTACCATTACATAGTAGACCTCAGTTTAGGTCTACTGGTCAACGCAGAGTTGACTGTGCCATTTCCTTTGCAAACAAAAAAAATGAGTGGTAGACCTACACTTAGGTCTACTCCACGTGGAGGGTTAGTTTTGCAATTGATTGAGAAAAATGTTTTTTTTGAGGTCTACCTTGTCGGTCTACTCCACGTGGAGGGTTAGTTTTGCAATTGAAAGAGGAAAATGTTTTTCGGAGGTCTACCTCTTAGGTCTACCTAAAAAAAAAAGTTGGTTTTGCCGTTGACTCAAGTTTGACTTTCCTCAAAAAGGAGAGATTTTGCGTCATTGAGGTCTACCGTGTAGGTCTACCATCCGGTAGACCGCAAGTGAGGTCTACTGGTCAACGCAAAAAACTGAGGTCTACCACGGAAGTCTACCCAAGGAAAGTCAAACTTGAGTCAACAGCAAAACAAACTGTTTTCGGTAGGTAGACCTAAGGGGTAGACTAATTCAGAGGTCTACTTTTTTTGGTAGACCGATTGAGAGGTCTACGTTTTCTGGTAGACGTACACGGTAGACCTTGTGAAAAAGTCAATGTTTGGTCAATTGCAAAACTAACCCTCCACGTGTAGTAGACCGACAAGGTAGACCTCCAAAAAAACATTTTTCTCGATCAATTGCAAAACTAACCCTCCACGTGGCCGTCCACGTGGAGTAGACCTAAGTGGAGGTCTACCGTGTACGTCTACTCCGACGTCTACGTTTTAGGTCTATTATTATGTGTTTTTTAAATGTCGTTTTCCTTTCAATATATCAAATATTTTGAAATTTTCTCGAACAGTTAGTTGTTTTTATTTGTTTACTTGCTTCTGTGTGAGTTTGAAATGTTCTTTCGGCGTAATTAAGGTTATATTCGGTTTTCTTTTGAATTAGTAACTAGCTTAATTTCTGGTCTACCATATGCTTATTCTGGTCTACTAAGTAGGTCTACTTATTAGGTCTATTATTATGTGTTTTTTTAATGTCATTTTTCGGGTCAATATACCAAATATTTTGAAAGTTTTCTTGAATAGTTAGTTGTTTTTACTTATTTACTTGCTTTTATTTGAGTTTCAATTGTTCTTTCGGAGTAATTAAGGTTATTTTTGTTTTTCTTTCCAATTAGTTGACTAGCTTAATTTTCGGATAGACCGAAGTGGAGTTCTATGCGTTCGGTATACGCGTTCTATTTTACTTGCATATCTATTTCGCATAGATAAACTGAACATGAGGTGTATTTCACAGAGGTAGACTGAAAATGAGGTCGACGATGAAGATCTACATGCGAGGTCTACACGAGAGGTCTACGTAGAAAGTCTACTTTACGACTATGTCTTGTAAACACTTATCTGTCAAGGCTTTTATAATGTTTCTTGAAGTTTATAATGTTTCTTGAAGTTGTGATGGGAGTGAGATTTGTTTTAAAACAAACCTATATTTATCTTTTTTTTTAAGAAGATTATCATATCTTCTAGTTACTTTTTATAATTTTGGTGATATTGTCGTTAAAAGTAATGAAGTGGTCTCTTTGATGAAACTAAACATGTATTGGTGATAAGTGCAAATGCCAAAAGAGACCATGGTTTCATAATAACAAAAATCTTTTATTTTGAGAAGCAACAAAGTCTTACAATGAAAACTGTAACTAAAAACTCAAATCCGACAAGAAAAGTGTTTAAGCTGAAACTTAAAGCCTAGCTCAAATCGATAGGCAACAAGTGTTTAAACTTAGAAAAGCTCTGTTTTGTTCTTCATCTTTGCTCGCTGTAGACTCATCAACCATATCCCACAACTACTGATTCGGCAACTGCATATTCACTGATCGGTGCAACACCACCTGTATCAATAATGTATGGTTTAGCTTTGACTGTTTCAAATCCTGCAACAAATTTGACAAAAAGCAGACAAAATCTGTAAACAAACAAAGGCAAACAACACCAAACCAATTTCTCTCCGTAACGCCATGAACAGCTCCCTCCAGACCTCCCTTCACCAGAATGGCCAACAAAGAAAAAGAACTTCAGTGAGAAAAGTAGATATGAGTACCAAAACCAAATCCAATTTCTCTCCTATTTGCAGAAAGAACAAGTCAATATATGAACTCAATCATACACAACTAATTTCATACACTGTGAGAAGATTTATGACAAAACAAACCAAAAAACTTACATTAAGTACACAAGAGATTCCATGAGTCTTGAGAAGCTCAGAATCTCGTCTCTTTCCAAAACTCTGGTGAGAAGAACCAACAAAGTAGCCTGCAACAAAGTAGCACCAACAACACCAATTTTGAATCAATCAGTCACACACATCATTAAACTCACAAAAAGCTAAAAGGAAGAAGAGAAACAGACCTTGACAATGTTTTCGGAACCCTAGCCGCCACAATAGCCGGAACCATCCTCACCCACCGAACCACATATCATTTCTCCTCCGCTTCAATGTCTTCTGTGCTCGGAGCCTCGGACCCTCCTTCCTCTAAAGCTTCTTTGAAGCTAAGATCTATAAATATAGGCCAATATGTTATGTTCCGGCTCAAATATTATTTAGATCTGTTATGGAGAGAAGATAATAGCTTACCAGCAGTGCAGACGACGGCGGCCAGAGACTGGACGATAAAGGACGGAGGAGGTCCGAGAGGGTGGGGAGCCGCATTTTAATCAGGTGGAGACAGGTTGGACGGGAAGCACTGGAGGTGGAGGCTCCTTTCGAAACTTCGTCGGCGGCTCAGATCTGCAAACATAATCCAATAGGTTATGTATGGTTTCGACTTAAATTCTTGTTTGGATTTGTTCTCGAGAGAAAACCGATGGCTTACCGGGGAACAGAGACTACCATAGATGGCGGAATGGCTGGAGGAGAGAGCTGGAGGGACGGGAGAGTGGTGAGAGTCCAGAGGAGAAGCCTTCGTGAGCAGATCTGAAGGGGAAAAGCAAACGGCGACGGTTCTGGATCTGGATCTGGATCTGGAGGAGGAAATGGTAGCGGCGGATCGAACAAAGCCATATGATCTTCTTGGCTGAGAGAGTTGTTTCAACGGTGACAGAGATGAAGAAAAAGATGGCGGAGGTTCAAGGGGAGAGAGGAGAGGGAGGCGCCGTTTGAGAGAGAGAGAGTTATTTTCTTTCTAACAATTAGGTTAAATTTTTCCTTATATATGAAAGTTAATTTTCCGGTTTACTTATTCGGTTTAACTCAAAATTACGAAAATATTTTGATTTCAGTCTGTAATTTCCGGTTTCCAGCGTTTTGGTTTAAATTTTTGGGATTCCCGCTATGTTAAAATATTGAGTAGACCTATATTACGGTCTACTAGATTACTCTACTGGTTAGATCTACTTGTTAGGTCTACTTTACCCTAAACCCTAAATCGAATAATTTAGATACAATTTTGCAACGATTTGCTTGCCATATTGTCAATTTACAGTGTATATCACAATAAATAAACATTGAATCGTAAAACCAACCAAAAACAATTATTCATCTAAATTTTTCAAAACCCTACAATTCTCCCCATTAACTCCTAAACAATCTACTCAAACTCTTATCCTTATGAACTATTTACATATGATATTTATAGATTCATTAGTTTTATGAAATTTTATTTTTAATATATGTTAAATGTCTATTATTTCGTTATTTGTGAAACAAATATTTCAAATTATTTTTAAATTTTTTCTTAATTTAAATTTAAGATTTGATTATTTAGTAGACTTACTTGGTAGACCTCTCATGGTTTTATAGGCTTTTAACCTAATTTGTTTTTTTTTCATAGTTCAGTTGGTTCAAATCTATGAAATTATATTTTAGATAGATGCAAGTTGTCTGTATTGTAATTATGTATAAATAATTTTCATCAAAATATTTTTTCAATTTTTATAATAAAAATTAAATTTAATGATATAGTAGACTTACTCGGTAGACCTCACACATTTTATAGATATTAACCTATATGTCTTTGCTTATCTATAAATATTCATTTGTATGCATTCATATTTTTTGTAGATGATAATGTCTATATTAGAATTATTCATACTTGTTTTTGTATAAAAATATTTTTTATTGAATTGTTAATTAAAATTTAAGATGTTATTACGAGGTAGACCTCTAACATTGTCTACCAGGTAGATCTACGGGGTAGATCTACATGCTCGGAGGTTATAATCGTAATCGAGGCATGCGTTTTTTTGTTTGGTCATGAGGGCTTGTGGGGTAATTTTACTACCCAAAGAGGTTAGTTTTGCATTTGATTCAAATTGTGGTCTAGTTGACTAGAAAAAATCAAATTGTGGTCTAGAATTGGTAATTTCCCCCCAGTTTTGACCGTTGTTGATGCAAAAGGACGAGTTGGAGAAATCTAAAAGCTTTTCAATTTTCCACCGACGCTAATGTTCCCCGAATGATATAACCTTTTCTTCTATTTTACCAAATATTATTCATAGTACAAGACTACAAGTTAATAAATAACATTTGCAGTGCATGAAACATGGACGAGAGAGTAATAAAAAGGTACATGATAAGAACTTTCTTCACTGGTAAATCGACACAATTTTAATTAAACACGTGTTTTTGACTCACATATTGAAGACCAACATACAAGTTTTCTTCTATCGAAGTTACTTGACCAATCATAGTGGCAACAAAGCAGCAATGAGGATACAAATAAGACGAATGTGAAATCTTGAAATCTGTACGATGAAAAGCTATGTATATAAAAAAGCAAAACTATGTATAGAAGTAATAAAAAATAGAATAGAAAAATAACATATGGAATAATAACCTTCAACGATCGATCTAATATCATTACAAACATTTGTATATGAATATTATGGTAAAACATTTATTCATTTGTAGGATTGGGGGTAAATATCAGCGATAAAAGAAAGAAAAAGAGATAACACAAATGAAGAGGAAACAACAATGGAAACACAAATAAACATAGATCATAATTAATTACGTATTTGGATCATTAGTTCTTGCGAAGCACGATGAGGTACTGCATTCCAGGTTTGGCATTCTTGAAGCGAGAAAACTCTTCCCTTGCCTTAACCTCGACGAGCTCAAAGGCTTTCCTCATCACATCCACTCCAAATTGTGCGGATAAGAACGCTCCAAAGATGGCCTTGGAGGATGCGACCAAGGACTTGGGGTCTAGCGGAAATTCTCCATTTGGGTGAATGATATCCTCAAAAGCCTCGATTGTGAACTTTCCGTTCTCCTTTATGATTTGTCTCAACTCACCTTCCTCTGCTATGTAGAGAGGGGTGTTGAAAGAGTCCACCTTGTCTTGCTCAATGAGACCCTTTTTTAATATAGAAAAACAAAAGGTAATGTAAGCTAGTTATAGGGCAGTTCTCCAAACCTGATTATTCTTAGGTTTGGTTCCAAAAGTAGATCCCTATGTTCTCCAATAAGATCTTTTAAACTTGTGCACAAAGATTAAGAATTCATTAAACTTTTTATTTTTCCAAAATAAAACATGTTTTATCATTAACTGTAACATAATTCAACCAATAAAAAAATAATATGTAGAATTCAAACTGTCAAACCAACAAAAAAAAAATACACTAATTTATGCATTGTGAGAACACCACTTTATTTGTGAACAAAAAAAATCTCTAAAAGTCCACTTATTGAAGAACAAAGGGAGTAAGGGTTTTTCCTCAATATTATCACAAACTCAACATTAAAATAGATTCAAACTCAACAATAAAAAACTTATGAACCTAAACCCTAATTTGAAGAACATATGGTTTAGATTCATCTAAAATTGAAGAAATCTAAACCCTAATTTCTCCAAAATATATCTAAACCCTATTTTTGGGAAAAAAAATAACCCGAATTCAATTTGGAACCATAAATTAATTTTTAGGGATTAGTCAATGGTAAAAGATTATATGTACCTGTTGAGCAAGATCATTGAAAGAAGCTCCAATGCAATCCATCCCTACTCCTTTAAAGGTCTCAGACATCTTTACTCCGTCTCTTAGACAAGATCCAAAAATTAAAAATAATCCCCCGGGGATGAGCTCTTCAGCTCTGGCGTCCAATAGATTCTTGATGTCGACTGAGTACTGATCAAGATATGCTTTCTTGACCGCCTCATTGAAGCCAGTACAATGCATGTCTTTGTTCCACAGGGGAGAGTCCCGGTCCGTGATCCCTTTGGGGATTTTGGACATGAAATGGAATGCGTAATTAATCATTCCTATGTGGAAACTCTTCTTGGGAAGAACACGCTCGAAGAAGGAACAAGGAACCCCAGCGCTATAGTAACTTCTTTCTGGGGAAAGTCCCTGGAAGAGAGTGTTGAAATCGTTTTTGTTGTAGTCGTTAAAGAAGACTTGGAACTCGAAGTTATCGGGCAGGTTATTTCCTGTTTCGTAACGGTACTTGTCTTCTACAGCATCAATTACGTTTTGCACTGCCACAAAAGTGTTTGGTCCACTCGCACAACCGAAATCTGCTACATTGAAGCGCTTAGAAATCAAGTTGAGGCTGAGTTTAGCTGAGATTGCCTTGTTCATCTTTTCTTTTGCGGCTTCCAACAAAGCTCTCTATAAAACCAAATTAAAAGAGGAGATTGACAGATTGTTAATACATATCATATTTCAGATTTTAGTAGCTAGGAAATCTAAATCATTTTATTTATAAACCTGATACGAGGAATGTTGGTTGTAACTCTCAGGACCTTTTCCACCAGTCATAATCCACTGTGGAGTAGTAGACATGATCGAACTCTCTCTTCTTCTCACTCTTGCTTTTATTGTTTGCTAATTGCAATTTTTGTTTGTTATGATAGCTGTGGTGATCTACGAACGTTTCTATGCATATTTATATATTAATATTTCAAGCTTAAAACAGCTAACGTCAGGAATGGTGACGTAATATTCTTCAACAAGAATTACAATTGCTAACGAAATATGAGATTGGAAAAATAACATTGGCCACATATCTTTTTGCATTGGCCAGTACAGTTAGATCTAAGTACAGTACTGTCAGTACTTACACACGTATTCAACTTGGAAACGTAACTTTTATTTGGCTGAGACGAAGAATAGTATTAGTATAACAGTCTTACTGATTTGCTCTATCTAATTATAAAACTTATGCGTGGAAAGTACAACTCTGAAATCTGAATGATACTCTTCAGCTCGTTGTGGTAAGCAACTAATTAAATAGAACTTATGGGTGAAAACATTACTCTTACCGTACCAACATGTCTTACAACCTCTAACTACTATTCTGTAATTAATATGATTGGTAACACTATTGAGTTAAAAATGTTTTCTATCCATAATTCAACTTTAAAACATAATAACCCATGTTACCCAACCACAAAGATAATAAAAATGCAAGGACACCTAAAATAAACGAAAAGCCTCTTTTTCTCAAAAAAAATAAAAATAAACGAAAAGCTATTCTTTGTAACATAAAATTAATTCAACAAACCAAAACTTTTTACAATTGGGTGTGTACTTTTTTTTTCTTTGGTTAAAAATGTAACATCCCGGTTTGTGATAAATGAGGAGAGGTTTAAGAGAATTGATTTGGCTACCTATGTCAACAAAATGCACTTAAGTAACTACAGAGTTAAGCATGTTTGGGCTGGAGTAGTTGAAGGATGGGTGAACTTTCGGGAAGTGGTTTACGAAACCGTGTGAGCAAGGCCAAAACACGGGGAAATGTCGGGTGTTGATTGCACGGATAGTAAGCAAGTCATTAAAGTCTCTCAAAAATAACGGACTGGCCGTCGGACAGGGGTCCGAGATGGGCCTGTGATCCAGAAAGAGGGCATGGGTGACTCACCGGCAGGGGCGGTCGGGGCGTTATAAAAAAGGGGTTATATTTATGAAATTAGATAGCAATGAGAATATTGTAAGATTAATAAAAGTTGAGATTAGTGCTGAGGAGCAGAGACTAGTTGTTGAAGCTTCATCTTCTCGTGGAAAATCACATGATTAGGTAGTTATCGTATCGGTGGTCTCCATCGATCTAATATCAATCAATTTGTTATCAATGAAACGGGAGGAGCTGTGTGATGGATAGATGGAACTGCCGACACTGGTTATCTTATATTTTTATTAAGGCTTTAAAGCGCTTAATCTCGATGGACATTGTCACAACCCAATCTTGAAGATCTGATAAAATCCTAATCAGTCTCGCAAGGAAGCTTAAAGGACCTTTGTTCATGAGTTGGATTATAATTTAGATAATTTTTTTTTTAAATGATTGAACTCCAATCTTCAAGCCTCTAAACCCATGTCATACATTGTGAATGTGAAAGTAACAGTAAATACGATGATGGTATGTTAGGATGATATTAGTATGTTGGTTAGTGTATGATTGTTTGTGAGCATTTAGAATGAGGACGAGAACATGGCGATCCCGTAAAATGGATGCTAATCGGCTAACGAGCCAAAGGTGGTGGAAGATCTTTCGAGGTGCCTGACTAACCTAGTTTCATGTGATTTGTGATAAATGATGTGATGAGTAAAGTGATTTGTGATGTGTTAAGTGAAGTATAAATAAAAAGTTCATGTGATTAGATAGTATGTTGATTGTTTCTAGGCATGCTAGATTGCGTGATGCTTGTGCCATATCTTAATTTAGTATATGTGTATATTGTTTTGAATTATTATTGTATTCATGTGGGCATGAATGATCATTTCTTACTAAGTAATTCATTATCATCCCTCTCTTTTTTCCTTACTGTGCATATGTGTTGCTTGTGTTTCAGATTAGGGCGTGAGACCTATGGCACAAGTTGATCGGGTACGTGTGGTACATACATGATCCACCATGACCTTCAACGATTGGTCTCATATTATTACAACACTTGTATATGTATATTATGCTAAAACATTATAAACCGCTCTCATATATTTATTCCTTTGTATAGGACTGGGGGTGAATACAAAACGCTAACAAATTAGGCTATTAGCAATAAAAGGAAAAACAAAGCACCATACAGAAGAAGAGGAAACAACAATGGAAACACAAATAAACACCAATATATAGATTTCAGTGATGTATTTGGATCTTTAGTTCTTGGGAATCATGATGAGGTACTGCAGACAGTCTTGAGGCGAGAAAAGTCTTCCCATAACTTAACCTCGATGAGCTCAAAAGCGTTCCTCATTACGTCTGCTCCAAAATGTGCAGAGATGAACGATCCAAAGATGGCCTTGGAAGAGATGGCCAGGATCTTAGGGTCTAGCGGAAACACGTTGGTTGAGTGAATGATATCCTCAATAGCCTCAATCGTGAACTTTCTCATTTATGATTTACCTCAACTCTCCTTCCTCTTCTATGTAGAAAGGGGTACTGAAATAGTCTACATTGTCTTGCTCAACGATACCCTTTTTAATAAAGAAAAAGTAAAGATAATGCTAGTTTTTTATATCATAAATATTCAAAAGTACGAATCACTCCCTGATTAACAAAAAAAAAATTCAAATTAACCCAATGACAATATATTTGTACCTGTTTAGCAAGGTCACTTAAAGAAGCGCCAATGTAATCCATCCATACTCCTTTAAAGGTCTCGGACATCTTTGAGTGAAATAACTTTGAAGTTTAAAATGCTAGTTCTTATCATTTTGAAGATCAAAAATGAGATTTTCCCCAATCAAAACCAAGACAAAAAAAATTCTCACTATATAAACCCCGACAGATACAACCAAAAGAATAGCAAAACAAAAATAAATAGACTAATGCATCCAAATGTCCCATTGTCAGACGTTGATCTTCCGGAAGATCTATTTGATGATATTGTCTCACAAGTATTCATAAAATATATCAAAAGAAATATAAAAATATATATTATATAATTTTGTAGGATTGAGGGTGAATACAAACACGCTAACAAGAAGACAGAACAAGCACTATGACACAAAAGAAGAGAAAAAAGTAATGGAAACACAAATTAACACTGATAGATCACAAGAATATATTTGGATGATTAGTTCTTGATGAGGAACTGCATTCTTGATGCGAAAAAAGTGTTCCTGTATCTTGACCTCGACAAGTTCAAAGCCTTTCCTTGCAGCTGTTCTCCAAAATGTGCAGACAGGAACGCTCCAAAGGTGGCCTTGAAGGAGGCGGCCAAGATCTTGGGGTCTAGCTCAAACTCTCCATTTGGGTGAATGATATCCTCAAAAGCCTCAACTGTGAAGTTTCCATTCTCCTTTATGATTTGCCTCAACTCGCCTTCCTCTGCTGCGTATAGAGGTGTGCTGAAAGAGTCCACCTTGTCTTGCTCAACTAGACCCTTTTTAACCAAGAAGAATAAAAGGTAATGTTAGTTAGCCCTTATATCATATACTATGTAACTGTATATAATTCTTAAAGAGACAAACAAAAAATGTAGGATTAGTTACATGACAATAGGAGAGATTGAATCTAATTGGTAGGTTGAGTTATTCGATGACTACACTCATCATAAATTAATTCAAATCTAATTGTATCGGTTTTTAAACAACTGATGTAAATATGTATCAATTGCAAAAATGATGTTAAATCTAAATCAATTATTCTAAGTGATATGTAATATTATGTATCAATAAGTACGTACTTGTTGAGCAAGATCATTAAAAGACGCTCCAATGCAATCCATCACTAATCCTTTAGAGGTCTCCGACATCTTGACCCCGTCTCTTAGGCAAGATCCGAAGATCAACATCAGTCCTCCAGGCACGACCTCTTCAGCTCTAGCGTCCAATAGAGTTTTGGTGTCGATCGAGTACTGATCAAGATACGCTTTCTAGACCACTTCGTTGAATCCAGTGCAATGCATGTCTCTGTTCCACAAGGGAGAGTCGCGGTCGGTCAGTCGGTGATCTCTTTGGGGATTTTGGACATGAAATGGAATGCGTAATTGATGATTCCTATATGGAAACTCTTCTTAGGAAGAACTCGCTCAAAGAAGGAACCAGGAACCGCGGTGTGTGTTGAAATCGTTGTTGCAAGAGTCATTGAACAAGGCTTGGAACTCGAAGTTATCGGGCAGGTTTTGTCCGGTTTCGTTACGGTACTTGTCTTCTACAGCATCTATTACGTTTTGCACTGCCACAAAAGTGTTTGGTCCACTCGCACAACCGAAATCTGCTACATTGAAGCGCTCAGAAATCAAGTTGAGGCTGAGTTTAGCTGAGATTGCCTCGTTCATCTTTTCTTTTGCCGCTTCCAACAAAGCTCCCTATAAAACCAAATTAAAGAGGAGATTGTTAATACATATCAGTTTTTAGATTTTAGTTGCTAGGAAATCAACATCATTTTAAATATAAACCTGATACGAAGAATGTTGGTTGTAACTCTCAGGACCTTCTCCACCAATCATAATCCATTGTGGAGTAGTAGACATGATCGAACTCTCTCTTCTTCTCACTCTTCTTTTGGTTTGATAAATTCAATATTTGATAATAGCTGTTATGATCTACGGTAGTCTGTCTCTGTGCATATTTATATTAGTATTTCAAGCTTAAAATAAAATTTCTCCCTCAGGCTATTCTTATTTTTACAAAATTCACTACAAAAATGGTAAGCAATAAGACAAGGGAAATTATAGCCAATAATCATATTGGGGAAGGGAATTAATGGAATAGCCATATGGTGGCTTTGGCTACGATACATCTCATATTTTCTGTAAAAATGCCCACAATCGCCTTGGATTAAGACGTGAGAAAGTGATGAATGTTTTAAAACGTGACCGGTTGTGTCATGTGTGGTAACTGGTTACGAGTGAAGGAAGATTAAAGGGTTAATTTTAAATTGGAAGTTTTATTTTCGGGTTACTCGTGGTCAAGATTGCAATTAAACAAAGAATATGAATATGGTTAAATGTTTTGGGTTTCGGGTTTTTATTTTAAAGTTTAGGGATGTATATTTTTTGGGTTTTGGATTATGGTTTTAGGGTTTAGATTTTGGGGGTTAGGGTTTAAATTTTTGGATTTAGGGCCTGATTGGTAAGTGCTCTGAATGCTCTGCGGAGCAATAATTTTTTCTAGAGCAATAGTGTTAAACCAATTAAGTTTTGATTTTATTTTTTTAAGTTCAGAGTCATAATTTAGAATATGGAAATATTTTGGCTCTGCAGAGCAGATTTTTCAGAGCACAAATTTAAGGACTCTGAGAATTTTTTTTCTTCTCATTCCTTAATCTCATTTCTATATTCCTTTTTTTTAATGTTTCTTTCCTATATCTTTTTTATTTATTTTTAATGCTACATTTATGATATTTTATAATAAATTATTTATAATAAAAATTCTACAGCACTAAAATCTACAGTTACAGCAAAAAAATTTACAGCCTAAATTCTACAGCAAAAACTCCAAAGCTACAGCCACAACCAATCAGAATTTAGATTTTTGAATTTAGAGTGTAGGGTTTTTATTTATTTGTTCATTGTACAATACAAAATTAGTAGGTAAGGTATCTTTTACTATGGTATAGTATGCTTGTGTTAGATATGGAATAGTTACTAAACTTGAGTGGAGTACTAAACTAAACTTGTTTAAAGCTTAAGTTGTCCTCATAAAATGGAATTACCCATTAAATTACAAATAAATAACACTGTCATTGGTACAAGTTTTAGATTTAACAATTGTGTTCTTCGATAAAATTAGTGGGGAGAAAATTGATGATGAAGGTGTTACTCTGCTGCCCAGTTTATGTGGTCAAGGCAGTTAGGCAACCGGTTGTCTTAAAAGTTCCCATCTAAAGTCAATAGGATACCTCTCTAATTTCACACCCCTTCATAACATGGTACCTATTTTTTCTGTGCTATGGCTATATCTTTAATTTCTGCTCCTAATGTGATTATTAACCAAATTCACCCATAAGACAAGGGAAATTATGAATCTTTTGAATAAATATAAAAGACATAAGAAAAACATGTTTGTACGTGAAAATCATGTGGTCATCAACAATTGGTGGTGGTGGTGCTATATCCGACACAGATCTTACAAGCCACGCACTTGTAATATGTATGGATTCATACAAAATCTTCTAACTTTTTTGCTATGGAATTTGTATGTGTTATCTGAAACAAAAAGAGTGTAAAATGAAAATATGTAAATCAGATTAAATTTTTTTTTCAACCATAGTAACAAATACTCCCTCTGTAAAACTTGATGTTTTAGAAAAAACACATATATTAAGAAACACTTTTGTATACATTTATTATTTTTCTTTTATCTATTAAAAAACACTTGATTTGCAATCTTTCTCACCTAAAAGTTAAACTCTCTACAATAAATATTATATCAAAAAAAAAGGAACGCAGTTGACCTAATAAATGTGAATCAAAATAATAAGAAACTACATATGCACCACCACATTGAATGTAAAATTAATTCTAACTCAAAAAGTATGTTTTTTCATCAAGTGCATCTTTTGTTTGAAAGAGGTAAAATGAGAAACCATAGAGATAAAACTAAACACTGTCTAGCTTCGAGCTTCAAACCATAGCTGAAGAGCATCTTCGTATTTTTTGTCTCCCATCTGGTATGCACCACCACTTCACTAAGATGGAAACACAAATTAATATCAAGAGATCACAATAAGATATGTCGATCATTAGTTCTTGCAAAGCACAATGAGGTACTGCATTCCGGGTTTGGCATTCTTGAAGCGAGAAAGTTCTTCCCGGGCCTTAACCTCGACAAGCTCAAAGGCTTTCCTTATTACGTCTGCTCCAAAATATGCAGATAGGAACGCTCCATATATGGCCTTAAAGAAGGTGGCCAAAATCTTGGGGTCTAGCGGAAAGTCCCCGTTTGGGTGAATGATATCATCAAAAACCTCAATTTTGAACTTCCCGTTCTCTTCTATGATTTGCTTCAACTCGCCTTCCTCTGCCATGTACAAAGGGGTTCTGAAAGAGTCCACCTTTTCTTGCTCAACGAGACCCTTTTTTAAAGAAGAAAAATAAAAGGTAATGTGAGTTAGTTATATCAAATATAAAATTGTAGATGATTTCTTAAAGAAAAACAAAAAAATATAGGACTAATTAGGTAGATAACGATGGAAAAGATTGGGTACATGAGCTACATTCTCTTCAAGGGATTAGTGGTGGTAAAATCCGGATCACCTACTGGTTATAAAAAAGAAGCTCAAATGCAATATTTAAGAGATTAATATAATGACAATATATATTAATATATGTACCTGTTGGGCAAGATCATAAAAAGAAGCTCCAATGCAATCAATCCCTACTCCTATAAAAGTCTCGGACATCTTAACTCCGTCTCTTAGACAAGATCCAAAAATCAAAAATAATCCCCCGGGGACGAGCTCTTCAGCTCTAGCGTCCAACAGATTCTTGGTGTCAACCGAGTACTGATCAAGATATGCTTTCTTGACAGCTTTGTTGAACCCAGTGCAATGCACGTCTTTGTTCCACATGGGAGAGTCGCGGTTTGTGATCCCTTTGGGAACTTTTGAGGTGAAATGGAATGCGTAATTGATAACTCCTATGTGGAAACTCTTCTTAGGAAGAACCCGACCAAAGAAAGAACCAGGAACCCCGGCTATAGTATCTTCTTTCCGGAGGAAGTCCCTGGAAGAGAGTGTTGAAATCGTTGTTGCTAAAGTCGTTGAAGAAGACTTGGAACTCGATGTTATCTGCGGGGTTTTGTCCTGTTTCTTTACGATACTTGTCTTCTACTGCATCTATTATGTTTTGCACTGCCACAAAAGTGTTAGGTCCACTTGCACAACCGAAATCCACTACAGTGAAGCGATCGGTAATCAAGTTGAGACTGAGTTTGGCTGAGATTGCCTCGTTCATCTTTTCTTTTGCAGCTTCCAACAAAGCTCTCTATAAGACAAAATTAAGAGGAAATTGTTTATACCTACCAAGATTTAAGAATTAAGTAGGAACTCAACATCATTTTAAATATAAACCTGATAAGATGAATTTTGATGGTAACTCTCAGGACCTTCTCCACCAATCATAATCCATTGTGGAGTATTAGTCATGATCGATCAGTCTCTTGTTCTCACTCTTCCTTTTCTTGTTTGATTATTTCAATATTTTGTTGCTAATGATCTACTGACGTCTCTATGCATATTTCTATTACTATTTCAGGCTTAAATGGAGTGAACATCATGTGGTCATCAACAGCTGGTGTTGGTGGAGCTATAAATACCATTGATGTTCGTATATGGCCTTCCTAACTAACAAGTGGGCATATTAATTTGATGTTTCCTAAATGTAAACATACTATGCCAACTTTATATAACTGGAAGACCCACGTTACGTTTTCAAGGTAGTAGGTATTAAAATCGTAACTAGCATAGTATTAAATATCACATCCTAACTTTCAACCGTGATTATTAAGGTTATAGGTATGATATAAATTACAATATCAATTCCAGGCTGTATGTGATTCATCCACTAAAATCACTAATTACATTGCAATTAGTATAATAAAATTTAGTTATCCAACCTATATAATAGATATAATAGATCTCACGCACAAGTGGTTTAATTTGTATATTCTCTCTGTTTCACAATATAAGGAGTTTAAAATTTTTCTTTGTTTCATATTATAAGGTGTTTTGAGGTTTTTATGCAAAATTAAATATATTTTTGTTGCTTTTCACTCTTTTAATGATGCATATTGTTTTTTTATTGGTTAATTTGTATTGGAACTAGTGATAAAACATACTTTATTTTGAAAGCTTAAAAAATTAAATGATTTCTCAATCTTTGTGTCTAGGGGTGTCAAAATGGATAACCCATCCAATCCAACTCATTATCCTAATGGATTGAATGCTAATGGATCATGGATTAATCCAATCCATTTAGGAAATGAGTTAGTTTGACCCATTACCTATTTAATTAGATGGTTTTAATAGATTAATGGGTAAATGGATGAACCATTAGAAATTGCACTTAGATAGAAAGTTGTTCTTTTGTGAATTTGTTAAAAAATCTAAATGCAAAATCTATCAAATGAAAATCTGATTTTACAGTTTTTGTGGAAAACACACAATTTTACGGGTTCCCACCAAAACCGTAAAAACACATTTCTGTTAAAAATCGTAAAATTCCGTCTTTCTGCCAAAACGTAAAATCATGACTATCCGCCAACATCCTAAAATCATGTTTTCCCGTCAAAACCGTAAAATCATGTTTTCCCGCCAGAACCGTAAAATCATGTTTTCCCGCCAAAACCGTAATATAATGTTTTCCCGCCAAAACCGTAAAATCATGTTTCCCGCCAAACCGTAAAATCATGTTTTCCGGCCACAACCGTAAAATCATGTTTTCCCGCCAAAAACGTAAAATCGCGGTTTTACGGCTAAGATAGAAAACCGCAATTTTATGTTTTTGGCGGGAAAAGATGATTTTACGGTTCTGGCGGGAAAACATGATTTTACGGTTTTGGCTGGAAAACATGATTTTACGATTTTGTCGGGAAAACATTATATTACGGTTTTGGCGGGAAACATGATTTTACGATTTTGGGGGAAAACATGATTTCACGGTTTTGGCGGAAAACGTGAATAAAGTTTTCATGCCAAAAACATAAAATTGCGTGATTTACGGTTTTGGCGGAAAATGTAATTTTGCGGTTTTGGCAAAAAAACCGTGATTTTGCAGTTTTGGCAGAAAACCACGATTTTACGTTTTGGACGGAAAACATGATGTTAGGGTTTTGGGAAAAAGTCGTGATTTTATAGTTTTTGCGGAAAACCGTATTGTTTTGCCAGAACTGTGAAATCGAGTAAAATTGCGGTTTATACCAAAATTGTAAAATGGCGTTTTTTGTCAAAGCCGTAAAATCATTTTTTACAATATTGTATACAAATCCAACCAAATATAATTTTTGATTCATTATGTGTGACAGACTGAGAAAGCATTTGATGAAGAATTGTTTTTTTCTTTCTTTTATTTATTAAAACATTTATTTTATATTAATTTAATAAAATGGGTCAACCATGGATCCAACCTATTATAAACCAAACCATTTCTATCCAATCCAATTAATCCATCACCCATCTGAACCATAAACCCATTTGGATCCAAATTTTTAACCCATTTGAATTAAATGGATAAGATGGATTGGGTCAACCCATGGATTTGGATCCTGACACCTCTATTTGTGTCAAACTCTAAAACCCCAGAGGGAGTAGCCTCTAAAAATAGAAGTCACACACACCACAACTTGAAATGGGATATGGCATGCAAAGATATTCTTAAAATTCTCTCTATTGTGGGAGGGGAGCTCTTACACATGTTTCCTGTGTCCTATATGAATATATCTAATGCTCTTTGAAGATTCAACTTATCTGAAATACACAGCCACGGCTTAAAGGCGGAATGAGATTATGCAAAGTCCCAAAAGGAGGAAATGACAAGTGGAAAGACGAAAGAGAGAGATCACAGATGACAGAGGAAACTCACACTGATCATCAAATATTAAAAACATAGTAGTATTACTGAATAAATTAAAAAAAAAAAAAAAACAAGTTCCATTCTAGAAAAGTTTGGAATGCCTTTATTTGAAGATAAAGGAATTATAGCAGCAGATGGTTCTCCAGGAACATGATCTTAGTTTCATGCACTAGCGAGCTTAGGTTTTGCATCAAAGATACGGTTAAGAGTTGCGGCCAAGTGAACCCCGCCTTCCGCAAGTCTGTTGTAAACAAAGGGTAACCGAGTGCGGAGATACTCATCTGCAGGAAAGAAACGCAGAGAGAATCAGAAGAGCCAAGAAGATAGTGTTTCAACTGGATCCTTGTCAGTTTGAATGCAGAGAGAGAGAGAGAGAGTAAGTAATATCATACTATCTAAAGTACATCCTTGGGTTGCACTCCGATAAGCAAACTTGTCGGCAATCATTCTGTTTAGACCAACATACCTTAACACAATCAAAGCACATACAGAATCAAGAGATAAGAATGGTGGTATTATTCATAAACAGTATCTGATAAGCTAAAACAAGGTTTAGAAATTAGAATAATGTAGATGCCTACTCATCTGGACAGGCTATTTCGCGTTTGGGACAAGACATCCACCGGGAGACAGAATATGCCCATTGGTTCTATATTTAAGACAGCAGTTAAAAGGAAGTAATCACTGTGAGTCTATCTTTAGATATGATAGTAGAAGATCTATAGTACCTTGAGTCTGTCTTGAATGAATTGAATCATGAGTGGAAGACTTGTTGGTTTATCTCCTCTGTATCACGGTGTTGGAACAGAGCGCAGGGTGTTGGAACAACAAAACTGTGTTTCAGAGATAAAAGAAAAGTTTGGGTATCTTGGATTGTGATTGAATCCTGTACGAAGCAGTTTCCTTAAAGAGTATTTCGACCCTATACAGCCTTGGGTTACACGAAATCCCTCGCAGGATAAGACAATCACGTCCACTCTTTGTCTAGGCTTAAGATCAAAGAGTAACAAGAAGAGATCTTGTGTGTGTTTACTTTGGTTGCTTTTGTGAATCAGATCTATCTCTGTAGATCTCGAATTTCTTCTGTCTCATGTCTCAGAGAGACAACAGAACTTATAAAGTTCTCATAAGGCTTCAATGGACGTTTGCAACCGTCCATTTAATGATTATACCAAAGACACCTGTTCGCAATATGTTGGAACACCTTTGGTATATGTTGTAACACCTTATTCACTTAAATATCCAACATTCCTCCCCCATTTAAGTGTAATCTTTCATTCACAAAATCCAGCAACGAATAAACCAAACCACATGCATATATATAAATGTCGTATCGATTGAATTTACATACTGTGAATCACACGCATCTAATGACCGAGAATCAAAGTGTCCTATGGATTGAACTTATCAACTACTTTGGCCACGAGAGGGTGAAACACGCATGAGTTTCTCACTACTCTTAATGTTTCTTGACACTATTAACAGCCATGTGTCCAATCCTCTCATGAGTGCATAGAAAGCCAAGTCCAAGCTTCTTGAAGCGGCTACACTTCACACTCACATAGGTAGATCCTTTACATCTTGCTTCTGCATTTGCAATTTTTCAAAGGATCTATTAAGAAGTCATACTTCAACCTAAACTTTCATGCAGATAATAAGCACTTCCTTTGGGATTACATAAACAGTGCTACAACCTCTCAAGGAATGGGCTCACCTTGAACTCAGCTCCTAGCGTTGTACTAGAAGGGAGTTGGGTGTCCCACGACTAGAGGTTTGAGATGGACTTCAAACCAATCCCTTCAGCTGACTTTATTACCAAGTCCCTAGACAGACCCTTCGTCAAGTGATCTGCTAGATTCTGCTGAGACCGAACAAACTCTAAAGTTATCACACCGTGAGTGATCAATTCACGAACAGCGCTATGCCTTACGCCAAGGTGTCTCGACTTTCCATTGTACACTTGGCTATAAGCCTTAGCCAAAGTTGCTTGACTATCACAATGGATTGAGATAGGAGACACTGGTTTCGACCACAATGGAATCTCAGAGACAAGGTTTCTCAACCACTCAGCCTCTCTACCAGCAGCTGCCAAAGCCACAAACTCAGATTCCATAGTCGAACTTGTGATACAAGTTTGTTTCTTAGATGCCCAAGAAATGGCACCTCCCCCAAGTAGGAACACCCAACCACTTGTAGAAGTATGATCTTCCACGTTGGTGATCCAACTTGCATCAGAATAACCTTCCAAAACCGAAGGAAATCCTCCATAACACAAACCATAGTCCATGGTTCCTCTCAAGTACTTGAGCACACGCTTTACAGCCTGCCAATGGTGAGTACTAGGATTACTAGTGTATCTACTCAACCTTCCAACTGCATATGCAATATCTGGCCTTGTGCTTGTCATTGCATACATTAAGCATCCAATCACTTGAGAATATTCGTGTTGCAACACAGCCTTTCCTGTGTTAGGCATAAGTTTTACACTTGCCTCCATGGGAGTACTTACAGGGGCACAGTTCAAGTAATTGAACTTCTTTAACACTTTCTCAACGTAGTGAGATTGTGATAAACATATCCTCCCATTGTCACGCTTGATTCTAATACCAAGAATCACATCCGCCTCCCCCATGTCCTTCATGGCGAAATTTGATGACAAAAACTCTTTTGTGAGTTCCACTAATCTAAGGTTGGTACCAAAGATCAACATGTCATCCACATATAGACAAATGATCACTCCATTACTGGAATCATCAAACTTGCTATATAAACACTTATCTGATTGGTTAATCTTAAAACCAAAAGACAAGACAGCTTCATCAAATCTTTGATGCCATTGCTTAGGAGCTTGTTTCAGCCCATACAGTGATTTCACCAGCTTGCACACCTTGTGCTCACTTCCAGGCACAACAAATCCCTCTGGTTGTTCCATATACACCTCTTCTTCCAAGACACCATTTAAAAATGCAGTCTTAACATCCATTTGATGGATCACAAGATCATGAATGGCTGCTAAACCAATCAAGAACCTTATAGAAGAGATTCTGACAACAGGAGCATATGTATCAAAATAATCAATGCCTTCCCTTTGTCTAAAACCTTGTATAACCAATCGAGCTTTGAACTTATCGATTGCACCACCGATCAACATTTTCTTTGTGAAAATCCACTTGCAGCCTAAAGCTTTGCAACCAGGTGGGAGATCAGTCAGGAAATAAGTATTGCTTCCTACTATAGAGTCCATCTCATCATTTACAGCTTCTTTCCAGAAAGCAGCATCAATAGAAGCCATAGCTTCACTGAATGTCCTAGGTTCATCACCAACTAGGTAACAATATGAGTATTGTAGAACAATCTCATCTCTTGAACCTTCTACCAAATAAATTTGGAATTCAGGACCAAATGATTTCTCAATCCTTCCTCTCTTACTTCTACGAAGTACAGGTGACTCGCTGGTTGTTGGAACACAAGCCGAGATGTTGGAACGTACGTTTGTACCATCTCCTTGTCCAGTTCCAATCGTGTGAACTGCTATAGAATCATTAGGTTCAATGACATAGAACCTATAAGCCTTGGAATGCTCAGCATAACCAATAAAGATGCAATCAATACCTCTTTCTCCCAAAGTTCTTATCTTTGGTTGGGGTAGTCTTACTACAGCCCTGCAGCCCCAAACTCGAAGGTAGTTCAAGTTAGGCTTCTTTTTGTACCAAAGTTCATATGGGGTTATCTTGTTCCTTTTGTTAGGAACTCTGTTCAACAAGTAACATGCTGTTAACATGCCCTCACCCCAGAAACCGTCACTCAATCCAGAGTAGGATAACATGGAATTAACCATTTCTTTAAGGACTCTGTTCTTCCTCTCAGATACACCATTTTGTTGTGGTGTATAAGGAGCTGTGACCTCATGTATTATACCCACAGACTGAAAGTAAGCAGGATCATAATACTCACCACCTCTATCGGTGCGTAACTTCTTAATCAAGTTACTTTGTTGCAATTCAACCTCAGTTTTGTAAACCTTGAATTTCTCTAAGGCTTCATCCTTAGAGTGCAACAAATATACAGAACAATATCTGGAATAATCATCAATGAATGTGACAAAATATTTCTTATTCCCCAGAGATGGTGTAGCATGCAAATCACATAAATCACTATGAATCAGTCCAAGGACTTCCGATACCCTAACAATGCTATCAAATTTCTTCCTAGTTATCTTAGTCAACATACATGTTCTGCATTTCTCTACATTCATGTCAAAACCAGGAATTAAACCTTCCTTCGACATTTCAAGCATCCTAGCATAATGTACATGGCCTAATCTCATATGCCATAAGAAACTATCATTTCCGACTGTTGTTGGAACAGCGGATCAGTGTTGGAACATGTCATATAACTAGAATTGATAACTTAATCGAAGCATCCTACGCCAGTCACTAACCATATCATTCCACGGTTGTGATCATACCTTAGCCAATTTGCAGATTTCGGTCCTCCATATGGTGGGCATCAACATGCTTTGAACAGTCACCATATCAAGGGGTGTGAGAAGAAAGTGCATCTTCTTCTGCCATCTTCTGAAATCGACTCCTCCAGACTTCTCTAACTTCCCAAACTTGGTAGTCATATCACGCACAGAAACACCAGCCATCGTTCTCCAGAAAATACTCTTTAAGATTGTTGGTTTATCTCCTCTGTTTCACGGTGTTGGAACAGAGCGCAGGGTGTTGGAACAATGAAAACTGTGTTTCAGAGAGAAAAGTTTGGGTATCTTGGATTGTGATTGAATCCTGTACGAAGCAGTTTCCTTAAAGAGTATTTCGACCCTATACAGCCTTGGGTTACACGAAATCCCTCGCAGGATAAGACAATCACGTCCACTCTTTGTCTAGGCTTAAGATCAAAGAGTAACAAGAAGAGATCTTGTGTGTGTTTACTTTGGTTGCTTTTGTGAATCAGATCTATCTCTGTAGATCTCGAATTTTCTGTCTCATGTCTCAGAGAGACAACAGAACTTATAAGTTCTCATAAGGCTTCAATGGACGTTTGCAACCGTCCATTTAATGATTATACCAAAGACACCTGTTCGCAATATGTTGGAACACCTTTGTATATGTTGTAACACCTTATTCACTTAAATATCCAACAAGACTTGAACCATGGTAAACGTGACGAATAGTTTCAATCATCATGCTATCCCACAACTTTCAAGTTAAAGATTGTTCCCAGTTCCGAGAGTCAGTTAAAGAAATCTGTTGTTTTTTTAGCATCAATATGATGGAAAATGAAACACATACTTCGTGCAAATTTGTCTTGCGTTGAAACCAGTTGAGTATTATCTTCTTACCACCTTGATTAGAAGCATAAGCAGTATTCAGGGGCTGTGAAAAAATCAACAAGATTAGACTAATAGAAGCTGGAGTGTGAATAGAGTAGCCTCAAGAAACTCTTGGGCTAAACGTATGATTTAGCCTAAATTTGGAAAAAGGGATTAGTTAACCTGATGGAGATCTCCCATATAATGTGATAAGAACATGAGAGCCTCCGTCAAGTTATCTTCAAACCGAAAAAGATTAAAAAAAAAAAAAAAAAAAAACGACTATAAGTGACAGAGTATGGTCCATGTAACTCACACACAACTTAATTAGTAAACTGAAGCATAAAAAAAAGGTAGCACTTCAATAAAAATGTAACTCACGGCGGACAGAAGCAGACACAAGCTGGTTTGTGTAATTGTAGATTGCTCCTGTCACACACATGTCCTTATTGCCTTCACTGTCTTTGCAGTCACCTTCACATAAGTACCCAAAAACAAAAAAAAGGACATAGATTTGAACTTAGCATAAGCAAATGTATGTACAATGGAAAAAGAACATGTATGAGAGATGTTAAGTAAACTGAAGCAAATGTATGTACAATGGAAAAAAGAAAACTCACGCATATAATTGTAGTCGCGTCTATACAACTCAAAGTTTATATTAACATAGTGCAAAGGCTTAGTCCATTGCCATTGCGAGAATCGTTGAATTTCATCAGGCCATGAGCAAACCGATGCTAGATCTCCTTTGGCAGATTCAGGCAGAAGTTTCTTCACTGCAGCTGCAGTTTCTTTCGTAAAGTATCCCTAAGGATTTGCAAAATGAAAATCACCCTATTACCTTGGATCTATAATGACAGAGATTACAGAAACTAATTAATAAAATGTGTCACCTCAGCTATCTTGCAGGTAATGTAATGACCTTCCTGCCCCAACATAGTGCTCCACAGACGAGCTGTGTAAGCACGATTACACTCGCAATGCACAGCTTCAACGACAGTCTCATTCTGAAAAAAACCTTACTTAACAATCACGTTACAGCAATCTAGTCTACGTTTCAAGAGAAAGAAAAGAGAAAAAGTCAACGAATTACCTCAAAAAGCCTCGATCTTTGCTGCTCTTTGCTTTGCTTCTATGATATTTGATTGCTTTACGTTCTCCTTCAACTGTGTTAGGGATGGCTTATAAAGAGGACTAACTCTTCAACGTGCGTTTGTTTAATAGTCCCACGTTTGATTTGTTTAATCATAATCTATAAACTGACAACTGTTAATCGCCTCATCGTGTATCTCATTTAATTAGTGGTCAATGCTCTAAAAGCCTACAGAATCTTCGCAAATCGCATATTTGATTAAAGTAGACAAAATAAAAATGGAGAAAATAGTTAACATTTTAACCTAAAATCATGGAGAGTAAGCATAGTCAATTGTTAATCGCCTGATCGTGTAGCTCATTTGGTTAGTTGGCAATGAATGCTCCACCTCTTGAGGTCGACTAAGAGTTAAAGACAGAGGAGAGAAGAAATCAATTGTTGTTAATCCGTTGCCATTTTAATGGGGTTCGGTTCGAATTAGATTTCGATTTGAACTTTGGCGGTTTAGTAAAAAAAGGCGCCAAACTTAAATCAAACTAAACTTTGATTCGGTTCATGTTAACATTGTTTGGTTTTCGTCCGGTTTTTTTTTTTTATTGATTTCGGTACATTAACTGTGAAGTTGTCGGTTACTAACTTATTCCAGTCACCGACGACAGTGAACGTTTGATTTGTTTAATCATTACTAATTGACCACATATGATTCTAAAATTGAATATAATTGGTCTACATAATCATTCTAATCATCCAATTTTAAATATATAAGAGATAAAGAAATTAAACATATAGAATATTAAACAACCAATAGTATCATTCCACATCATCATGAAACTTATTTACCTTTTTCATATTTTAGAAAAGTTTATAAATTATTTACTTTAGAAAATAAAGAAATTATATTTTCTAATTACAACAAAAATAAAATTGTGTTACGGTAAAATAGTTATGTAGAATTTTAAGCAACCAATATTATTTGTTTACATAAGCTTATCTAACACAAACAAAGTTTTCAAATCTTAAAATTGTAATATCGATAGAGATATGTATGAGATAAGGAAAACATGTATAAGTTTTTATAAACACCATAACATAGAGTATAAGATAAGTGAAGATGAATAAAAAATTAACTTATCTATAATAATATTAGTTTTATTAGCTTAAGTTTGTTGAGATGTATATCACATAGTAAAAATTTATGCTACATGAGATTAAAAAGGTTTAAACTAAACATATTTACAAAAGATATAGTCATGAAAAATTGAAAGAGAATACATCAAAGAAGAAGAAATTGGAAGAAACAAAATCTAACAAAACCTGAAAATTTCGATGAAATAATTAATCATAGCAGAATAAGAACCAAGAAAAGAAAAATAAAAAGAAGTAAATGAAGAAAAACGAAGACGAAGGTAACAAAGAACAAAAACATAAAAAGAAACCAAAGAAGATAAAGTTAAATCAGTAAACCAATGTAAAACTGAAAGTTATGCTTAACTATATCTTTATGATCACATAAACTAGATTTGAAGCCCCGCGCAAGCGCGGGGTTGTTTCCGATACTTTTTCTGTTTAATTTTATTTATACTCGTTGATTTGAATTATGATAGTTTTGTGTTAACTTTTATGTTTTTGTTATGTTTTGAGTTAACTCAATCACTAACACTTAAAAATATGAATAATTTGTTTTTTTTTTAATTTAGTAGAATATTAACACCCTGCTTTATTTCGATTTTTCTATCTCTAAAATTTTATCATATTATAAATATTATATTTGTTTACTTTTTTACATCTATTAGACTGTAAACATGTATATGTATTTGATTGAAGGTTAAAATTTAAATTTTGTAAACATACTCTTGTTTTTCACTCCCACAATTAAATTTACATATAAAACTCCATTTCTATTTGTTTAGAAAAATAAACTCTAACTCTAATTTTTCATTAGCTTTCTAATATCTTAATTAATTTATATTCAACTTTTTAACTGGTAAACACATTATAACATGTTTGAAGTTAAATATTTCTTTACTCCATTCCTATTTTACATTCCAACTTTTTGATAACTTTTAAATCAAATTATCACATACTTTTTATTAATTAAAATATAAATAAATGTAAAGAAATATAAAAAGTTATATATTTAATAAATATTTTAAAAACAGATTAATGTTTTGTGCTGATGTGGACACTCTAGATGGAGAGAGCAACTCTCTAATTATATTTAAGATTGAAATATTTATATTATTGTTAGACATTGCTCATTACTTGAAATATTTATATTATTGTTAGACATTGCTCATTATATGTGTGAATATGTAGTTGTACCATTTCTAGCTTATTTGTTTCTATGAATCTTTTCCTTTTTTAAGTTTGGTTAAGTGTATAAGATAGTGAAAATTTTATTCTACATAAGATTAAATTCAAGAGATTACAATAAATTTATTTATAAAATGGATAAAGTCCTGAAAACTTTCCAGCAGAGAATAATTCAGAAAAAAACTAAATATATATATTATTATTGGTTGGAGAATAATCTTTCCATTAATTATTTCTATTCCTATTAAACATACTAGGGGAATGCCCGCGCATACGCGGGAATTTGTTTGTATGAGTTTATTAAAAATGTGTTTTTTTATTGGTATCATATGTTTGTGTGAAATTTGTGTCTTTTTTTAATATGTTTGTTTATTTTCGGAGCTGCCTTGTATTTTTAAAACCATTTTTTTTAATTTGATACGACTTAATCAAATATTACTTCCTCCTTATGACAAAAATTGTCAATCTGTATTATTTTTGCAGAAAAATGTTGGAGATCAGAAACAGAATGAGGGTCAAAAACTTTAGCTAATGTGTGAGAATCGTTGTGGTTAAGTCCTCTTCAATTTCCTCAAATCTTAAATATGTTGCTCTTAAGAGCTCCTTTCTGAATAGACAAAGAAAAGCAATCAGCAATTCACTCTTTAAACATGTAATTTGAGTCTTTAATCCAATATAAAACATGAGAGCTTTACTTACTTTGTTGCATGGTTACGCCTCCATCTGAAAAAAGGGAAGCAATAGTCCGAACTTTAGCTAATGAAGTTTGGTATTGACTTAAAAAATTGATCGAACTAAGAAGAAAAAACCATAAAATACTACAAGAAATTAGGTTAGATAGCATCACTTATATAGTGTCAAAAATTTAAGTGACTTTAATTAGAATCATTTACTAAAGATTGACATAAATTTATGACATTACATCACTTAAAATAATTGATATCAATATTAACTTGATTAACATCAATTAAAATAAAAATGATTACAAGTGAATATTGATTTACATCAGTTTTAAAAAACCGACACAAATATATGTGTTTACATCATTTATATAACTGAAGCATTTTCTCAATTTTATTAGCATCAATAATAAATGATGTTAATATTTATTTCAATTATAAAAAGTGATGTAAACAAAATTTTGAGTAAACAACTATTTGTCCCACATCGCTAAACAAAGATGAAGGATAGTAGTTTGCTCATCTATATAATAACTTCACCCAAAAATAATTTTTACTTTTTATATAAGTTAAATAATCAATATGTATTTACATACTAGATTAAGGCCCGGGTATATTTTAAGATTTTATAATAAAAGCATGGAAAATATTAAACAAAATTTGATCATTTTTAAACGTAAACAAAATAATATTGAAAACCCGATAAAAAATATTTAAATAAAATAAGATTGGTAATACTTTTACATTTTTATTGTAATTGATTTTTCTTTTGAATTTATGATATGACAAAATGAATTAATTTGTTTTACTATTATTTTTATCCAATACAGAAAGACTTACACATGTCTAAATCTGATCAACTGATTAATTAATCAAACTTTTATTATTCCATTCAAGAGATTTTAATTGATGAAATCTTTATTTCAATTTTTTTTACCTAACAAAAATTGAAAATCAAACTATTTAAAATTAGAATATCAATTATAATTTTTTAATATTAGTTAATTGCTTGATAATTATTTTGTTAGTTTTCTATTTATATTTTTTCTTTCTCAATTTTTTTTTGACCATTATAAATACTATATATTGGTATTTTTCCTTTTCGAAATGGATTTTTTTTCCTTTTCTTAATAGATGTAACAAAAGAATTTAAATTATTTGTTTCCTGTTTTTTTATTACTTTTAATGGATGTATTATTTTTTCATTTTAATTATTTGTTATCTGTTTTTCTAATTTTTAGTTAGTCTTATACATATTAATTTTTATTATTTTTATTCCATGACACATGTTACGATCTTCATACTTCCCAGAATTTTTTTTTTCTAAAACACATGTCGCAATTTTGTCAGTTATAAAAATCCTATGTATCGCAAAACTTTCAAAAACATGATTTTTAAATTGGAGAAATAGAATCAAAGGGATTTGATGAATTTGTTTTGATGAATTTATGATTGAGAAACCTTGACTCTCTTTTATAGGGGTTCAAGTAACCTATTACATGCAGTTATAGGAAATTTAGTTTACATAACATATTCCATGTACAAATAGGATTTTATTTATTACATTATTTTGATTTTATTATTTGTTTGGATAATATTAATTTGATGAATGAGAAACCTTTCTCTATTAGGATATGACAAATATATTTTTATTTCTTTTAACTGTAATGGATTATTTTTTTAAATTCCTTTATCTAAATTTTTTTTTTTTTTTTTTTTTTTTTTTCTCTAAGACATGTGTCACGATCTTAACGGACGTAACATTAAAAGTGACACATGTCGCGATCTTATAAATTATAAAAATCCTATGTGTCGCAACCACGTCGTGCGCATCCAACTTTATATAATAAAAAATTGATGAATGGGAAACCTTTTTCTGTTTGGATATGGCAAATATTATTTTTTCCTTTTTGATATAATAGATTAAATTAAATTTCGTTTTTTTTAATTAACATTTTTCTGGATTTTTTTTTTAAGTTCTCTTTTTCCTAAGACACGTGTCACGATCTTAACGGACATAAACTTAAAAGTGACACATGTCGCGATCCTGAATTTTATAAAAATCCTACGTGTCGCAACCACGTCGTGCGCATCCAGCTTTATATAATCAGATATTATTTACAATAATAATTACAAAAATATTAATAATTTTGAATTTAGGATTCGAAAATAATACAAAATTTAAATTTTAAATAATTAAAAATATCACTTATTTATAATTGACATATTAATATTATCAACTAAAATATATGCATGTGGATCCCCTATGTGTGCGATGTGGTATGGGAGATGAAACAATTAATCATATGTTGTTTGAATGCCCACGAGCCCGCCAGGCCTCGACTCTATCCCCTATCCAACGCCACTACAGTCCTTTCCTACAGATGCACTTTTCTCTATTATGGCACACCTCTTTTGGGGTCTTCCAAATGATGATGATATGCTCATATTTCCTTGGTTACTATGGTTCATTTGGAAAGCACGTAATTATAAAGTCTTTTCAAATGATGACCATGATCCGCGGGATGTTCTGGAATCAGCGATAACATAAGCACGTGCATGGGCTACTGCACAAACGGGAGAAATAATTGGACCAATGGCTAGGGTCTCATATCCACGGACTGAGATCGAGGGTGAATGGTGCCAAATAGATGGAGCATGGAAAGACACAGAGTGTCGAGCGGGTCTTGGTTGGTATAACTTTGATCCCGCATCAGGTTCAATCTTGGTGGGCTCATGTAATTTACGGCGAGGTTTATCCCCTCTGCAGACAGAATGGAAGCATTAGTTTGGGCTATGCAAAGTATGCTAACCCACAACAAAAGGCAAATGAATTTTCAAACAGATTGTTCAGAGTTGGTAACCATGGTGTCAAGACCTCAGGACTGGCCGGCTTTTGCGATTTTGCTTGAAGAGGTGGAAAAGTGCAAAAGGAGCTTCCAGGCGTTCTCTCTAACTCATATCCCAAGGACGAAGAACACGAAGGCAGACAAGCTAGCACGGAGTGCTCGAGATCAGCCTTATGACGTGTATTATGTAAACACAGTTCCACCGGTCACGCTTCCCGTGCCGAATTAGGAACTTATGCTGTCGACAAAAAAAAAAATATATATATATATATATATATGATATAATTAAATATCTATGATATTAATTTTTATAACCAAGACTAATAGTAACATCATTTGTATTAACTGATGCAGTTATTTATATCATTTATATCAATTGATGCAAATATTTATTTCATTTGTTATAAATGATACTATGTATTTCATCTCACAGAAACACCAATTTTACAACAAAGCGGAGACTAAAATGCAGCCATAGCTCAGGAAAATAACTGAAAAGGACCAAGCACGTTTACATAATGCAAGAAGCGAGAGAGTCACCAAATAGTACCTTAGATTCAACATACTTCCCCTTAACAAAAAGGCTATGCTTTTCTCCCCAACCATTTGCTAATGGAATATTCATTAAATTATCTTATGCCTGTATCAATGCACACCAGTAAGGAAAAGAAAGCATTAACAAAAAAAATTCGATGTTTGCTACTTGCTAGAACGTTCAGCAGAAAACTGAGGAGAACGTTCTTATTGGCACAGTCAAGATTCCAGTTGCCTTTAAGAAGATGTCAATCAAAGCTCGTTTGTTTTCTATAATGAAAGAAACAATAGCTTCCTTACCATCACATTTAGTTAACAGTTCTAAAAAGAAAAATTATTTAAATGAAGCATCAAATATGCATCTTACTGTATTTTCCCTGAAATATAAGCAAAATAGAGACTGGTAGAGTGAGGCTAAAATATTTCCTTGCAATGGAATTCAAACCAAATTTTTGTTCGTCAAGTTTGTCATGGAAGAATCAAAGCAAGTAAGCCATAGTTATAATCTAAAATTAAATTATGTGAAAATCTTTTCTTCTTTTCTTCTTTTTTTTGGATTATCCAGGCTGAGAAATGGTTTAGTTCATGAACAAAATTAAGTGAACTCAAATTACGCATCTCGTTCATCTTTTTACTAAATGCTCTTTTATTTTCTCATTCCTGAAACTCATCAAAAGAGTCGGAAGTCCTACTTGGAAATTAAAAAGCCAGGGAGCGAAAGAGGTACACTACTCAATTCCAATTTTGTAAATGAATGTAGCTCCAGAAGCTATTAAATTCTACTGTTTCGTTACCACATAGTATAATGCACACTCGAATGATAAAATGTATAACAAGAAATAAGGTAGGAGAAAGCATACGTGAGGACTCGGATGAGGGCTCATCGATCGGCAGGTGGTACGCCACATCTGTCGGTTTATGCATTGTACCTGAAATCACTTAAATTTCAGAACTTTGAACAATTAAGAACCCATCATTCTATGCCAAAGACTTCAAAAGATTCACTCAACTAAAACATACAACTGACCATGTAAACAACACTAAAATTCAACTGATTATGTATCCGTATCATAATTTTTAGTATTCTGAACTGATTAAAAAATGTGGAGTACACAGCCTTGATCATAATCATCTTTGTGCCTTATAAACTTACGAATTACAAACAAACTACCTAAAACAGTGAGCAACGAATAATTTTATAAGTAGATGTTGTTGATTGTAGTTAAAATTTCAATTTGATTGAAAATGTTAAATCACAATACGCTAAATTAATTACACGGTAGTGAAAAAATTGACATTGCCAGGAAAGCAATGGCCACAGCGAAAGCCTCGTCAGAAAGACGGTGGATCTGAGCCTAACGAAGGAAATTACCCTTAAAAAAAAGATCCCAACATCGAAATCACATTGAAAACAAATCAAATAGCTAAATCCAAGATTGAAGTTACAGCTACTCTGGCTAAATCATGCCCACCGTTCCCAGTTTGAAGGAATACGGGTACAAAAAACCGGGAAGAAGGAATTAACAAAAATAAAAAGACCTTAAACTGCAGGAAAAGAGAAACAGATTAAGATTGATCAAGACCCTGAGATTTAGGGAAGATCGAATAGAAGAATCACAAGTCTTCTAGAAAAGCATGAAACACATTCTTGATTCAAAGAGTTTACGATTCGTATGAATCGTACACACAGTCCATTAAAATAAAGCAAAAATCAAACTAATTGCCGCTTCCATCATAGACAGTGCAGATATAGGAAAAATGATGTTCATGGAAGATAAATTCACTAATGCACACATTGAATTAGAGAGCTTAGAGATCATAGATTCCAAAGTCATCTTATTTCTCCTTTGTGAATTCATTTTCTCCAGGGATGAAGCAGAGACATAAACTCAAGTCTTGAAGGTCATCTTGTGAATTCAGCTCTTGCCACTGTGATGTTCATCGAAGATAAATTCACTAATCCACACACTGAATTAAAGATTACTCAAAACGCCTAATGAATCTATCACAATCTACTCAACCGAATCCATTGATCGGTCTACAATTAGATTGATGAAGAGTACATATGAAACAAACAAAAGAATTTTGAAGTGCGAAAACCCAGATCCGAAAACATTGAAGAGACAGATGGTTTTGAGCTTACCTGATCATGGACGGTTTAGTGATGCCAAAATAGAAACCTTGGTTCGTCGAAATCAATACTTTAAAGCTATCGAGTCAGAAAGTATAATCTTTAAGGCTGATGGGGAAAAAGTAGAAAGATTGTATTGATAGAGAACCTGAGAGATTTAGGGAAGAGAGAAGAACATGGAAGGAGAGCTTGAAAACGCAAACGATAACGACAGCCTGAGATTTCAAACGACGTTTGACTAAAACGCAAACCAGATATCCACTGAGGGTAGAAGAAGGGGAGAGGAGAAGTCGCTTAGTTTGGATTTTTTATTTTATTTCTCGGGTCTTGATAAAAAACTTAAGAAAAGAAAGAGCTGTTTGGAAAGAGTATCACATGTAACATAAATGTAAATGTATGATGACAGATAACACCCTCTCAGACACACTCTGAGAAACATGGTAACTACATAATATTATAATGTTTTTTTTTTCATTTCTCGGGTCTTGATAAAAAATTAAGAAACAAAATAGTTGTTTGGAAAGGGTGTTACATGTGACATAAATGTGTGATGACAGATGGCAGCTTCTCATGCACTGAAAAACATGGTAACTATATCATATAAGAAAAAAAAGAATTGTTTGGAAAGGGTGTTACTTGTGACATAAATGTGTGATGACAGATGGCAGCTTCTCAGGCAGTGAAAAACATGGTAACTACATCATATTAGAATAGATAGATAGATAGAAGATAGATAAATAGATAGCAAAACTCTAGCAACTTTGACCGTCTAAACTAATTATAGAAGAAACAGAAGAACAATAATCGAGCACATAGAATACGAAGAAACGTAATAAAAGAAGTGAAAGAAGTGAAAAAGAAGATATCAAAGAATGAAGACAAAAAATAAATCAAAGATGAAGAAGCATACAGAATAACAAAATAATAAACCGTAATGACGAAAAAACTGAAGAGGAAGAGTAAAGATGAAGAAGAAACCAAAGAATAAGAAAAAAATGAATAAAATGAGAATATACCGAAGAAAAATAAACAAAAGAAGAAGAATACGAACATCGGTTTACTATAATCACCATGATCATGCTAGGAAAATAAACTTTAGGAACTAGTGTAACTTCTCCAATGATCGGGCTTCTATGCCTTACGAGAAAATGTGAGAAAGGATTGTAATATGTTTTTAATCAGAAATTAACATAATAAATTTCATTTTATTATTGTGAGTGATTATACAAGAATTAAAATAATTCATTAAAATTAAAAATATAAAGAAATTTAGTAATAAGAAATTATAATTATAAAAGAAAAATATTAAAATATTAAATTATAATTCAATAAAATTTTGAAGAACTGAAAATTAGAAAATTCATAAATGTTTTATAGAAAAAAACATAAAAATGGAATACGCGCGCGTAAGATATCTAGTCTAAAAAAAAAGACAATTGTTAAACGCTTGATCGTGTGCAATGCTCTAAAATCTTACAAAATCTACTCAAATCGCAAAGAAATACATAGTCCTTACAGATATATATATATATATATACTTTTTGAGTATACCATGATTTTACATTAAATGATTACAAATTTTAAAAACTAGGTGGTTGTCCTGCATCTTGTGCGGGTACAATACTTTTTAAACATATTAACTAATTAAAGATTTTAATAACATAAGTAGTATAATTTTTTATTGTATTCATCGTTTTTGTTTTCACCGACTTCTCTTGATGTGTCTTGTTTTTGTCTTCTCTTTCTTATTCTTCTAAATAATATTCTTCATTCGCTTTAAGAGATACAAAAGATTTCCTATTTCTTGTTTTCTTCTTCATCTTATTCTTCTCCAATTATCCCATCTTTTTTTGTTCTTTCAATTTTATATTCGTTATCATCATCTTTTTCTTCTTTTTCTTAATCCAATTTGTGTTCATCAATCTTTTATTTTGTCTTCATATCCTCCAACTCACTATTCTTCTTTTTCGGTTTATCTTCTTACTCATTTCCTCTCTTATCTTTATTGTAACATCAGTAAATCAAAGAATTGTGAATTTTCCAATTTCGGTTCAATTTCAGGTTGTTTGGGCCGGTTTAGGTCACAGGAAACCCTGATTTCGTGTTATAAGATGCAGCCGTCAAGTTCCTTGGCAGTTTTGTCGTTTTGTGAAAGAGGAGAAGTCTAGAGGCGATTTGTGGTGAAATCCGGCGTTCCTAGTCGATTCAGAGGCAAATCCTTGCTGTTCTTCGTTGCTTTCATCTCCTTCCCTTGTTCAATCCGTCTTTAGAGGTGAGTGCGTGACCATAGGCTCGTGATTCACTAGATTCGGATTGTTTGTGATGTTTTAGGTTGAGTTCATGTGTGTTCTTGAGCTAATTGCTTGTTTGATCGATTTGGGTGGTTAATCCCTTTTGGGTGTCGCTCGACACATATGTATTTTGTCGGTTTTGCCCTTTTCTTTGTTGTGTTGAACTGTTGACTGCTTGTGAGTTCACTACAAGAAATCAGACGAATGGCCAAGGATATTGTAACATCCGTAGACCAAAGAATTGAGATTTTTCTTTGGTGTCGGTGGACACCAGGGTGGTGTCGGTCAACACCAATGGTTAAAATCGATTTCTGGTTCAATTTAAGTTCGGTTTAGCCCGGTTTGGGCCCAGAAAGCCCTAGAACTCGAAATAAAAAGGTGCAGCCGCGTTTCTTCTAGAGTTTTTGTCGTTTGGATCAGGAACGTGAGAGAAGAGGAGAGAGGCGATCTGGGCAGATTTGAGTGTTCTTGGACGAATCTGCGTCGATCTTTGTTGTTCTTCGCTCCTTCCTTCTCCTTTCCCTGTTCCTAGCCAAATCAAGGTGAGTGCATGACTGTAGGTCCGCAATTGCTAGATTTGGTTTGATTGGTTGATTGTTCTTGAGTTGTTCATGTTGATTATGTGTTATCTAGTGTTGTTTGGGTGTAATTCGTGTGGATTTGGTGTTTTCTGTGATTTTCGTGCTGTTTTGTTGAAGGAAGAATCGGTCTCTGGAACTAGTGTCGGTCGACACCAAGTTTGGTGTCGTCAACACAAGTGGTGGTGTCGCTCGACACTGACCGGTTCGGTCCGGTTCAATTGAAATTAAAATTGGTTTAAATTGATTTAATTTAATTGGTTAAATCTGGTTATCTGTTATTTGGTTAAATTCGTATTTAATTAATTAATTAAATGGCTTAAAATAATTATTTTAATTATTTTAAAATATGGAAAATTATTATTTAATTATGAGAATTATTTAATAATTGAGAAATGAAGTTTTAATTATTAAATTATTTAATAATTGGAAAATGGAATTTAATAATTATTGGAGTTTATAATAATTATTTAAATGTCTAGTAAATTGCGTAAATGGCCTGTAGGCAGAGTGATTGCCTCACTAAGTATTTATTAAATACTTATGCAACTCCATTCCAATGTGTTGCAGGTAAAAGATTTGTGTGATCGCGGAATCAAGGCTGAAGAGGGGGATGATAGGATGTTTATTGTTTTATTTATTTTGCATTGTTTTGCTAGACTTGTTTAATTATTATTTGCTTCCGCTGAACTGATTTATTTGTTATTGATATTTATTTATTTAATTTATTTTAAAGACCTTCGCTAGAATTGATTAGTATTTATAAAAAAAAAAAAATGTTGGTTGTTTCAGATATAATTCTGGCTTATAGGCTAAAACTGTGGCTATTTCGTGTTTAGCCCATTCGATCGTTGCTAAAGACAAAATCGTGGCCGATCGTGGCACAATGCTACGACGTGGTCAGAGATTGTAAACGTAGCCAATAGCCACATATGTGCCACGGATATTCCCTAGCTATTTTGCCACAATTCGTCTAAGGAGCAATTCCTTGCTATTTTCGACACGGATAATTGTATGGCTTTTTCCGTGGCTATTGGCACAATGCTACAACGTGGCCAGAGATAGTAAACGTAGCCAATAGCCACTTATGTGCCACTGATATTCCCTAGCTATATTGCCACAATTCGTCTAGGGAGCAATTCCTTGCTATTTTCGACACGGAAAAATGTATGGCTTTTTCCGTGGCTATTGGTTACAATTTTGCCTCGCAACTTCCCTAGCATGTTGCCACGATCAAGCAAAGAAAATTCCTTGTCTAAGGAGCAATGTAATTTATAGGGATACTATCGTGGCTACAGTTTATAATTATGTTTAATTTTTATTATATATATAATATTAAAAGTGCAACTAGATAATATAAATTATTTTAAAATCATTAAAAAATAATTACTGATAATATAAAATTAACAACGATAAGCTAAATAAAAAAATTTTATAACCGCAGTTGTCCAAAAGCCAAAAGGCTTACAAAATGGCATACAAGGTACAAACACCAAAAGCCATACAAGTCATACACAACGTTGCTTAAAGAGAAAAAAGATGCAACGTTGTTTTAGCCGAAAGTCATACTATCCGAAAACATTGTTTAAACAAAAGCTAAAGCTGGTGGCTAAAGTTTGAGCTAAGGATCAAAATACCCATCGATAGACTGAGGATCCATGTTTGCCAAGTTGATCGGTGAATGGTCCAACGCTTGTCCTCCATGGTCTGAAGCTTGGGAACCATCTGAAGTTGGGGAACAGTCTGAAGCTGGTGACTGACGCTCTGGAGTACATACTCTCGTCGGAGCTGCAGTACTGGTCGTTGACTTGAGAACGACAGATGGATCAATCCCATTAGCTTCCAAAAGCATACGTGTTGCTGCCATTATGGAAGCAATGTCTGTGGCCATAGACTGCATATGCCCTTCCATCGCTTTCATATTTTCTTCCATTGCTTTCACCTTTGTCTCCAAATGAAGTGTCCGTGGGATGGCCGTAGAGGAGGACTCTGACGGATCTCCATAATAGCGATGAGCAGATCCAAGGCCATAAATACGCCCTTTGTTAGGTGGAACAACCTATGAGCAAATCGGAATTTTAATAATTACTAGTACATATAGCAGGAGAAATAGAAAAAAATAAAATCAGTTGAAGCGTATAAGTAGTTAAAAATTTACCTCCAAAAACAGCATGTTAAGCTGAAGTGGTGTCAATGATGGTGATCCCTCCTTGCTCATTCCATCTGGATCAGATTCGGTCATCGATACTTGGATTGCTGCTGTCTCTACTTCTTCCACAATCATTTTTGACCGACCGTCAGCAAAGGTGCCATCTTTTCGAGTGTGTGTCCTTCTCACAAGATCAGGGAAAGAAGGTTCAACTCCACCAGAAACGATCATCTTATACACATGTTGTAAAAGGAATTTTAAATGTAACAATCACTGTTAAGACAATTAAAAATTTAACCATTTAATACATCTATTGCTTACCATGTCGTATTTGATCTTGATGTACGGTGTCGGACCGGCAGTGTGTACGTGTTTACCATGACCACCTTGGTCTGAGTATCGACTATCAGATGCAGACTTGCTCTTCTTCATCGCCTGTTCAGTCCCCCAATAGGTTTGCAAGCAACCCTATGAATTATGATTGTGGACGTTGCTAGTGTCTCAAGTAATTGGCATGTAGGTGGGATGATCCACTCACTAAGCACTGTTGTGGTTCTATCTCTGTAAGATCAGATTACTAGATGTATGGTAAAGTAATCATGCATTAAGTTCAAGTAAATGTGAAGATCCATAAGTTAAAATCCCAAGTAATTTGCAACACAATCAAATCATCATAGCGCCCATAGATCTCCTCGCCTAACCGAGAGATCTACTCGGCCATGATGCAAACAAACAAGCAAGGCATGATTGAAAGCATTAGACAAGTATAATAAGAAGTAAAGGGATAAAATAAAGCTTCTCTATTGAAGAAACAAGTCAGATCTCCCTTAGAACTCTCGATCTCAAGTACAAATGGAAATGGAAATAATGAAAACAAGAGAAGAACAAGTATAGAATCGAGCGGCGCATTCTTCTTCCAAGACGACGAAATACTAGGGTTTCTCCTCTTCTCTCGCGGCGGCTCTCCTCTTCTCTTTACTCTCTCTCTGCAGACACACACGACCCTCTTTCTTCAGCCGCTAAAAACATGTATATATGAGCGAAGTCACGTAGAGTTTTACTTCATGCATGGAAAAGGAAAGTTTCCCATGAGCCGGGCCTCTTCTCTCACGTCGTATGGGATGGCATTGCACCAAAGAATACTCCAAACATTAGCTAGGCCTCTCCCTTATTGATCTAAGGCCTTGGGCGCTGTTGCTCGGGCCATTAGACACTCCAAATCCTCCATGGGCTCCTCTTGGGCGCTAACCGGACATGTCTCGGTAGAAAATAAGTTCTGCCCTGATGGTTGATCCAAATGGTTTTATTCTACTTCGCTTTGATGCATGACTCAAGTATCTATCTTTCCATATCAAGATCGTGCCTTTTGGACGGCGGTAACTCCTCCATTCGCGGCCAAATTTCCGAAGTTTTGTTCTGCTCGGTAGCGAGAATTAATACTTGGAGATAAAATGATGCTCTTGACTTGGAAATTTGAATGGAACTTGGTTTGAGACCCTTTTACTCCTTTTTGCATCTTTTTGATAGTTTCACCTACAAAGACTTCAAATCCCACAAATACAAGAAAACTATCTCTAAAGGTAAAAGATCTTATAAAAACCGTTTGAAAACATAAATAAATATTAAATAAAAGTATGTAAAATATAGTGATATCAGCAACTTTTATATTTAAGATGTGTTTTGAGGTTAATACATCAAACGGAAAGAGTATAATATTTGTTCTTTACTCAGCAATAAACATAAACTTTATATCTGTACTAAATTCAAAATATGTGAGGAAGAACATAATGGAGATTTCCTTGAACACAATGAATATAAAATTGTCTTCTTCTTTTCAAAATCTCTACAGAACAGTTTATAAATCTTATATATAATAGGAGAGTTGCTCTCTCCTCCTAGGCTATCCACATCAGCAAAAAAATCATTAATTGTATTTAAGATATTTAATATATGTGTATTAATATTTCTTTATATATATTCCTATTTTACACATAAACAAAACTAAGAAAAATACACAAACAATTTAATTGATTAATATAAAGTATGTGATATCTTGATGTTAAAAGTTAAAAGAAAGTTGTAATATAAAATGGAGATGAAATAAAGAAATATTTAACTTGAAATAGTATATAGTTAGGTTTTAACTCAAAGGATTTATCCTATTTAAAAATGTTATAATGTGCTTACAAGTAAAAAAGGTACAATATAAATTATTTAACATAGTAAAAAGCTAATAAAAAATTAGAGTTAGAGTTTGTTTTATTAAAAAATAGAAGTCGAGTTATTATTTAAATTTCATTGCAACGAAAAGTATGAAAATTTTAAGAATGGTGACATGTTTGTTTCAAAAATACAATTTATATTTACAAAACTAACATAATAGAAAATAATCAATTGTCATATGCTACCACAACAAAGCATATATGTAAGAAGTTATACATGTTTTTGTTTTTCATCATATTTTGAGTGCAATTGCGATTCTACACCATGTTTACAAATTTTAACGTTGAGTCAAATGCATATTAAATTTTAGAAATAGAAAACTCGAGATGAAGTAAGGTGTTAATATCTTAAAAAAAAAATTGATCATATTGTTAGTGTTAATTGTTGGGTTAACTCAAAATATAACCAAAACATGGAAAGTTAACATATAACCATCATAATTCAAAATTTCAAATCAATGAATATAAATAAAATCAAACAGAAAAATTATTGCAAATAACCCGTGCTTGCACGGGGCTTTAATCCCTAGTGGTCATAATTAGAGAACTACGTTTTTCGTACTCTAAGCCTTTTAATACGGCATACTCTGTCAAGAGTCAATGAGCATCAGGAAGTAATATTAATGTTTTTTCGGGAAAAAAGAAATGCATGTCATGTAAATTATTATTTCAGCATCATCACACTTTAGTTATTTTATCTTCTCCTTGCACGGGGCTTTAATCCCTAGTGGTCATAATTAGAGAACTACGTTTTTCGTACTCTAAGCCTTTTAATACGGCATACTCTGTCAAGAGTCAATGAGCATCAGGAAGTAATATTAATGTTTTTTCGGGAAAAAAGAAATGCATGTCATGTAAATTATTATTTCAGCATCATCACACTTTAGTTATTTTATCTTCTCCTTGTTCAGTTTGACCTCCAACGATGCTCTTTCAGCTTGAGTACATTACAAAACCTTATCAGTAATACCGCATTAAAGGCCGTAATAAGGATTGCGAAGGTTTGAACAAAGAGTCTGAGACTATTTAAATCACCTCTTGAAACCTTGCTCAAGATCCCTTATGTTCTTTGATCAAGTCTAACAGCATCACATTTTATTAGATTCAGTTACTTCTCTCTCTCACTAAGGAGTTTCTTTGTGAGATCATGTAACAGAGTAACAATAAGGTTTGTGTTCATCAAAAAGAAAACTTTCCAAACTTATAAACTCGGATTTAGTGATGAAGATCAAGTGTGTGAATGATAGAGGCTATCTTTAAGTTCTGTTCTCATTTAATTGTGTGGAATATATAGTTAGTTCTTTGGAGATTATTGGCGGAAAATGAATTGAATATAACAAATTTTAACGGATGTATGTGTGTTGTGCTTTGTATCATTTAACCCTGGCAATATATTATCTTCTTTCCGGATCGGAGGAAGTCCCTGGAAGAGAGTGTTGAAATCGTTGTTGCTAAAGTCATTGAAGAAGACTTGGAACTCGATGTTATCTGCGGGATTTTGTCCGGTTTCTTTACGATACTTGTCTTCTACTGTTAATTTTTTTTTTTTACGATATATATATATATATTTTTTTTCAAATGTTAAATCAAATAATATAATTTGTAGATAATTTCTTAAAAGGCAAAAAAATATAGGACTAATAAGGTAAATGACAATGGGAAAGATTGAATTTAATTCGGTAAATGGGCTACACTCTCTTTAGACTTTAAGGGATTAGTCGGGTGGTAAAACTCGGATCACCTACTGTTTATAAAAAAGAAGCTCTAATGCAATCCTTAAGAGATTAACACAATAACTATATATGTACCTGTTGAGCAAGATCATTCAAAGATGCTCCAAGGCAATCCATCGGTACTCCTTTACAGGTCTCAGACATCTTAACTCCGTCTCTCATACAAGATCCAAAAATCAAAAATAATCCACCGGGGACGAGCTCCTCAGCTCTAGCGTCCAACAGATTCTTGGTGTCGACCGAGTACTGGTCAAGATACGCTTTCTTGACAGCTTTGTTGATGCCAGTGCAATGCATGTCTTTGTTCCATAGGGGAGAGTTGCGGTTTGTGATCCCTTTGGGAACTTTTGAGGTGAAATGGAATGCGTAACTAATGATTCCTATATGGAAACTTTTCTTAGGAAGAACACGGTCCAAGAAAGAACCAGGAACCCCTGCGCTATAGTATCTTCTTTCTGGAGGAAGTCCCTGGAAGAGAGTGTTGAAATCGTTGTTGCTAAAGTCGTTGAAGAAGACTTGGAACTCAATGTTATCTGCGGGGTTTTGTCCGGTTTCTTTACGATACTTGTCTTATACTGCATCTATTATGTTCTGCACAGCCAAAAAAGTGTTAGGCCCACTCGCACAACCGAAATCCACTATAGTGAAGCGATCGGTAATCAAGTTGAGAGTGAGTTTGGCTGAGATTGCCTCGTTCATCTTTTCTTTTGCAGCTTCCAACAAAGCTCTCTATAAGACAAAATTAAGAGGAAGTTGTGTATACATACCAAGATTTGAGAATTTAGTAGGAACTCTAACATCATTTTAAATATAAACCTGATAAGAGGAATTTTGATGGTAACTCTCAGGACCTTCTCCACCAATCATAATCCATTGTGGAGTATTAGACATGATCGATCAGTCTCTTGTTCTCACTCTTCCTTTTCTTGTTTGATAATCTCAATATTTTGATGATAGTTGTGATGATCTACTGACGTCTCTATGCATATTTATATTACTATTTCAAGCTTAAATGGAGTGAACATCAACAGCTGGTGTTGGTGGAGCTATAAATACTATTGATGTTCGTATATGGCCTTCCTAGCTAACAAGTGGGCACATTAATTTGATGTTTTCTAAATGTAATCATACTATGCCAACTTTATATACTGAATATATCCCTATGAAAAATTGTGCTTATAAAATCTATTTATACTATATAAAAGTTGAGGCTATATGTTTAATGGGAAAATGCATATTTTATTCTTGAACTATATAAAACTACACGTTTTATTCTACAACTCTTGATTGTACAAATAATTCCTCAAAGGATTGTTGACTCTACCAAATCAGGTTTCAATTAGTCAACCGTTGAAACAACCAAGCTTTTTTATATAAATAAATAAATAAATCCTAACAATTCTAGCGGAAGTCTTTAAAATAAATTCAATACATAATAAAGTCAAATTACAATAGCATTCAGCGGAAGCAAATAATAATAAATAAATCTAGCAACCTAAACACTATGTGCTAGCAAGTCAAACAAATACAAATAAATAAAACATCCTATCATCCTCCTCTTCGGCATTGATTCCGCGATCACACAAATCTTTTACTTGCATCACATTGCGAAAGAGATGCGTAAGTATTTAATAAACTAGGGTTTGACCCGTGCCCTGCACGGGGTGATAATTTCTGAATTTGTATTTTTAATCAGAAAATGTAAATATAACTATTTTGAAATTTTATATGACATACTCCCTCCGTTTCAAATTAGTTGTCGTTTTGACAAAATGTATCTGCAATTATTTGGATGTATCTGGATGTGTTTTGAGTTTAATATATTCAAATAATTGCAGATACATTTTCTCAAAACGGCAACTAATCTTAAACGGAGGAAGTATTTTTTACCTTGGTTAGGTTCTTGTCTTGGTTTATAGTGTGGAGATTAAGCGCTGATCATAGCTGTAGATTAAATATGATAGACTTAGGCGATATACATAAAAGTCAAATGATTACAATATTATAAAATAAATTTTAAGAACAAAAAATGAAAATAAAATACTATTCTTTAAAAAAACATTATATATCATGTATTTCATAAGATAAGCAGCTATATATGTATACACACGGATTATAACTAACTTTTTTCTCTTTCATTCAAAACTAAAAAATGTTTTACTGTAATTTCAAAACAATTAGACCAATAAGAAAACAATATGCAGAATCCAAATTATCAAAACAACAAAAATATAATTAGTTTTATCAAAATAAATTTTTTGATCAAAATAAAATATTTATAAGAAGAATTGTTTTATTTGATTTAATTATACAGTTTAATTAAAAATCTATATTAAATCGAAGAAAACCCATTTTACATTTGGATACCTACTATTTTATGTCACATGGTTGCACATCATCTATTTTTATAAATATATTCTTACACCTTTACACAACAACATATCATATATGAGAATTTGAAGAGTTTTAGTGAATATTTTGTTTTTACACATTCCAATCATAGAAGTATACAGAAAAAAAAAATTAGATTTTCTTTATTAAATTTCTTATATTGTGATTCAAATTATTTTATAAAATAAATGTCAAAAAAAGATGAAATGAGATATTTAATGATTTTTAAAAAAAATTCTTATAATACAATTAAATTGAATCTCATATTTTCCTAATTTACTAATTTTCGTAATTGCCAATTAAGGAAAGAGAATGATAATTTTTTTTATTAATAACTACATATATGATTAATTTAATAATACAGATTTGATTCTCTAACCAAAAATATGAATGACAATATTTATAATTATTAATATCTTGTTATAAATATTTCATAAATTAAAAAAATGCACATTTAAAAAAATGATGAAAATAATATAAATTGATATCTGTTTTTAAAAAATCAAACCATTCGGTTTTTTTTGTTTCATTATCGGTTTGGATTCGGTTAGGTTTCGCTTGGGTTCGGATCGGTTTTGGTGCTGAAATAACGGATACAAAAAAATAAAATTAAATTGAATGATATAGTAAATTTTTCAAAAAATGAATTTAAATAAATATTATCAAAAGATTCGGATATTTAAAATATTTTGATTAATTTATTCTAAATATAACTAATACATTCAGTATAGAATTATAATTTTAGATAGTTTGGTTATTTTAAAAATAAATGTAACTAAATATTTTATATATAATTTATATTTTCGGTATTTATTCGGTTTTTGGTTCGATTCGGTTTCCGTTTTTCTGATGTAGAAATTTACGGATTTTGTGTTGTTTTTGGTACCATCAAAATCGGTTCGGTTCAGTTTTTTGGGTTCCGGTTTTTGTGCTCAAGCCTACCATATACCTCAAAAGTCATTGTAACAAGATTTATTTGAACAAACTGTGTGAATTCAAATTGAATCGTTTTCTCCAAAACGAAACAGTTCGAAAGGAATTATACTGAAACTAACTAAGAATAAGAATATTATATTTGAGTCGGGATCGAGCCGAAAGTTTACTCCCAGACAGATCTACCGTGACGAGGTAAGAAAGCTATAAGTAGATTTGAAAAGGAATAGAGTCAATATGTTCAAGTTTTAAGTGACATTGATGATTTATTTTCAGAAAATAGATAGGTGTAGATACGAAGATAAATGAAAACAATGAAAGATGAATTATTTTTTTTTCATTTTTTTATATATATAAAAAAATACTCGGCGTCTTACTTCGGTTATATTAGACGTTAGCGTTACTTTAAAAGTGACAGAAGCACTTTAACAAGCACTTTAACGTGATTTAGAAAAGCGTCGTAATAACGTGTGTGACGCTAAATTATTTGGCATCACTTACTAAAGTAACGTGTACTTTCACGTCAGAAATTTTACGTCACTTAAACAAAGTTTGGCAACACTTTATCATGTGACACAAGATACATTGTGTTATTTAACAACCGACGCAAGTTATATCATTGATTAAAAAAAAATGATGCTAATTAATGTATATTTGTATTGTATTATAGAAATGATAATCCAAATACAAATTGTCATGACCAAAATATATTATTGAGCTGAAACATAATACAAATTAACATAAGATAATTGTTATGAATGTAATTATACTCTTTGTATTATGTTTCCACCAACTGTTCTTCATCCAGTATTATACTCTTCAATAGTTTCCTCCTTTACCTATCATCAACACAAGATCAAATCAGAACTAAGCATATTTCGTCATTTTTCAAAGAACAAAAACCAATCTAAGCAAATCTATCATGTACTACTTATGTTCTCAGACCTATTGTGTTCTCAAATCTACCATGTAAGCATACTTATGTTCAAATCTACCACACACTAAGCACTACTTATCTTCTCAGACCAATCAAATATACCATTTCTCAAACAGAACAAAACCAATCATACCTTGGATATTATGAACAATCTGGGATCTCATAACTCCATCTCTTGGTTTTCTATCTGTTTCATAAGCAAACAGAAATCATAAGCTAAAAGAAAACATAAAGTGTAAGAATGTCACCTTATATATTGCTTTTGTTTAAGAATGTTACCTTAGATATTGCTTGTTTAAGAATGTCAACCATTGCGTCTCTATCTGTCTCATTCACCTGCATAACGTAATTCGTGATTAAAGAAATGGATTGATCCAAAAGCAGCAAATAAACCATTCATTACCTTGAATTGGCTGCATGTGGATCCAATATAAGCTTGAGAGCACTAGCAACAATATCAACTTTATCTGCCAGATTCTTCACTGTTGACTTAATCTCAACTAATTCTACATTAATTGATGATGTAGAGTCCAAACTTGAAAAGTACTCAGATGGGGTTACACCACGACCTAATAAACGAACTCGTCCTGAATGCTCTGGACCAAAAACTTGAGCAATAGCATCATTCTTCAAGGATGTTTCGCCTGGAAGTTTCTGATTCATAACTTCCTTAAGTTTGTCCTGCAAAGATCAGTTCCATGTGAACAAATCAAATGTACAAAGCAAATCAAATGTACAAAGCAAATGAAAAAGTACTAACAGAACATATTCTTGCTTCCTCACAAACCATACTGCCATCTTTCCTTGTACGTGATGCAATGAAGATTTCTGCTCGACTTGGTTCAACACCACTTTCTTCTTCCTGAAACATATCTAACAATTCAAGACTGACAAAAGTTTACCATATACTAAATAAACTTACCATCTCATTACCTCTTCTTGCCAAACTCTTCTTCCCAAGAACATGTGGTATCTTTAAATGGCTTCTACTTTTCACATTACCCTCTCTAAGTTTCTATAGTTAAAAAAAACTCAGAACATGTAATTGGCGTTTATTTATCTAAGAGAATCAGTGAATGGAGAATGTTCTAGACATACCTTGGCTTTATCTGTGAATTGAGCATGAACAAAATCAATCCATTGGTCTTCCGGAATCAATGTTGGTCGAGCGATAATTGACTCTCTTGGTGTATTTTTTCTATGAATCTTCCATAAGCGGTTCTTTAAGTCTCTGCATCTGACTCCTAAAGTAGACATCACATATTTTTTCCTCTTCATTGGATTATCGAACCAAAATTTTTTCTGTAATCAAATAAAAACCATGAGTTAGACCAAAAAGACTGTTAATATATAAATCTAACTATGAGTTAAACTAGATACCTGAATAACTGCCCATGCCATCTCCTTCCTATAGTTAGCAACTTTCCTCCAATCAGTGTAGTTAATAGGAAGAATATTAAAATCGTAGCTCAAGCTACCTTACCAAGAACCTAATAATCCTCCTGAATCTTTTATTGGTTGTCCCCTCCTATTAAAATTTACAATAACTCGACGTTTCTGCATGCTCCAGACTTGCTTCCCAGTTACCTTTTCTAAAGTAATATTTCCATCATCATCTAAAGACATAAGGAAACAATACCAAATCAATATTGATCATGGAGAAACATCACAAATAAGAAAAAATTAAACAGTTAACAGATTTACCTATAACTTGAACGTTCCATTTTCCATTAAGCAATTCGGTCCAAGAAGAGGTGGAGCAGAGAAGTCTTCATTCATACTCGTCATATTTAAACCTGTAACGTTATAATAAAATTTATCAACAAATCAGCAATAACACTAAATTATCTTACTAAAACATACATGTCAAGATATAAACCAACTATCTTAGTAAAATCATTCTCAAACATGTAAACCAAATTCACATAAACATGTAAACCAAATTCACATAAACACGTAAACCAAATTCTCAAAATCCTAGACATAAGCATACCTCTTGAGTATCTAAATCAGAATCCTCAATTTGTCTTACTAAAGTAATATTAGATATATTCTCAGAGTTCATCATGGAACTATGAATAGAATCTTCAATCATAACATTTGGAGCATCAAGAGCGCCCATATCATATAAATCTCTTGGCTGGACCTTTACTACCACACTCCATCCTTTTTCTTGAGGATCATCAACACAGAAAACCAATTTTACTTGAGAAGCCAGCACATGTGGTTCATCTTCCTCACCATCTCCACTATGAATTTGCCGAGAAAAGTTTACAGCCTCATAACCAAAACTATCCTTTTTATACCCTCGTGAATCACAAGTATCTGCCCATTTGCATTTGAACAATACGACTCTAAAACAGTCATAATAGTTCAATTCAATAATCTCAACTACTTTCCCATAATAAGAAACATCTCCAGCTCTTGGATTAAGATCACTTGAACTAGCATAACTCATAGTCTCAGCCGAGACAAACACTCCACTATTCTGAGTTTTCAAGTCTTGATCTCTTTCCAATGTTCTGAATTTGAATCCATTGATATTAAATGCAGAAAACTTTAACACTTTATCAGATGGACCAAGAGCAAGACAACGAATATCACTAGATACACCACTCATTTCATTTTTCTCAATCCTTTCTTTCAACCATTTACCAAAATGCAGATGCACATGTCGATCAATATCTATAACATGACTTCTCTTTCGACGTCTTAATTGTGATCTTCTTAACTCATTTTTGAACATCCTATAACCAAAAGTTCAAAGAAAACAACAATTCTATCAACATATACTCAAGACCATTAAGACTTAAAGTTGAATAAGATAAAGATTCTTACTCCCGATATGGATCCAAGAAAGGACAATTGAATAAGATATATCGGTGTGCTTGTTGCCACTCTAAATGGCTTAGAGTATCGGACCTAGAAGCACCAACAAATCTCCCAATTGATGGAAAAATCAATGGAATTTGTGAACTTGAACCTAAGCTATGCTCAACCATCGGTCGATCATCCACTCTACCAACTCGGTTAAACCTTGTTTCAATCCCATGAAGATACATTGAGCTTAAATTTAAACACTCTTCAGCAATATACTGCTCACATATGGAACCCTCAGGTCTTGCTCGGTTTCTAACATAAGATTTGAAATGACCAAGCATCCTAAGACATAAAGATAAAAGAGTTCAGAATAAATTTATAATGCTCACACTATGTAATAAAAGAATATAAGAACAAGAGTATACCTCTCGAATGGATACATCCATCTAAACTGAATTGGACCTCCTAATTTCACTTCTTCAGTCAAATGACTTGTCAAATGCACCATTACCGTGAAAAATTATGGAGGAAAAACCATCTCTAAATGGCATAATGTGAGAGCGATATGATCTTGCAACTTATCCAAATAACCGATGTCAAGTTCTTTGGAACATATTTCACGAAAAAAATGACATAACTCAGTAACAACAAATGTCACCTCTTGAGGTAAACCTTTACGTATGGCTATAGATAGCAGCTGACCCATCAAGATATGACAATCATGACTCTTTGAACCCACTAACTTTCTTTGATTCAGATCAACACAGTTGGAAATATTGGAAGAATATCCATCAGGAAGCTTTAAACTCTTCAAACAATTAAGAAAAACATCCTTCTCACGGTTTGTCATTGTAAAACATGCAGGAAGATATCTACCACTCTCATCAGGCCACAATTCAAAGCGTATACCAAGTTCTTGAAGATCCTTTCTTGCACTAAGATTATCTTTAGATTTTCCTTTATCATCAAGTAAAGTAAACACTACATTATCCAATACATTCTTCTCTATATGCATGACATCAAGATTATGCTGCAAGAGAAGGTGTTTCCAATATGGAAGTTCAAAAAATATACTCTTTTTCTTCCACTGATGTACTTCAACTCGGCTTCTCTTTCTTCCACTAGGATCTACTTTCTTTCCCAAAGTAACATCAATGTTTTGAATCTGTTCAAGAATAGTGGAGCCTGATGGTGTGACTGGAGCAAGTCTTGACTCTATATGTCCGTTGAACTGTTGCTTATCTTTCCTAAACCTATGGTTTTGAGGAAGAAAGCGACGATGTCCCATGAAGCAGTTTTTCTTTCCATGCTGAAGACGAAACTCTGTGGCATCAAAATTACAAGAAGGGCATGCCAAGTCTGTATGTACATTCCAACCAGACAAATTACCAAATCCAGGAAAATCACTGATGGTCCATAGTAAAGCAGCACGCATACAGAAGACCTCATTCTTTGAGACATCAAAAGTTGATACACCTTCACACCACAAGTCTTTTAACTCTTGGATAAGCGGCTGGAGATAAACATCAATATCATTTCCTGGTATATGTCTTCCAGGAATGATCATTGAAAGGATCATTGAAGTCTGCTTCATAGACATCCATGGAGGTAAGTTATAAGGAACTAAAAACACAGGCCATATAGTATAACTTAAACTCATCGAACCATAAGGGTTAAAACCATCAGTTGCTAAACCCAGCCTAACATTTCTTGCTTCCGATGCAAATTCATGAAACTGCTCGTTGAATCTCTTCCAAGCTAATCCATCTCGAGGATGTCTTAGTTTTCCATCTCTGTTTTCAGAATCGGTATGCCACCGCATATGTTCAGCAGTATGTGATGAAAGAAACAAACGTTGCAAGCGAGGCTTAAGAGGAAAATATCGAAGGATTTTGGCAGCTTGTTGCTTCTTACTCTTCTTCTTCTTCTTCTCTAATGCTTCATCATCAGCATCAACTGTTTCTGATGCTTTCCATCTTGACTTTTCACAAACTTTGCATTTCTCTTTAGATGAGTCTTCGCCCCAGTACAACATGCAGTCATTAGGACACGCATGAATCGTCTTATATTTTAACCCCAGCTTCCGAATTGTTTTCTTCATATCGTTAAACGAATCTCGAAATTTAGCATACTCAAAAGCTTCTTTCAAAAGATCTATAACCATAGACATACCCTTGTCACTGATTTTAGAAATACACTTGATGTGATATAGCTTGAGCATAAACGAGAGCTTGTTGAATGACTGACAACCTTCGTATAGAGCTTGATTACAATCTGACAGCAGCTCATCATAGGCCTTTTTCTGTTTCAAAGCATCTGTATCTGTATCCATACTTGGTGTAGAACCAGCTTCTGGAAATTCATATTGCCCCGTATCCATATCCATACTTGGTGTAGAAGCAGCTTCTGGAAATTCAGGTTGCCCCGTATTCATATCCATACTTGGAAAAACTTCAGCAAGCAAATTCAAGGTTGAGCTATCCGACTGATCTAAACTTACAGCTTCCGGCTGATCTAAACTAACAGCTTCCGATTGAGCTAAACCAACAACATCTGAGAGACCCTCAACCTCTTCCCCGTGTAGAAACCAATTCGTATATGTGTCGAGAAATCCATGACACATTAAATCACCTTCAATGTCAGCTCTACACTTGTATTTAACAAGGCAACAACGTTGACATGGACATTTAAGCATGTCTGCTTTGATTTTTTCAAAGGCAAAATCTAAAAAACCCTTGACTCCTATTCTATAATCTTGAGTCAAACGAGATTTTGTTATCCACGATTTATCCATATTCACCTAAAAGTTCCCATATGAATAACAAAAAAACTCAGGGGCAATCAACCAAATCAACAGTTTCTAGCAAACTCAGCAAAGCACACCGATATATCTTATTGCTAACAACAATACAAACCAGGATTCAATCAACCAAATCAACAGTTTCTAGCAAACTCAGCAAAGCACAAACTCAAGATACCTTTATAAACACAAACAATCAGAATTTGTAGATACAAAACACAAGATTTCACAAGCACAAAGCATTACGTATTGCTAAAATTTCAATCACAAACAGAATTTGTAGATACAAAACATAACATATACAAATGGAGATAGATGAAATATATACAAACTCAGGGGCAGCTAGCAACAATACAAACCAGGATTCAATCAACCAAATCAACAGTTTCTATCACCTTCAAACGAACAAAGCAATATCACTTATTCAATGTCTCTAGCTAATGAGAATTCATATGGAGATAAATAGAGAAATTAAGTAGAGCAAAATGGGATTTCAATTACTATCTAATCTCAATCACAAACATAATTTTTAGATTCAAAACAAAACATATACAAATGGAGATAGATGAAATATACCTGGAAAATTTGATTTCCGGTGATGGGCGATTTCCGGGTGATGAGTGATTGCTTTGTGCCTTGAAATATGACTCGAAATGGAGAAGTAAACTAAGGTTAGAAGAGAGCTTAGCAAAAAAACGCCAATGTTTAAGAAGAGCTTATAAATGAAAATCAACAAAACTTAGATTTGAGCAAGCTTAGAGAAAAACTTACCGAAGATGGTACAAATCTCCTCTTGTGACTTGAGCAAGCTTAGATACGAAGAGATCTCTGCACTCCGATGAGTTCGTGTAGCTCAATTTAAGTGGAAATCGAAGAATATGCGATCGGAGATGATGGTGTGATTGGAGAGAAAGGATGGTGTGATTGGAGAGAAAGGATTGTGTGATCGAAGAGAAATAGGATTGATCAGAGAAAGGATGGTGTGATCGAAGAGAAATAGGATTGATCTCTGCACTTTAATTAGTTCGGTTAGCTCAATAAATCGAAGAATTTGTGATCGGAGAACATGGCGTGATCGGAGAGAAAGGGGAGAGAGAAATTGAAATTTTTCTTTAAAAATAAGTAAAAATTAAACAATTGGGCTTTTAGTTTTAGTTCGTAAAATCAGAAAAGCTTCGTAATTGTTATTGCTGATTCTTTTATTTGATGGGCTAACATTTCCATCGTTTCTTAAGTGACGCTAAAAGCCTTTCTATTAAAAAGTTTTACGTCGCGGTTTAACAATTGACTTTAATAAAGTGACGTAAACCAGCGTATTTCTTGTAGTGTATATTTTTTATTAAAAATAAAATTAAAATCTTCAAAACACAGTAAATAGTTATTCAAATTGAAAACAACATGATTTTCTTAACTTCAAAATACAGCGTTTTGATATAAGAGTTTTTTTTTGTAAAGAAAAATAGTTTGAGCTTTTTTTTGCACAAATTAAAAAGATTTATGACAATATCACGTCATCAATATAGACAGAGCTACATTGTAAGGGACTTTTGAGTTAATTAGTTTGACTTGTATTTTTTGGGTTTTTTCCAGTGTTTTTAAAACCGGACCGGCCGGTCGAACCGGTTCAACCGTGAACCGGATAGGATGTCCGGTTTGGGTTAATACTAAAAACCAGTTTAGACAAAAACCGGAAAACCCAGTCAAAAACCGGCAAAACCCGGTGAACCGGATCGAACCGGTGAACCAGCAGAACCCGGTTTTGGATTTATTGACTCTTCACTCTGGTTTTAGATTGTCGGGTCAGTTGATTTTTGTTGATCTGGTTAAGAAAACTATAGATCTGAGAAGAAATAACAAAATTAATATGTCTGTAACAGAAACTTTAAATCGGGGAGACGGGAGGTTGGAGAAGCAAGAGGGTGAGATGGCGGCGAATGGTTTTAGAGAGAAGAAGAGATGTAGTTAAAAGATTCTCTTAGGTTTTTCTATTGTTTAAATATGCCAAAAAGGCAAAAAGTAAAAAAAATAGTGAAGTATATTTATTACAAGATATACTCCATGTATTCTCGTAGGTAAAATTTTGCTATATATACATGAGATGTACAAACAAAAAAAACAATGGTAAACCCGGTTGGACCGGTTGAACCGGATTGACCCATGATCCAACAGATTTCCCGGTTCATCATTCGGTCCGGTTTTAAAAACATTGGTTTTTTCTGAGGTGAAAGTTTTTCTTGCAAAAATAATATAGTTTGAAATTTTTTTTGCACAAAACCAAAAAAAAACTGTTAATCAACTAATTAATTAAGTAATCAAAGAAACTAACAAATAGTTTTCTAGTTTTCAAATTTTTGATTTCAATAATTCAATATTAAATAGTATGTACAAATGATGATAAATTTTTTTTAACTGTTAATATGCTATATAATGTTATTTGAGAAATATTAAATTACATAACCTGCGTATAAGACATATTCTAATATATTATATACTGTATATTGTTCTGATTAAAACTATTACTCTCCAGTTTTTATTTTTTACATTTGAAATTATCTGTGTATATATAAATTAAATTTGCCCAACATATTAATGGTGTTCTGTTTCAAAATAATTTACGAAGGAAATATTATAGAAGAAAATAAATACAATAAATGTGAGGATTACCAAAGTAGGGGGTTTCACTTTCTTCATCGTCTCTTTTATCGGACTGCGTCAAAAGCAACCGTACTTTTTCCTCCTTTTCCTGGCGTTGAATCTCATGGCGGGAATCAGATTGCCGCCGGAAGAACCGGAGACAACTCCTCAACAACAAGCCAGAGCGGCGACGGCGACTGCGACGACGGATAGTTTGGCTTCCGACGACGATCGATCTATTGCGGCGGACTCATGGTCTATCAAGAGCGAGTATGGAAGCACCCTCGACGACGATCAGCGCCACGCCGACGCCGCCGAGGCTCTCTCCTCCGTCAACTTCCGCGTCTCTTCAGATTACAGGTCCTCGTCTATTTCTGATTTTTTCTCAGCGATCCTCGGAAAATAGGAAATCGTAGAAATCGACGGATCAAAAGGACAAATTAGGGTTTCTTCCAAGTAGAAATGTACATTTACGGAAATTTCTGAATTGCTTCTGCGAGATCTTAGGGTTTTTGTAACTTGAATCTATGGAGTAATTGATTGATTGAAATGTTTGTGCATAGCTCTGACAAAGAAGAGCCGGATGCTGATGGAGGAGGACAGTCAATGCTTGGTCTCCAAAGCTATTGGGACGCAGCATATTCAGATGAGCTCGTAAATTTCAGGGAGCATGGTCATACGGGAGAAGTTTGGTAAAGCAGATCTCACCATAGATCCTCTCTGATCATCGAACTTGATAGAGAAAGATCTCAACGTTTCTTGGTTTTTTCATTTCCTCTAGGTTTGGAGATGATGTTATGGAGATTGTAACTTCTTGGACGAGAGACTTGTGCGTCGCCATTTCTCAGAGAGAAATGTCTGTCTCTGATAACGGTGTTAAATCGGAGGCGAATGATCAGGTTGCTAAGTATTTGTCTAGTTGGAATGTTCTTGATCTTGGTACTGGAAATGGCTTACTCCTTCACCAACTTGCTAAAGAGGGGTAAGCTTCTGGACATTTCCTCTTGCTCTGGCCTATGAATTGCTAGCTATGTGTCATTAGTGTATAGAAAGATAGTCTTTGAATGGTTTTTGTCTGTGTTGTCTGGCTCTTCTATTGACTTTCTTCTTTCACTCTAGCAACAAAGATTCATGTTGGCATGAGGTTTATTTAATAGATAGTATCAGAGTGAAGTTTATGAATTGATAGTTCTACAAGGATCGATCCCTAGATAGGAATATGAGTCTCTGCAGCCACATTAAAATTTGATAATTTTAGTGCTGACGCTGTTTGACATGGAAACCAACTATTGTGTGTCAATATATAGAGGTATTCCATAGAAGATAGTACATGAATGAAGTATAGAATCAGCCTCTCTTAGAGGCATAAGTCCCCTATATGGCCTATGCAATGAAACAAAACATGTTACTATATCAGTATACCTTAGACATTTTAACCTTGAGCTTGTTTCATACATGTTATGGAAAGCCGAAACTATCCGGAAATGCGAAGCTTTATCATAATTTTTACTCAGAATCTTATGTTTTAGACTCTTACTCTTTTCTTGACATTATTAATCTTCTCATTCTGGCTCAGGTTCTCTGATTTAACCGGGACTGATTATAGTGAAGGTGCGGTAGAACTTGCTCAACATCTCTCCCAACGTGACGGGTTTCCAAGTATCCGTTTCATGGTATGACTTTGTTTGTGCAACATGGCAAGGATTCTTCCTCCTCCATATAAGTCCATACGCTATAAGTAGCTCAAATAACGCACTTATTCCTGTTTATATATCTTCCTCATGTTTATGTGCCATTGGTATATGCTGTTTACATATAATTAGCATCTAGTAGTAGGAGTGGTACAGAACTCAAAATGTTCTCTGTGAACTAGTGGTGCTTACTGTAATGAACATCACAAGACGGTATGGAACTAACGATTTGGTTCTCTTAGGTTGATGATATCCTTGATACGAAATTGCAACAGAAGTTCAAGCTGGTGATGGACAAAGGAACTTTAGATGCCATCGGTTTGCATCCGGACGGCCCTGTCAAAAGGTAACTCGGTAAATTTTGATATTCGGTATAGGAAATTACTGTGCACACATAACACTCCCATTTGTCATGTTTCAGAGTCATGTATTGGGATTCAGTGTCCAAGCTAGTAGCTCCTGGTGGAATATTGGTAAAAAGGCTTCTCAACTCTTGAAAAATATGAATATGAATATGAAGCTTAAGCTCAATTTTGATTTGATTCTGCTTCTGTTTGTTAAAAAGGTGGTCACATCGTGTAACAACACAAAGGACGAGCTCTTGGAAGAAGTAGAGAATTTCAACATCAGAAAACTTAACTTGTCTACAACAGAGGGAGGAGATTCCGCCGCCAATGGGTCTGAAGCTGGAGCTGGAAACAGAACTGAACATCCTCCGTTTGAGTATCTGAGCCACGTTAGGACGTACCCGACCTTCATGTTTGGTGGGTCTGTAGGATCTCGTGTGGCAACTGTTGCTTTTCTAAGGAAGTGAGAGCTAAAAGTTTGGATTTGCAACATAATGCCCAGACTCTTCTTTTCTCATCTTCTTTTCTTTTGGTGTCAAGAACTTGTGCTTTTGGGAGCTCTTAAATAACCTCTAAATTGCTTTATCATAAACTTTTGGTCTCTGAAAAAAACTGATGGGTTTGGTCATTTATGTGTGTTTCTCGCTTTACTGAGGTTCAAATATGCATGTGAAATAGATTATTACTCCATAGTAGAAGTGAACATTTCCAGATATAATGATCCTATCTAGTGACTAGTCCGGAACAGAACCACATCATATGGTTTATTCTTGTGTTACTAATAGACTTGCCCTTATGCCAAAACTGTAGTAAACAAAATCTATATTGAACACTCAACTATTACTGTTAGGTAGTCAATTTAACAAGTGGAGGAAGCAAAAAACCAAAGGAGCCAAGCCTCGAAATTTGTTCGAAAATTGATATTCCCTTTCATTTTCATATATGACAATTTTAGTTTGATGTTTAAAGATTGAAACTTGTATTACTGAAATCAATACGAGAGTAGAAGAATCAAACACATTAGATACAAATTTACAACATCCGTAGTCTGATACGGTACCGTTTTGGTTCTTAAAGAAAGAGTATCCAGAAACAGCCCCATCATCACTTTGCTTCATCCTCTTTAATTTACCAAAATCAAAATTTGAGAAGAAACTTCAAAAAAAAAAACCATGGAGATGAGTTTGAATCTGGCATCATCTTCAACCTCAAATTCAGTTTTCCTTTTTAATCCGATTCTCTCAGGGAAACAACTCGCTTTCCCAATTCGACACCAGAGAATCCCTAAAAGAGTGAAACCCTTCTGCGTTAACTCTTCGATTAACTTGTCTGGACCAAGACAAACCCTATCTAGTAACTGGGATGTGTCTAGCTACTCCGTCGAATCTCTCTCCCAAACTTCTTCTCGTCTCCCCAGTTTCGAGGAACTCGATACCACTAACATGCTTCTCCGTCAGAGAATCGTCTTTCTGGGCTCTCAGGTTTCTCCTCCCAAAATTTTCCCCTTTTTCTGGACTTTTTTCTTAGTTCTTATTATGATAGAAAGTCTAAATTTTGATCCCAAAGTTTGTATTTTTTATGGAATTGTTCTGCATAGATTAATTGGATTTGGATATCTGTATGAAATTCGAGCCAGATTTGCAGTAGTTTTGTATAATCTTTGTCTCTTTGATTTTGTTCATTCTGTTTTTATGAATTGTCGATTAAAAAAATTCTTGATTCTTAAAGCAAAAAGATTGTTTTGTGGTTATTAGAATGAAAATTGAAGCATTTGATGTAGTTTTAAGCTGTCAATAGCATTCGGTAAATTGATTAATGAGACTGAGAGAGAGAGAGAGAGAGTTTTGGGAGAAGAGCTGTCTTCTTGTGCTACAGGACACTCAAGCTTTTCATTGAATTTTGATACTCTCTACTAGGTCGATGACATGACAGCAGATTTGGTCATAAGTCAGCTCTTGTTGCTAGACGCTGAAGACTCAGAGAGAGACATCACATTGTTCATCAACTCACCCGGTGGATCTATCACTGCTGGTATATGCAAAAACCTTCCTATCTCAGCCATGTTTCTTCTCATTTCTTGATTCTTGAAATGCTTCTGCTTTTTTGTTCTTGTGCAGGGATGGGAATATACGATGCGATGAAACAATGCAAGGCCGATGTATCGACCGTTTGCTTAGGTCTAGCCGCGTCAATGGGCGCGTTCCTCCTCGCTTCAGGCTCGAAAGGGAAACGCTACTGCATGCCTAACTCTAAAGTTATGATCCATCAACCACTTGGTACCGCTGGAGGCAAAGTAAACGATTACTAACTTTTGAATCTTGCTTTTATGCTTTCTTGGTTTCGTTTTTTCTTGATTTCCACAAAACCTTGAATGTGTAATCAGGCAATGGAAATGGGTATACGTATAAGAGAAATGATGTACCACAAGATTAAACTAAACAAGATCTTCTCTAGAATCACCGGCAAGCCTGAATCTCAGGTATATATGAACGAAAACCCACGAAAAAACTCTATCTTTATTTCGCCTACATGATTCTTGATATATCTTGTTTTTGACAGATTGAAGGTGACACAGACCGAGACAATTTCATGAATCCATGGGAAGCGAAGGAGTACGGTTTGATCGACGCTGTGATCGACGATGGAAAACCGGGACTGATCGCGCCGATTGGAGATGGTTCTCCTCCGCCTAAAACCACAGTTTGGGATCTTTGGAAAGTTGAAGGAACCACGAAAGATAACAAGAACTTGCCTACCGAACAGTCGATGATACAGAATGGCGTAGCCACTCCCGAATAAACAACCAACGGTTTGTTTGTTTGTTGCAGCGTTTTGCGTTTCTCTTTGTTTTATGTTAATGTCTTTAGCTGCAACCATAAAACGTTGGCGTTTCCATTGTGTTTGTACCGTTTCTTGGATAGATTTTTGGACTAGTTTGAAGGCAGAAACAATATATTTAGCACAGAAGATGCTGAAGCTACATTGATTAGCCTAAAAAAAGATAGAAAGTTAGATTCTTGAAAAGGTTCGGTTTTTGCAATTTACAGCACAAGAAAAAGCTGCAAAAATCAAACTTTTCTACAAGATACCACTAGATAATTGATTAATACAGTATATCGTTTCAAAAATATATATTTGTAGCATTTAGAGTTGGTATTTTTAACCTCACAGCTTTTATTCCTTGTGTGCGCACAAACCACATTTTATGTTATTCCGAAACCATACCGAAAAATCGAATAAAACCCAAATTAAACCGAAACGAATAATCGAATAGGGCCGGTCTAGTTGCTAACCGAATAGCCTGGCCTAATTAAAAAAGTTACCCTCGGGTAGGGCTTAACCCTAGCAGTCAGTGAAAAAGACGCACAAGATCGGCGGCAATCGGAGAAGGATTTGGAGATGTCGATTCCGCCGAGAGTAGCTGCGGCTATTCCTGGCAGTTCATCCGTCCGTCGCTCCCCAAAGAGGCAACGGCTTGTTGAATCTGACGATTCCAGTGATAGCTCCTCAAGCGACGAAGAACAAGTCGGAATCGTACGAGTTTTTGGTGTACCGAGAACGGTGGGTTTTGCTACCGAAGCTAGCTCCTCAAGCGACGAAGAAGAAGAAGAAGTCGGAATCGCACAAGCTGTTGTTGTACCGAGAACGGCGGCTATTGCTACCGAAGCCAGCTCCTCAAGTGACGAAGAAGAAGAAGATCTCTTAATCTTAGAAGTCGGTGGTGTACCGAGATCGGCGACAAACAGCACCCCGGAGGCTTCTTCTTCTTCTTCTTCTTCATCGCCTCAATCCGTAAAATTGAAAAGCTCCGATGTTCTCGACTGTCCTACTTGCTGCGAGCCACTCAAGAAACCAATCTATCAGGTTTCTTCGATTCGCAATTTTTCATAATCTCGCTATCAAATCCATGGAATCGCAGAATACGAAACTCTAATTGCATAGCCTCATAGACGTAGGTAGACGTTTTGTTGAATCAGGAAATTTGATTTGGTGTTATAGCTTGTTCTCAATGCTGCAAAAAAATAAAAATTGCTTCTTCTTTGATTCACAATTCTCATAATGTTGTTAATCAAGAATCATTCTTGTCACAGTCTCATCTCTAATTGGTTGATTATCTTTCAGTGAAAGTGTATGAATGTTCTGAGATTGACTTGGTGGGTTATTGCTTTTTACAGTGTAGCAATGGACACGTGGCTTGTTCACAATGCGTCACAAAAGTGAAGAATCGATGCCCGTTCTGTAGATCTCACATCGGTGACATTCGATGCCTAGTAATGGAGAAGATCATCGAAGCAACGATAGTCCCATGTAAAAACGCTGTTTACGGATGCAAAGAAACAACCACATACGGAAACCAATTAAGCAGACACGAGGAGCTCTGTGGTTACATCCCTTGCTCTTGCCCGTTACCTGGCTGCGACTACACCGGCTCCTACACCGATCTCAAAAGCCACGGCCTTTCTTCGCACTCTTGGGACAAGGACAACCACACCCAGTTTGCGCTCGACGAGCCTTTCATGTTTACTTTGAACCTCGGTAAGGGGAAAGTGACGGTTCTCCGGGAAAAGAACGACGGCGATTTGATTGTTGTTCGAGGTTTTAAAAAAACGCACGGTCTGTTTGTTACCGTGAGCTGTATCTCTCCGATGACTCCTGGAATGCGCACCTATTCCTGCAGTCTCGCCAGGCTGGACGCCTTTACCTCATTGAGGCTTGGATTGATGGTGAAGAAGATTCAGAGAGTGGATGAGGGAGAAGAAGAACCCAAAGATGGCTTCTTGTTCATACCATCTTATATGTCGGATGGTAATTATTACCAAAAGCTGCAGATTTGCATTGGTCGTGAATATAAGTATGTTCATATCTGAGAGATGATGTGATTGAGAAGTAGGCCTTTCTTCTTTTATTGGCTTTCAAGCTTTTTTTTTGATGAATCAAACTTGAGATTTTGGTGAAAATTAGGTGGATTTTTCATCTTATAAAATTAAAATGTAATTAACAAATCGACCACACCTATTGCTTCTTAAATTTCAGTAGATCATCATCAGATCAACGGTTTATAGACTAAAAACAGAATATTGTTTTGCATTCTTCGGCTGAAATGGGAAAATCAATGCTTAGATGGGATCTTGGTTTATTCTCATGCTGTTAGTGACAATCAATCGGCACATTGCTGAAAATCCAGTTTTGTCATAAACGGATGAAACACATTATGTCCGATTATCCCTACATACATTCGTAATGAGATTCGGGGTTTAAAGATTCACAACAACTAGCTAACATCTTTGCGAAGGATTAGGGATCACAACAATTTGAGTATCTTCGTTGGAAGTTGAGCATTTACAGCACAAACAAGAAAGCTGTTAGATGCTTGTAAAAGTTCGGTTTTTTTGCCATTTACAGCACAAGAAAGCTGCATAAATCGAACATCAAATATTTCTTAGAGCATCTCCAATGTATTCCCATATTTTGCTCCAAAATGAAGAAATCTCAAAATGGAGTTGGGTTTTGCTCCAATGTATTGCTTCATTTTTTGCTTCAAAAAGAATATTCCTAGAATATTCTTTTTGAAAAACTTTTTATTAATTACTAAATTTACATTGTATATTTATATCTATTACAAATTGCCCCATATATTTTTTTCTTCAAAACTTTCACAATTAATTATAATTATTTAAATTAATTATGAAAATATTAATAATACATTATTACAAGACTAAAAATAACAACATAAATACTACTTCTTCTAAAGGAACTCTCACAAACTACTTCTTTTGGACAATATTTTAGTGATATTGGTGGATCCGGAAACTAAATTAAATTAAAAATCAGTAATAAGTTGTTTTAATAAATTTCTTTTTGATGTTATTTCTAATAAAAGTGTTCTTTTTTTTAAATTTATTATTAGCTTAAATAATTAAATTTCTTATTAAATATGTGTTATTTGTATTTTAGAGTAAAAATAAAGATCAAAATAATTAATTATATATCTTAAACTGAATTAATTTAAAACTTCAAGGACTGTTATATAAATTAAAAACTTCAACTCCAAAATGGAGATGAAAATGGGATCAATCTCATTTTGGGAAAAAATATGGCATTTTGCCATTTTGAGATTGAAAATGGGGTTGGTTGGAGCAAAATTGGCTCCAAAATAGCAATAAAGGTGAAATATGGGCTGGGTTGGAGATGCTCTTATACCAAGCATCAAAGACTTTGAATGGTGGATTGTTTCTTTTTTTTTTTTTTTTGTTAAAAGGCTTTCTTGCATTAAGATTAGACTAAAACTACAAAGTAGCAAAAAGACATACAGCCAGGAAAGGAAAGCAAAAAGAGATGAAAAAACCAAAAATCAACCAAAAACATGGGAAAGAGACCACTGTTGGAGAATAAGATCTCCACGAAAAAGATCCTAAAGAAGACATAGCCCGACATTTGTCTTTAGCAGCGCTGAGAATAAGACTGAAGACTTTCCCCGAAGGAAGAATAATTCCGTCATGAAGCCTTCGATTTCTCTCCTTCCAAATCTCGTAAACCGCTCCTTGCCAACCTTGTAGCAAAGCAAACTTGGTGGAAGCCGCGAGAGAAGTAACATTAAGCCAAAGTAGTAACTAAGTCCACTCCATAGGCGCCGCAGGAACACGGAGATGGTCCTTAATCGTCTCCAATCGACGCGAGAAAGGCCATTCAAAAAACAAATGATCCCGCGTCTACAAAGCACCACCACACAGTAAACAAACCCCTTCCGTATCATAACCCCAAGTAGCCATCCGGTCTAAAGTGGGGCTCCGGTTGAGAAGGAATAACCAAGTAATGGTCTGATGACGAGCTAGACCCGCTTTATGCCATAGTAAAGAGGCCCAAAACACCTCTGGCTTAGTGGGACGAATCTCATTCCACACCGCCTTAAGTGAAAACGTTCTCTGAGGAACTCCTTGAAGAGACCAAACCGGTCCATCAGCAAGATCAGAACATCCGATAGATAAAAGATATGAATGAAGCAAGACCTGACGTTCTGTTCGTGCCGGTGGTAAATTCCATCCCGAACCATTCCAAACATCAGAAACAGTAGCAGAAAGCGGGATGCCTAAACGTGATGGTCCATATGCACCTAGAAAAGCATGGAGAGAACCAAACGGAGTCCAAGGGTCCCACCAAAAGAAAGTAGAGTCCCCTCGACCAACTTTAATGCTGAAGAACTGAATGGCTTTAGCTCGAAGCTTCAAGATCTTTCTGAACATCCAAGAAAAGGAAGGATTCCTATCATTGAGAGCCCAGAAAGACGACTGAGTAAGATACCTTCGACGAATCCAAGCCACCCAAATAGAACCGGCTCGAAAAAACAACAACCAAATCAGTTTCAGCAGACAAGCATTATTCCAACTCGATATATCCTTAAGTCCAAGACCACCTTCTTCCTTGGGGAAACACAGAGAGTTCCAAGCAACCTTTGCTCCAGAGGCAATACCCGTTTTGCCATGCCACAGAAAAGAGCTTGAAAGAATATTGATTTTCCGAATCACCCTCCTTGGTAATATAAAGGCACTCGTCCAAAACCCAACGATTCCGGCAATAACCGAGGAAAGCAATGAAAGTCTTCCAGCCAAGCTTAGAAGCTCATTAGACCAAGAATCCAGCTTCCTTTTGATAAGAACTAGCAAAGGGTCACAATCCGCCACAGTAAGCTGCTTGGATGAGAGAGGGAGACCCAGATAACGAATAGGGAGAGAAGATACCTTCAGGTTAAAAAGGGTTTGAATACGGACAAGTAACTCCATATCCAGATCCTGACAGAACAAAGACGTCTTTTGTAAATTGATTCCCAACCCCGAAATCCGTTCAAAGTCTTAAAGAACTGACAAGACTCCTCGTAAAGACTGTTCTGAACCCTCCAAAAAGATTAGTAAATAATCCGCAAAGCAGAGATGAGTTAACTAAAGCTCCTGACAGCCTGGATGATAAGCAAAGAGTCCTTCTCTAGCCGCCTTATTAAGCATGAGAGATAGAACATTCATGATCATCACAAATAAGATAGGTGATAAGGGGTCCCCTTGACGCAAACCTGATTTTCCTTTAAAGTAACCCGAGGTAACTCCGTTCATACTCACTGAGAATGATGGAGAACACACACAGCATTTAACCCAGTTGAGAAAAACAGACGGGATCTGATAAGCCTCAAGAACATTCAGAAGAAAGTCCCATCGTACTGAGTCAAAAGCTTTAGAAATATTCACTTTAAGAGTGATCCGCTTCTCAAATCCTTCTCTATGATATCCCTGAACAATCTCTGAAGCGAGAAGAACATTTTCCAAAAGAAGCTGGTCCTTCACAAACGCCGTTTGATTAGGAAGAATAATTCCAGGCAAAACATTCTTAAGACGCTCCGACAGTAGCCTGGTAATAACCTTGTATAAAGTGTTGAGGCATGCAATAGGACGAAAATCCTTAAGCTCCTCTGCACCAGGTCGTTTAGGAATAAGCACCAACGAAGTAGAGTTTAAAGACGTGGGCATAAAACTTGATTCAAAGAAATGCAGCACCGAAGCTTCCAATTCAGGGCCAACAACATCCCATGAGGCTTTAAAGAATTCCACAGGAAAACCATCAGGGCCAGGCGTCTTGTTTAATGGCATTTTGAATAAGCTTCTTCGAACCATCTCCGAGTTGAATGGCAAAGAAAGGAAGCCTTGTTGAAGAGTAGAGCAAGTAGATTCAACAAGGGTTGCCAAAAAGCGAGGTAGATCCGGACAATACATACCTCTAATAGTGGTGAGAAAGGACTGATAATATTCCACCGCCAATTCATGAGCTTCTTGCAACGAAGAGGTTCTCGTACCATTAGCTCGGAGAAGAAATTTGATGCCATTCGACGCATTTCGCACCTTGGTAACTGAGTGAAAGAATCTTTTAAGATCCCCTTCACCTAACCACCTGATACGAGAGCGCTGTTTAAAGAAACTCTCTTCCGCAACTCTGAGATCATCCAATGCTCCTTTGCCTGAGATTCTAACCGAATGTTCGCCTCAGAAGGTTCATTCAAGGAATGCAGCTGCAAAGAAGATAAAATAGAGCCAGCTTCCAAAACACGACGCTCTATATCACTATAATTCTCCTTGAACAAAGACTTTAATGGTCTTTTTATTTGCTTCAACTTGAAACAAAAATCACGCAGAGATCCCACTGAAGACCCTGCCTTATTCCAAGAGCGATTAATTGTCTCCACAAAATTCTGATGTTTGGTCATTAGGTTAAAAAACCGGAATAGCCTTGTACCATACGATGGGCGTGGAGTAGTAATCCGAACTAAACCCGGAGAATGATCAGAGAAATCTGGAGACTCAAAAGAGCAATGCGCTGCTGGAAAACAAAGAAGCCATGATCCATTTACTAGACAACAGTCCAATTTTTTAGCAACCGGTTCCTCAAGACGATGATTAGACCATGTGAAACGAGGACTATGAAATGGGAGATCAAAAAGCTCAACAGAGACGAGATCATCTATAAAATCTCTCATTCCTTGAGTAGTCCTATGAAGATTAACATTGGAAGACTCAGAAGGATGTAAAATTTCATTAAAATTTCCATTAACCAACCAAACCTTCTGAGATAAACCAAAGGAGACGAAAGTATCCTTCACGAAACCCACAAAGTTCTTCTCTCCTCTTCCAAATTAGAAGCATAAACTGCTGTATGGTGGATTGTTATTACATTTTGGAATTTAATTTCAAATTTGTGAAACTGTTACAAATTTTTTGAATCGGTTAAGTTTTTACAAATATTTTTATTACATTTCATGCTTCTTTCAAAGTTATTACAAAGTAGAAAACCTGGTTTCTACTGGTGCGGACCATATTAAAACCGGAACTGAAAAGCACATTCGGTTCAATGTTTGATTTCGGTTTTTAAACCATTGCTTGTTTGACCAAAATTGTACCTAATCCAAATTTAAATCGAAAAACCAAACATTTTGGTCAATTTGGCCTAATTAGGACCTTCTGTTTTTTCGTCCTCTGGAATCATCCATCATTTATGGAAGATAAATAAATACAGACATAAAAATTACATATAAAAAGAAAAGGTCATTTTCATTTTACCTTACCAGATAGGGTTTTCTCAGTGACAAACACACACAAAATCGGCGGTGGCCATCGGAGGCGATTTCGAGATGTCGATTCCGCCGAGAAAAGCTGCGGCTTTTCCTGGAAGATTATCCGTCCATCGCTCCCCAAAGAGGCAACGGCTTACCCCTGCCGATGAAGATGAATCCGACGGTTTCAGCGTCCCGAGTGACGAAGAAGAAGTCGACTTCTCGACTTTTGCTAACGATTCCAGCTTCTCAAGCGACAGTGACGATGATCTCTTAATCGCACGAGTTGTTGGTGTGCCGAGAACGGCGACTATTGCTAACGGTTCTGGGAATGTGACGAGATCCGTAAACACCAGCACCCCGGGGGCTTCTTCTTCTTCTTCCTCTTCGTGGCCTCAATCCGTGAAGCTCAAAAGCTCCGATGTTCTCGACTGTCCTACTTGCCGCGAGCCACTGAAGAAACCAATCTACCAGGTTCTCTCTCTTCCTTCTTCTTCCCCATCCAATTGCGCAAATAAGAATCATTCTCTGCTAAGTCAAATTGTCACAGCTTCGTCTCTAATTGGTTGATTATATTTCAATGGAGTATATGAATCTTCCGAATTTGATTTGGTGTTATTGATTTACAGTGTAGTAAATGATTCACAATTCTCATTGATTTGATTATCTTTCAGTGAAATGTATGGATCTTGTGAGTTTGATTTGGTGTTTATTGCCTTTTACAGTGTAGTAGCAATGGACATCTAGCTTGTTCTCCGTGCGTCACGAAGCGGTTGAATCGATGCACGTTCTGTAGATCTCACATCGGTGACATCCGATGCAGAGCCATGGAGAAGATCATCGAAACATCCATAGTTCCATGTCGAAACTCGGTTTACGGATGTCAAGAAACATTCACATACGGAAACAAACCAAGCAGCCACGAGAATCTCTGTGGTTACATGCCATGTTCTTGCCCGTTACCAGGCTGCAACTTCATTGGGTCCTACTCTCGTCTTAGATACCATGCTCGTTCTTCGCACTCTTGGGGCAAGGAGAACCACGTCCAGTTCACGCTCGACAGGCCTATCGACTTTAACTTGGACCTCGTCGGTAAGGAGAAGGTGACCGAGATTTGATTGTGGTTCGAGGTTTCGAAAGACCCAACGGTTTGTATGTTACCGTGAGCTGTATCTCTCCGAAGACTCCTCCCCAGCCGGAACGTGCAACTATTCCTGCAGTCTCGCCAGGCTCGATTGGCGTAACTCGTTAAGGATTGGAATGATGGTGAAGAAGATTCAGAAAGTGGACGAGCAAGAAGAAGAGCCCAGAGATGGTTTCTTGTTTATTCCGTCTTATATGTTTGGTGATTATGCTAACTGCTGTCACTTGAAGTTGCAGATTTGCATTGGTCGTGAAGACAAGTATGTTCATATCTGAGGGAAGATGTGAAATGTGTAGTCCTCTTATCTTTTTTTTTGGCTTAAATGCTTCTTTTTTTGAGATTCTGATGATGGTATGTGTCTATGTGTGTTTCTAGTCTCACACACACATCATCGTTTTAAACTCTCAAGTTATAATGCGGTAGCCGTATGTTTAGTAGCCCCTATCGTTTTGTATTTCATATCTAAGATGTATTGTTGTAGCTTCTTTGTATATTATATGGTTTCCATATTGCTATAGATATGTTAATTAATGTGTTTTGCTGCAACCATAAATGTGTTTGTACCATTTCTCGGATAGATTTTGGAAGTAATGTGAAGGCAAAATCAATAGATTGTTTGTTGTAGCACAGGATACAAGCTACTTTGATCAGCTAAAGAAATAGTGCTAGATGTTTGAAAAGGTTCGGGTTTTGCCATTTATGGCACAAGAAAGCTGCAAAAACCAAATACATTTCTACAAGATATATATCAAGATTTTAATGGTGTGGCTTAATGGAATTTTATTACATTTTGATATTTTTATTTAAATGTCTGAAAGTTTTACAAAGTTTAGAATCGGTTAAGTTCTTACAATTTTTATTAAATTTCATACTTTTATTTTGGTAATGCTATTACATTTCATACTTCTATACTCTAGTAGATTGATTATTACAAAATAGAAAATCTGGTTCAACTGGTCAGACCATTTATAAACCGGAACTGAAAAGCACATCCGGTTTAATGTTTGATTTCGGTTTTCAAACCATTGCTTGCTTGTTAATTGTTACATGCTTTTTGACAAAAAATGAACCTAATCCAAATTTAAATCGAAAAACCAAACATTTTGGTCATTTTGGTTTTTTCGGTAAGGCCAAAATGAAAATCGGTTCAATGTTGATTTCGGTTTTTAAACCATCTCGAATCATTTATGGAAGATAAATAAAAGTAAAAAAAAAAACAACAAAAACAAAAAATTACATCTAGAAAGGAAACGAAAGGTCATTTTACGTTACCGGATAGGGTTTTCTCACTTCTCTCAGTGACAAACACACACAAGAGATCGGCGGCCATCGGAGAGGATTTTCGAGATGACGATTTCGCCGAGATCATCCGACCATCGTTCCCCAAAGAGGCTGCGTTACTCCTCTGCCGATGTATCTGAAGAAGAAGAAGAAGACGACGACTACTCCCTAAGTTCCGAGGAGGACGAAGAAGACGACGTCGTAATCGCAGAAGCTGTTGGTCTGATGGAGACTATTGCTAACGAATCTGAGAATGTGACGAGATCCGTTAACAGCACCCCAAGCTCTTCTTCTTCATCGCCTCAATCCGTGAAGCTCAAAAGTTCCGATGTTCTGGATTGTCCAACTTGTTGCGAGCCACTGAAGAAACCAATTTATCAGGTTTCTCTCTTCGTTCTTCTTCTTCGATTCACATTTCTCACAATCTCTTTATCAAATCCATCGAATTGCAGAAATATGAATCATTATCAGCTAAGTCAATCAAATCGTTACAGCCTCATCTCTAATTGGTTTGATTATATTCCAATGAAGTATATATAATCTTCTGAGTTTGATTTGGTGTTATTGATTTACATTGTAGTGTAGTAATGATTCACAATTTCATAATGTCATTATCAGATTCATGGAATTGCAGAATAAGAACATTATTGGCTATGAATCTTATGAGTTTGATTTGGTGTTATTGCTGTTTTGTGGATCAATTCGTTTGATTTGGTGTCATTGTCACAGTTTTAGCTCTAATTGGTGATTATCTTTCAGTGAAGTGTATGAATCTTATGAGTTTTATTTGGTGTTTATTGCTTCTTTTTGTGGATCAATGCGTTTGATTTGGTGTTATAGTCACAGTTTCATCTCTATTTGATTGATTATCTTTCAGTGAAGTATATGAACCTCTGATTTTGATTTGATGTTATTGTCACAGTGTCATCTTTAATTGGAGATTATCTATCAACGAAGTATATGAATCTTCTGTGTTTGATTTGGTGTTAATTGCTGTTCTGTGTGTCAATGAGTTTGATTTGGTGTTTATTGCTTTTTCAGTGTAGCAATGATTCACAATTCTCATAATGTCATTATCAAATCCATGGAATTGCTAACATTCTCGGCTATGAATCAAATTCATGGTGATTATCTTTCAGTGAAGTATATGAATCTTCTGTGTTTGATTTGGTGTTATTGTCACAGTTTCATCTCTGATTATATATTTCAGTGAAGTGTATGAATCTTTCTGAGTTTGATTTGGTGTGTGTATTGCTTTTACAGTGTACTAATGGACATCTAGCTTGTTCACCATGCGTCAACAAACTGAAGAACCGATGCCCGTTCTGCAGATCTCACATCGGCGACATTCGAAACAGGGCAATGGAGAAGATCATCGAAGCATCCATAGTCCCATGTCGAAACTCTGTTCACGGATGCAAAGAAACAACCACATACGGATACCAATCAAGCAGCCACGAGAAGCTCTGTGCGTACATCCCATGCTCTTGCCCGTTACCAAACTGCAACTACATCGGCTCCTACACCGATCTCAAAAGCCACGCCCGTTCTTCGCACTCTCGAGACGAGGACTACCTCATCCCCTTTGCGTTGAACCAATCTTTGATCTTTGGCATTGACCTCAAGAAGGAGAAGAATGTGACAGTTTTTCAAGAAGAGAAGGATGGTGATTTGATTGTGGTTCAAGGGTTTAAGAGATCTCACGGTGCTTATGTTACTGTGAGCTGTATTTCTCCTTTGGCTCCTGGATTACGCAGCTTCTCGTGCAGTCTTGCTAAGCTCAAAGAGCATGCGACGTTAAGGCTCGGATTCATGGTGAAGAAAATCCAGAAAGTGGGAGTGCTGCAAGAAGGAGAAGAGCCCAAAGATGGCTTCATGTTGATTCCGTCTTACATGTTGATTAGTGATCACTTGAAGATGCAGATTTGCATTGGGAATGAGTATAAGTATATTCATATCTGAGGGAAGGTGTGAGTGAGTAGTCCTCTTTATCTTATTTTGGCTTAGAAGCTTCTTTTTTTAATGGTACTCATGTGTATTTGTAGTCTTTTGTAGTGTTTTGCATGGTTTTGAATTTGAAACTCCAGATTATGTGAAAACGCTTCCTGATTAAAATAATTTTATTGTCGGGTTTTAAGTTTAAATTGATTTACGTGGTCTTTAATCATTTAGTTTGATATACGATTGGATTTCTAAAAGTATGCTTCTAAGTGTCATTTTTTAAATGCGAAAAGAGCACCACATATGGTGAAGAAGAAGCAAGCCATAAGAAGTTGTGTGTTTTGTTAATGCATTGTTTATTTATTTTTTATTATGATGTGCAGTTGTCAGGTTAATTTATTGTTTTTTTGTTTTGTTTGTCTATTTGTATTCGCATTGGAAGTATGTAAATTTTTTTTGGTGGTAGAGTAAAAGAAACTGATTTTCATGTGCAATTTTTTTTTTTGTCTTTTGTTTCTAGTTGTGTTTGAATGTTTTTGTGTTCTGTTATGTTTTAATTGCGTTTGAGCGTATGTGTTATAAGTTTTGTTTTGTTTGTTTAAAACTCTACATTTGAGTGTTTTGTGTAATGTTTTATTGTCGTGTATGAATCTGCGGTTAATTAACATTGAATTAAGTGTTTTTGTTGTTGTTGTTGTGTGAGAAGAGAGTCTAGTGAGAGATGCTTCACCTTCACTTGCTCATCATGTGATTCTTCGCCATTAAATAGCGTCAACTTCTTGCTCCCATATCAATCTGTTTTAGCATAAACACAACCACTTGATCAATATCTAAAAGTCTCTACATGGTAAAAGATCATGAGCCAACAACTTCATTAATCTGACAAAACGTTTACTCATTAACATTAAAAAAACGTTTACTCATTAACATTAAAAAGAAAAACGTATACTCACAAACAAAAGAAAATAAGTCTCTTACCAATGAAAAAGAAGCTTGTTGAGTGTTGACGATAATGAAATGAGGGACCGCAGCAACTACTTTTTGGGGAAACATGTTTGTATTTTTCTGTAGAAGTTTCTTTGAAATTTCTCTACTCTCGTACGCGTTTTGCTTTTCAACATATAATAATGAGCTTAATTTCTACTGGAATAGATAATTGCTTATCAAAAGCCATTGTGATGTTTTCTTCAACATTTCTTTAACATCCATCTCTCTCATGGCTTCTTCTTCTTCTTCTTCTTCTTCTTCTTCTTCTTCTTTTTCTTTTCCTTCTGCTGACCTTAAGAGATTCCATGTATTTCCGAGCTTCCACGGTCCAGATGTCCGTAGAAAATTTCTCAGTCACTTAGAAAACCACTTTGCAAGCAAGGGAATCACGATGTTCAAAGATCAGGAGATCGAGAGAGGCCACTCGATCAAACCTGAACTAGTAAAATCAATTAGAGACTCGAGGGTCTCGATCGTTCTGCTCTCGGAGAACTACGCTTCTTCAAGCTGGTGTCTAGATGAACTGGTTGAAATCTTTAAATGCAAAGCAGATCAGGGGCAGATTGTGATGACCATTTTTTACGATGTCAATCCATCCGATGTACGGAAACAGAGCGGGGTTTTCGGGAGCGCTTTCGAGAAAACCTGCCAAAGGAAAGCTGATGAGGAAATGAAGCAGAGATGGAGCAAAGCTTTGACTGATGTAGCAAACATTGAAGGAGAACATTCTCTCAACTGGTATGAATTTTGTTGCTTTTTTTTTTTTTTTTTTCTTTTTTTAATAACTAGGAGGTTTTGGGCGGAAGCCTGTACATCCCAGGACCGAAACTACAGCATGCAGTATTGGTTTCATCTTAAGCGGCACTCGATCTTGTAAGCTCTAAGCTTTGCTTAGGGTCTTTGACCAGTCGAGCTAAAGCCATTTGGTTTTTGTTGCTTTCAATAAATAGGAAGCTTTTCTTAATTCAGATCTCTCCAACACGATTTTGTCTTTATTAGGGCCAACGAAGCAAATATGATCCAAAAGATCGCTGCAGATGTTTCAAACAAACTGAATGTTACACTGTCAAGGGATTTTGACGACATGGTGGGTTTGCAAGCTCACTTGAGAAAAATGAACTCATTGTTATGCCTAGAGTGTGATGATGTGAAGATGATCGGAATCTGGGGTCCTGCGGGAATCGGTAAGACTACCATTGCTAGAGCTTTATACAATATACTTTCCAGCGAGTTTGGACTTAAATGTTTTATGGGGAACCTTAGAGGAGGAAGTTATAGGAGCACAATGGGTGTTGATGACTATGATTCCAAGTTGTCTTTACAAAACCAACTTCTGTCCAAGATTTTGAACCAAAAGGAGATGAAGATACATCATTTAAGTGCCATAAAGGATTGGCTACACGATCAACGAGTGCTCATCATTCTTGATGATGTAGATGATATAGAGCAGTTAGAAATTTTGGCTAAAGAACGTTCTTGGTTTGGTCCTGGGAGTAGGATTGTGGTGACCACGAAAGATAAAACGATTTTGAAGGCACATGGGATCAACGACATCTACAATGTGGGTTATCCATCTCAAAAGGAAGCTCTTGAGATGTTATGTTTATCTGCGTTCAAGCAAAGTTTTGTACCAGAGGGTTTTGAAGAGGTTGCAAGTAAAGTATTAAAGCTTTGCGGTTATCTTCCCATAGGCCTCTGTGTTGTGGGTTCATCTTTGCGTGGGGAGAGCAAGCATGAGTGGGAAATTCAGTTATCTAGGATCAAAAGTAATCTTGATAGTAAAATTGAGCAGGTGTTAAGAATGGGATATGACAGATTGTCCAAGAAAGATCAATCTCTATTCCTTCACATTGCCAACTTCTTCAACGGTTGGTTTGTTAATCAAGTGAAATCCATACTCGCTGACAGTAATTTGGATGTCACAATTGGGTTGAAGACTCTGGCTGATAAATCTCTGGTGCATATACATTCCAACGGGTCGATAGTGATGCACTTTCTACTACAACAATTGGGTAAGCAGATAGTTCTTGAACAGTCGGAGGAACCCGGGAAACGCCAGTTTTTAGTAGAAGCTGAAGATATTCGGGATGTCTTAGCAAACGGAACAGTAAGTTACATTCTTACATATATTTATCTATTCTAATATTATATATAGGGTTACTATTTTTCTTACTACTTCCTCCGTTTGTCATTTTGAGAAAATGTATTTGTGGATGTATTAAACTCAAAATACATTCAAATAAATTGCAGATACATTTCCCCAAAACCACAACTAATTTGAAACGGAGTGAGTATATGATACTATATGAGAGGCTAACATTTATCATCCTCATTTTACAACATTTGTTCTTCTTTTTAGGGTACTGGATCTGTCATAGGTATATTTTTTGATATGTCCAAGGTTGGCGAGTTCTCGATGAATGGACGAGCCTTTAACGAAATGCGTAACCTCCAATTCATAACATTTTACGTTGGTGATTTAAGTGGAAAAGCTAGATTGCCCATACTAGATGACATGGAATATCTACCTCGCTTAAGGTTACTAATTTGGGAATCATACCCGAGAAAACGTCTTCCTCCAACTTTTCAACCGGAATGTCTCATCGAGCTCTGTATGAAATTCAGCAAGCTCGAGAAGCTCTGGGAAGGAACTCAGGTTAGTATTTGATATTCTTAGGTTAAATATGTTTCTGATGATTTTAAGTCCATAGACGATTTGTTTTCTTCTCATTTGTTGTGTTTTGACAAATGTAGCCTCTTCCAAAGCTCAAGAAGATGGATTTGAGCAATTCCTTTAAGTTGAAAGAAATCCCAAATTTATCCGAGGCTACCAATCTCGAGATACTGATACTTTCTTCTTGCACAAGTTTGGTGGAGCTTCCTTCTTCTATTTCAAATCTACGCAAACTGAAGAGGTTGTGGATGACCGGATGTGAAAATCTACAAGTTATTCCAAACAACATCAACTTATCATCTCTTGAGGAAGTCAGCATGAAATCTTGCTCACGATTGAGAAGCTTGCCAAACATATCGTGGAGCATCAAGTGTCTTGATGTCGGAGGCACAAGGATACAAGAAGCTCCTAAGTCAACTGATGAACGGTGGTCTCGTTTAGAGTGCCTTCATATCGACGGTAGAAACCTCGAGAGATTAGCACATCTCCCGGAAAGTGTAAGGAGCCTAGATTGCAGCAACAGTGATATAGAGAGGATTCCAGATTGCATCGTGGGTCTTCCTCGTCTAGTGACGCTTAACGTCAAAAACTGCGTAAACCTCGAGACAATTCCAGCTCTTTCCCGTTCGCTTGAGTTGCTATATGCAAGCGAATGTGTATCACTCAAGAAAGTATGTTGCACTTTCTACAACCCAGTCAAGATACTCATGTTCTACAACTGTTTGAAACTGGAAGAAGAAGCAAGAAGAAAAATCATACAACAATCGGTCAACATGTATGCATGCTTGCCAGGTAGAGAAATCCCTGCAGAGTTCACCCACAAAGCTACGGGAAACTCCATCACCATCGATATGGTTCCTGGTGGTCTGTCCTCAAGACTTAAGGTTTGCCTTCTGCTTTCTCCAACCAATGGCAACCCATGCAGCATTCATATAATTGGTCGTCTAAAAAGCAGAGGAGGTGTCCTTTTTACTGAATTAAACGAATGGGCTTTGACAACACAGTCTCGTGGATCTCCATCAGAACATCTGTTTACATTTGGTGGTGACTTATTTCACAAGAAAAACATATGCCATGAAGTGGATGTGACTGGGAGCGAGAAGATTGTGTTTGAATTCAGTTGTATGAGAAACGACGTCAAGATTATTGAGTGCGCCGTACAGATTTTGAAGGAGGAACCTCAGAGAAACCAAGTAGGCTACTTTGAAACTGGAGGCAACAACACAAATGAAGATGGAGTCTATGAAGCAGAAGATAAAAACTTCAAAAACAGTAAACATCCAGGTTGTTGGAGTTGGCTTAAAAAAGCTTGATGATCTGAGGAAGAAGAAGAGAGCTTTGTTATGATCTTCAAACTTGTAATTTTTGTTGTTGTTTGTTATATATACATTAATCTATGTGACACTCAGTATTCTTTGATGATAGTATATGTCTAAGAAATCTAATCCATCTGATGGTAAAAAGCAAACCAGAAAGTTTTGGAGGAGACGCTTAGATATCCTGATACGGAATCATAATCTATACGCTTTAGGGTTTCTTGCAACACAAGGCAACCAAGAACATTAAAAGGTTACAACAACAAGTAAAGAAATTTGCTAGAAACAACTTTAACAAACTATGATTATAGCAAACATCAATCTTCGTTCCTACCTTCATACATTTTACTGTTCAGTTTTCTAACTATCATCAAATTCTCCACCAAAACTTTCACAAGATTGTATATTATACCAATGGCCTCTCTGGTCAATGTTATGAGTCTAACGGTTATTCAAAATCTCATCACTAAATTCAAAACTCCACGGCTCAAATCTCATCATTGATTTGGTGTTTTAGTCACAGTTTCATGATAATCTTTCAATGAAGTGTATGAACCTTTCTGAGTTTGATTTGGTGTTTATTGCCTTTTTGTTGGAACTCGATATGTCAAAATGAAGTTGGTTTGAATGAGAAATGAAGATATAAAGTGGGTGTTTTGAAAAGCTTATAAAGCTTTAAATTTTGGCTAATGTAAAAGCTAGCAAATGACCCATATTGGTTTTTAGATTTGAATTTGGTTTGGGTTAGAATTTGTTAAATTGGACTTTATGTTCATCAACTTATTCTTGTGGACCAAACCTTTGTTGATCTTTTGTGTTTTATTTAAACACAAGAAAGCAAATCTATAAAATGAATTATATTAATAAGTTTTAATTGGTCAAAGCTATTAATACATTTTCATTAAGTCTTGTAGTCAAATTGGTGAGTAATGGAGTGATACTCCATTATGAGAATTTGATACAAGACGTTATTAAAGTCTCCATGATAGCACAAACTTACGTTGGAGTGCATGGCTATATATTGAAGCCTTGGTCTTCTCATTCTAGACACACTTACACAAGCAATTTCTTATGAGAGTATATCACAGAAACATGGTTCGTAAGTTTATATATTGAGTGATGCAATTATAAGAAGTATGCAATTTTATCCTAAGACTTGGAACACCATGCAACCGTCACAGTACGGGGCGTTTACATAATTAAGGAAATAGATCATATCTCGACTCTGCAAATCCGGTTTTATTTCATTAATTCTTGTTTTATATATCACTTTAATATTGTATTTCTATTAATTTGTTTATTTTAATACTTTACATTAATCAGTCGCCCTATTGTAGAATTGCGTTCCTACACCTTTTACAGTGTACCAATGGACATCTAGCTTGTTCACCATGCGTCAACAAACTGAACAATCGATGCCCGTTCTGTAGATCTCACATCGGTGACATTCGAAACAGAGCAATGGAGAAGATCATCGAAGCATCCATAGTCCCATGTCGAAACTCTGTTCACAGATGCAAAGAAACAACCACATACGGATACCAATCAAGCAGCCACGAGAAGCTCTGCGCTTACATCCCATGCTCTTGCCCATTACCAAACTGCAACTACATCGGCTCTTACACCGATCTCAAAAGCCATGCTCGTTCTTCGCACTCTCGAGACGAGGACTACCTCATTCCCTTTGCGTTGAACCAATCTTTGATCTTTGGCATTGACCTCAAGAAGAAAGAGAACGTGACTGTTTTTCAAGAAGAGAAGGATGGTGATTTGATCGTGGTTCAAGGGTTTAAGAGATCGCACGGTGCGTATGTTACTGTGAGCTGTATTTCTCCTTTGACTCCTGGATTGCGCAACTTCTCTTGTAGTCTTGCTAAGCTCAAAGAGCATGCGACGTTAAGGCTCGGATTCATGGTGAAGAAAATCCAGAAAGTGGGAGTGCTGCAAGAAGGAGAAGAGCCCAAAGATGGCTTCATGTTGATTCCGTCTTATATGTTGACTACTGATCACTTGAAGATGCAGATTTGCATTGGGAGTGAGTATAAGTATATTCATATCTGAGAGAAGATGTGAATGACTAGTCCTCTTATCTTATTTGGGCTGAGAAGCTTCCTTTTTAATGGTACTTATGTGTATTTGTAGTCTTTTGTAGTGCTTTGCATTGATTTGAATTTGAAACTCCAGATTATGTGAAAACTCTTCCTGATATAATTCTGTCGTCGGATTTTAGTTTGATCGTATAAGACTTTGATTTTTAATTGTTTACAAAATCACAGACATATCGTATAGCATTCTTATGTGCATTGCTTACCGGTGATTTTCGATACAGGGAAATGGAGAATGTCATAAAAGTATATGCCTAGTCTCATTCACAAATGCGAAATACGTGTGTAAACAGAGCGCCACGTATTTTCATGTCCCAACCATGGCTGTAACTACATCGGCTGTTACAAAGATCTCAACAAACACTTTCGTGCTACACACAATCAGATCCCGGGTGAAATCATGCGGGTTGTGTCTAGGCGTACTGAAATCTTTGGCTTTGACCTTGGACCTTGGTGATGACAAAAATGTTTATATGTGACTGTGAACCGTATTGCTCATATGGCTCCTCCGGATGTGTGCACATTCTCCTGCAGTCTAGCCTGACCCACAGAGCATAGCATTCTAAGACATTGATTTTGTGGTGAAGAATGTTCAGAAAGTGAGTGTAAGAGCAGCCTGAAGGTTGCTTCATGTTGATTCCATCTCACATGTTGAGTGGTGAATCTGGTGATTACGTGAAGTTGTACATTTTGGCGATTGAACCAATTCAAAACTGGAGCTCCAATGTTTGTCAAAAATTGTTGGAGTTAGTCAGAAATTTCCTTTTAAGTTTTTAGGTTTGGAAATTATGAATTTAGAAATGAAAATCCTGACGAATAATATTACAAATTTAACGGAGTCTATTTTCATGTTGACGATTAACTAATTGAAAACCAAATTTGGAAAAATCAGCTATATTTTGATAATTTATTTGTGCAATCAAGAGTTGGAGAATAAAATGTGCTGTGTTTTTCTTTAAATTCCACGGATAATACAGATATAAATATATGATTAAAATAACAGATGTTTAAATTGTGATTATTTTAAGAGACCATGTGAAAGAGTACATTATTAATTATAACTTTGTGACTTCTTATGCAGACTTTGTCAAACTCAAGAATGATATACATATTTTATCATTTATCATTCTATCAGAGTTTACGTGCACGATGTATTCAGTATTCATACGCTAGATCAAATCTCATGAGTTGGCAATGGCGAAAACCGGAAGGGTTCTTTTGTAAACAATTCAACCTCCATACCACATACAGTCTAGAAACACTTCCATTGGGAGTCTCTTTACCTTAATCTTTTTTTGTCCGTCATTTGATTCTTTGCCATAAATTTGCGTCGGCTTCTTGCTACACAATCAATCTTTTTTAGCAGAAACCACTATCTACACAATCAATATCTATAAGTCTCCTAAGCAACACTGATGTATTTTTGATCATTTCATGGCCTGCATTTATGAAGTCATACCTTAAAAGGAGATCCAAGAGAAATGATATAAATGAGAACTCAAAGACTAACACGAAGAACCATTTTCTCCATACACCTAATCAATAGTGAACAAAAACCATTTAGAACATTACAGACTTCATATATACGTACGCCACAGAAAATAGCTTGATATACAAACATTTGAAGAATACAAAAGGTTGTGTCAAAGATAAAAATTACCTCGTTGGCAAAAAAAAAAAAAAAAAAAAGATAAAAATTACATTGTTTCAACATAAAGAATAATAGGGAAACATCCACCAACATTAATGTTATAGTTCTCAACTCTGTGTCATTATATACCATGATCTGAGCAAAAAAGAAATTGTTGCAATGTTAAGAATAAGACCAATGCTTACACAGCAGACAGAACGTGACAAAAATGTACTCACAAACAAAATCATTAATGTTAAGAATAAGAGTTTAACATGATTACCCATTGTTTCTCTTGCTTATCAACTATCGAGATCATCTTTAGAAAACAAACAACAACTTCTTGGAGAATGAATTGTATCCAAACGTTTCTGTGTTGCACCTCAAGAACATAGCCAAGTTCAGCGTCTGTAGTCCAACGGTTAGGATAATTGCCTTCCAAGCAATAGACCCGGGTTCGACTCCCGGCAGACGCAGTTTGTTTCTTTTATCACTTTTAAAATTCTAAACCAGAAAAAAAAGGAACCTACACATGTGTGAGAGAGAGAGAGAGAGATAGGTTGATTTTATCTTATTTACCTTTGTTGTTTCATGCGTAATGGAAATGGACACTTCATCTTACTTTCCTCGATTTTCTATCTTGATGAATAAGTTCTCCTAAAAGTTACAAAGTACTTGAGTTAAGAGTTAAAATGAGCTAATAAGACAAGTAAAAAGAACATGCACATACCATTAAGAATTGATCCAACAAAAATGATAAATTCGAAACTCACATACCAACAAGAAGAGCCAATTTGAAACCTAATCAGTAGTGAACAAAAACCATTTAGAACATGGCATCATTCATATATGCCACACGATATATTACTATACAAAAGTAGATTATGTCAACGATTAAGTTACCTTGATTCGGTGCACATAAATGGATAAACACTTCTGCTGAAAATCTAACCAGCTTTTGAATCTATAACGTACTATCTCATGTAGTCATGTGAGTATACGATCCTGAGCCAACAAACCTATGCAATTCTAAGATCAAGACCAATGCCTACAAGTAGACAGAATCATACAGAACGTATAAATAAACAATTCAAGACGAGCTTGTTCTGTTTGTCACTGTGTTTGAGCTTGTTTTGTGTTCTGTTTATTTTGTTATGTTTATGTTGTGTTTGAGCGTGTTTTATGTTCTGATTCTTAGTTTTGTTTGTGTAATGGTTTAGTATTTTTGTTTGTTATATATGAGAGAGATTAAGTTACCTTGATTCGGTGCACATTTAATATGTTAGACAACAGATCACCAAAAGCGTTAAAGTTCTCATTTCTCAACCACATGGTACACGATCATGAGCCAACATACTTATGCAATGTTAAGACCAATACCTACAAGTAGACAGAATCTGACAAAACGAATACTCACAAATATAGGAAAATAAATCTTTTCGTTGGTTTTTGTTTCTCTTCGTGTGTGTGTAAAGAATCTCCATTTTGATCGAAGAGAAAGCAAAATTATCCATTTCAAATTTTGAATACTTACAAAGTTACTTATTTTTCAATATAATTTTGTTTTTCTACATATTATACAAATAGATTAGTTAGCAAAATGTTTCTTTTTTTTTAATCAAATAAACAAATTAATTGACAGGATAAAAGTTGCATTATAAAAATAAAAGGCCCGTATAGCTCAGTGGTAGAGCGTCAGTCTTGTAAACTGAAGGTCCGTAGTTCGATCCTGCGTGTGGGCATTTTTAATCCATTATTTGTTTTTTATCCAAAGAAAGGAAGCATTCAAGCATACATAAGTATCACTTTCAAATTAATAGTTTGCTTTAAAGTTTAAACCCTAATTTCGATTCACATCCGTGACTTTTGTTGTTTAAATGACATGATGTGAGAAGTTGTTTCTGTCAGGAAGTTACATCCTTAGTTATTTAGATGAAAACCCTCCTGCTGAAACATATACATTCTGTTTTTACAAATTATGATCTCTTTACATATAAATTTAATTTTATAAAGTTTAAAGTAAGTACACATCGCTTTGAGAACGTTATGGGACTACAAATAATGATACTATCAAAAATAAGAGTACAATGAATTACAAATAAATTTTGCTAATTAAATTTCACTTGTTATCTTCGCCATTTAATTTCACAAATTATGTCAAAGGTCAAATTGAAGAAGACGAGGAGATTTGCCAGGGTAAAATAAATGAGAGATGAAGACAAAGAGAAAGTGATGAGGAAGACGAAGAGATAGTAATTACTCTGACAACCATTAGGGTCTATTATATATATCAACACTTATTCTTTTGCTTACTACCTCCGCAATTTTCGATAGCCATGGTGAAAAACACCAACGCCGAGCAAGCCCTCACTGGAGAAGCGTCCAACAGCCGCCAAAAGAGGCAACAACCTCCCTCAACTGTTGAAGCAAACGAACAAGACGAGAGTGGTGGAGGAACTGAGAGTAGAACAGAGGTACGATCTGGGTCGCTGTTCGATCTAGATCTTCTCGATTGTCCCGTTTGCTTTAATGCACTGACGACTTCTATCTTTCAGGTCTTGTTTCTTACCTATTTTTGCTCTTCATCACTGCTCCTTCTTGGTTTACTGTATATGGATCACGGATATGTCATTTAAACAAGAGAGGAACCCATAGCTATTCTTAGTCAAGAACTATTAAACTTTTAAAAGAAAAATATATATTTATTAGACTTGTAGTTTAACTATGATTAGCTAAAACTCCATGCCTTGCAGAAGTTAGCTTCATTACTGCTAATATCATTGTTTCGTAAAGAACAAAGTTTTGTTTTTTCCTTTTGAAGTCTTATGAATAGCATTGCTTGAAAAATATAATGGATGATTCCTCCACAAAACATCTAAATTACCAGTTTAAGATTGTTGAGTTTGTATGATATGTACCTTTATATTCTTTTACAATATGTTCATCAAATTTCATGTTTTCACTTTTGAAGTGATTCCGCTATAGACATCTAGCAAGTTAAAAATATAATTAGAAAATGAGAAAAAACGTAATTAATCTACTAAACTAAACTTTCATCATTTTTATATTTTTTCAAAAGTACCATAATTAAGCTTTTACATATATATATATTCTGTTTTGTTTCATTTACTTGTAATAAGATCTCTCGATTTTCTTATTGATTGCTACAACTTTTATTAATATTAATTAACTCTGCGAGTTTTGCATGACAGTGTGACAATGGACACATAGCTTGTTCTTCTTGCTGTCTTAAACTGAGGAACCAATGCCCTGCATGCAATTTGCCCATTGGTACCTACCGATGCAGAATAATGTAGAGAATCGTTGAAGCAATCATGGTCCCATGCCCAAACGCCAAATATGGTTGTGCCGAGAAGTTCTCTTATGGAAAAGAACTTGCCCATGAGAAGGAATGTGGTCTCGCTTTGTGCCATTGTCCTGTACCAAACTGCAACTTCACGGGCATGTACAAGGATCTCTACGGTCACCAATATGATAACCACAAAGCTCTGTGCAATTCTTTCACGAGTGGCCGTTCCACTGTTGCATGTCTACGCATGAGGGACAAAATTCTAGTCCTTCAGGAATCTTGTGATGGTCCACTGGTTGCGGTTCAGTGTTTCAAAGCACCAATAGTATTTTATGTAACTGTGAACTGCATAGCTCCTTGTGCTCCAGGAGTTGGGGAGTTCTCCTATCACATCTCCTACTCGTATAGGGGTAAGACTTTGACGTTTGAATTAGAGAAGATGAATAGGATTCAGAAAGTGAGCTATGAAACTCCTGAGAAGGACTTCATGTTGGTTCCTTATTATATCTTGGATCTGAGTTGTGCGTTGAAGATGAGAATTTGCATTCGTCGGCTCTAAAATAAAAGAAGATGAAGAGGAAGAAGAAGAAGACTAAGAGGAGTAATGATCATATCATATCCATTGTCTACTACATTTCTGGTGTTTTTTTTTTTTTGGGAGCTACTTTTTTTTTATATATATATATGCACTCTAAATATTTATGGCTCAATCTAAATATGCACTCTAGACTTTCGTTTCTGTTTGTTCTTTGTACTTATTTTAGAATGGAGATCCATGACAATCATTCATCATAACCGTGATAACCATTCTGGTCTTCTCGATGGTATTTTACCAAACACCGATCACAGTCGACATACATAAGCTTAGTTGAGGAAAACAGACGATGAAGATCATTTTTAATGTCAAATCTACAAACTATTTTGATCTTATTTTTGGAGGACAACACTCGTTGTAGGGATTGAAAATATTCAAGGAATAAAGAATATTAATGACATCGATGAAATTACAAGAAGATTGCATAAACTAACGGAAAAAAATCATTTTAAAAAAAAGGATCTATAAAGGGTCTTGTGCCTTTTGTTCAAGAACATATATACTCCCATTGGAGGGGATGGTTAAGAGATTGTTAATGTCCATTAAAAATGGGAACTGCCAATGTTTTTAAGAATAAAAAGTAATGTAAAAGCATAAAAATATATGAAAAAGTTATGTTTTTATTTGGGGTTTGACCGTTTGAGAAACGATAAAATAATATATTGTAGAGATTTATAGTCATTAGGTGTGTACACAATTCTACATAAACATATCAGATCAATATTTCACAACCCTTAATCTTATAATGTCTCTCATAAAGGCTTCTCAACGTAAAGCCTTCTAGGAAAAAAGCTTCATGGAAAGCTTTTATTTTTATCCTGTTATGTAAAACAAAAGCTTACTGGTTACAACAAAGCCAAGCCTCGTCTTTTCCTTTAAAAACTGTTTTTTCTCTCTTCTCTCTCCTGCGATGGAGAAGACGATTCAAATTTGGTTTCTCAGCCATCTATTCTATCTCCTCTTCTCTTTGAGGATGATTACAATTAACGCTGGAGTGAAGCAATTAGTCGATGCTATCTATCCAGCGGCTATCTCCGTTGTACCGATTGTGGCCAACGATGAAAAGTTCATCTATTATCCTCTCTTCAAGTTGCAGAGATCTTCTTTGCTTGGCGAGAGATGGATTTTCCTTGTAAGTGATTCAGTTTCTGGTGATTCTATGGTGTCCTTGATGTTTTTATATCAAGTTATAACTACATTGTTATGGAAAAAACCGCCATGGAAACCACCATGGAGAAGATCACAAATTGGAGTCAAATATGCATCCTCTATGTTGTATGGCGATGTTCTTAGAATCGTTGAAGGTTGGCAGTCCCAAAATCTAGTTCAATCGATAGAATCAATAGATTGGGTTCTTTATCGAAGAACATTTATAGATCTATTTTGGGAATTGGCCAATGTTATCCAACATAAGGATTTGATGAATTTCATCAGATGGATGATAGCCAAAAATGAAGATCGCATGATGTCATATGCGAATGTGAAGAAGGATGGTTACAGAGTCGATTCTCTGTTAACAAGCAACGCTCCTGTATCGCCGTTGCCGACTGTTACTTCCTCTTTTCTTTTACAGTTTTTTCATAAGTTATTTTATTGTAATTTCCTTATTTTATGCACATGCACTTTATATGTAACCTTTCAATTTATTTTATAATAAAGATTAGATGTTAAAAAAAAAAAAAAAGCCAAGCCTCGTCAGGAGCTATTAGTGCATCAATTACATCATTTGAGTCCAAGCAGAAACATGATGTTAATTATAGGTTTTGTGCAAAAAGACCCTCTGGCAAATCAAATACTCAATTAAAAACTATTTAATATAAACTCTAAAGTCAAAAGAACTCCGCAATCTAGAACCTTTGAATATTTGTGACGAAATTAAAAATGATTTTGTGCAAAAAAAATCACCAACTGAATTATTTTTTTAAATTTAGTCCACTTAAAAAAATGTGTAAGCCAATTGTGCAATGTCAAAATTTATCGTTAAAACCATATGCATTTTGGGTTTTGCAAGTATTGAATGAAATGAAATAGAATATTCAAGAATTAAATTATACTACTCAAAGTATTTCCTTATGATAAGAGGAGGAGAAATGACTGTAAGAGGAAGTTTGAGACTAAAACTTATACATGTAAAAGCTTATGAAATCGGGAAATTTGAAAAGATTTCTGAAAAATATGAAAAAATACAAAAACAAATTCGGGAAAATGCAATATACTCGAATATTTTTTTAAAAATAATAATAAATGGCATGATGTTAATCTATATATAATAGCAAACTGAATAAATGTCTTTTGTTGTCGTGCCTTTTCGTTCTTAACCGTTTTCTCTGTAACCGAAAGAGTTGTGTCTTCTCGAGTGATATCTTTTCACTTATAACCGCTAAATTGTTGAAAAGTCACAACTTTTAATAATGAAACCTTTTCACTTCTATATATATTATTTAGCACAATTTTATCATTCATTTAAAATCTTTGGTTCTTTCCATTCGTCTTTTCTTTTGATTGTTTGTCCCCTCTTCTCTCATTGTTGCTGTATTTTTTTTATCATCATTTCTTACGTGGTAGTTTGTTTTTTTATTCATTCGTTTACTCCATTGGGTTGGAGATAGAATACAGAAGCTCCATTGTTGACTATTACGGTAACTTCTCTGATACGTTTATTTGATTTTATTGAATTTTGATAATTGGTTTCTCTTCTTGCTTTGTTCATTTAGACATATTATAAATATGGGATAATTTTTTCTCAACAACCACAAACGTTGCAACCCAATGAAGTTTGTATGGAAAAAAAGGTAAGGGAATGGTCATGTCTTTCTGGTTGGTCTATAACAAAGGGTACGGACTTCATAGCACATACTGGATGCATGAAAATCTCAAATATATACGAGATAATTTACTTCTCTTCCACAGCATAAGCATGCATGAAAACGAGCAGGAGATGGATGATAATAAAGTTGGAGAGAATGTTGGTGGTGGTAAGGGTGTTTGTATAAGCGGAACCGTGGTTACACACAATATTACTTGCACACAACCGAGTCGAGCTGAGCCACGCCATACGACAGTTTAGTAAGCCCAGTGTTTTGATCCCTGTAAGTAACAGGGCTATGCTTTGTTAAACCATTTCGAGAAGTCCAATACACCATCTCTTTTGTTGGTTCGCTACATCAAATAATGTTTTTGGGGCATCCTGAAAATGCAGCTCTTTTGAAACAACAGAAAACTGTTCTCCATCCTAAACCGTGGATCATTAGTCCTGTGTAGTAGTCTTCAACTAAAAACCTATATCTGAATCCAATCTGTACAAGTTTCAACGATAACAAACTACAAAATAAGTACATTAATTTACTAATGTCGAAAGATGAGTAAATTTGTTTTTGAAATATCTACGTACGTTTAGGGTTCTTTCTCAAAGAGGATATTATGTTTCATATCAGTCAAGAAATTAGTAAATGCCATTTGCATGTCTGTTGTATCTTTTCGTTATACCTTTACACATATGACCGTTTATATGTAAAGTTGTATCTTTTGGTAACACATCTTTTCGCTTCGCTTATAACCGTTTAAGTTTATGAACAGTCACATCTTTTAACAGTGATGTCTTTTCAACTGTATTTATACTAGTAGAGGACCCGCGCAAACGCGCGGTGTAACGTTGCGGTCTTGTGAAGAAAATTTAAATCTTAAACCCGAGCCCGACCCAAAATCCCTAATCAAAATTTTAAAAACCCAAACTTTTTAATTTGTCTAAACCCGAAATCCAAAAAATCCCGAAAACCCCAAACCGAGCGCGGGGTACAATTCCTAGTGAATCATAATCTATGAGTTTCATTGTTGGTGACGGTAGGTAATTTATCAGTTTTACATACTTCAATTTCTCTTTGACAGTGTAGTTATTTTTCATATATTTGGTTTTAATCTTGAATTGTTTGATTGATTTTTCCAGGGTTGGTAAAACATCATTGATCAACAAGTATGCATTGGAGTTGCAGTTATGTTGTTTGCTTCTCTTATTTTATCAGTTTTTTAGTTCTTTAAGAGAATTTGTGTGCAATCATTGGACACATAGCATATGGACCGAATGTGACCTGGTCTAAATCTCCATCTCCGATACTTGAAGACGACCTTCTACAAACTCGACCAGTGAGCGAGGTGGGTATTCTGGCCACTGAGAACACACTCGTGTTAACAATGCGGGTGATGGATGAGGACGGAGGCGAGGAGATTGAGGGCCCTGACGGTGAGGCTGAGGAGGGTGGTGTCGTCGTCTCCGCCGTTGTCCCGTTATACGAGAGTGGTTATATGCAAGCGACTTGGAGACAGTCAGCGTCCGCGACCTTATCGAAGCCATTCCAGTTATTCTGTCGGATGGGGAGGCGGAAGAGATCTTGAATTTCTTGGCCGGCGACGATACGCTCTGGATGATCGATGTGGAGAACCGGCTGTATGGGGTCAAACCGCGCATTTGATTTTATTTTAAACTGGGTATAAACCGTCAGTCTGTAAACCGTATTATTGATACTTTTTTAAAGGAATTAATTGCCGGTCTAAAACGGACAACTTCTTTAAATTGGCAAATGAAACGGGAATGTTACCACTCAAGTTGTTTCCGGACAACTCCAAGAGTATTAGTTGGTTCAGTTTGCGTATTGAAGATGGAACTTCACCTACCAAGTGATTATAAAGAAGATTTAGATATACGAAGTGAGACAGGTTTCCATTTTTTGTGAAAAGGCATCACACTCAGTTTTTGCGTAAAATATTTTAAACGTTTAGCCTAAAAAATCCATAAAAAAATGGTGTTAATAAGGTTTCAGTTTTCAAAAAAAAAATGAAAACACCAACAACTGATCTCTCTTTATTATCATCTACCTGTGGAAATTTCAAGATACATAAATATAAATATGTATATTTACTAGTTAGATGGAAGACTTGATAGAATCCAACTATTATTAGAAAATAATAATCCATTAGACACACCTATTTAGTGTAAATTGATATAGCTTTTAGAAAAATGGTTTTCATCATTTGAAACAGAGATTTGTTTTGCGGTATATTTAATAATTCATATACATTTTAACAACAGATTGTATAAACCAAACCAATTTTGTCAATGGATTTAAAAAAAAAAATCAGGGATTAATTAGATAACATTATGATTTATAATATTTTTACAGTTATTAAAATTGTGTTATTAAATATATTTAATAAAATTGTTTTATGTAAAACGAGTTTCCGCGCGAGTTTGTGCGGGTTCAATTCCTAGTACTAATAAATGGAATGATGTTTTTCTTAAATTTTCTGAACATTTCTTTCAGTTTCCTAAAAGATTCCGTATTTTTCCAGAAAAAAATTCAGTTTTCCAGATTTAAAATATTTATATCTCTGAAACTTTTATGAAATATTAATGGGGAACTGCTAAAATGGCAGAATCGTAAAAAAAAAAAAGCGAAACGAGTTAAAGTAAGAGCTCTTCCGAAATCCGAGTCCCAAACTTCGAAACGGAGAAGAGAAAAACTAGGGTTTTACAGAGCAAGAAGGCGAATCGCTCGAAATCCAAAACGCAATGGTGAGAGAGACGAACGCCCTCGCTGGAGAAGCATCGAGCAGCCGCCGAAAGAGGCAACGGCTTCCCTCCACCGTCGAAGAAGAAGGAACAGGGACGCTGTTAGAGCTAGATCTTCTCGACTGTCCCATTTGCTGCCACGCATTGACGATTCCTATCTTTCAGGTAACTCCTTCTTCCTTGTTTAATAATCTCCGTCGGTTTATTGATTCAGAGTATGGCTGATTTTTGGGGAAAACGTTGCTTTAGGAAGATCGAAAATTGTTAAAATCGAAGGTAAATGAAGCATATAGTCATTTACTTGCAGATTTCTGAGAGGATCAATCAAAGGATATTTGTGAGATTAGCTCCAAATACATGCCTTAGAGATGCTAATTTTACTAGAAGAAAAGTCACTTAAACGAACAAAGTAACACTTTCTTTCTCGTTTTGATCGAATTGCAAACGATTCTTGTGAAATATTTTGCTCAAAGAAACATAATCCATGTTTGTCCTTTCCAGAATACATATGAATTTTACCAATTTTAAGGATTTAGTATAAGCTCAAATTTGGTTTTTAGGCTCATCTATTGCTGTATACAACTTTGGTGATAAAAACTCTCTCTCTTGTTTTGCATAGCAAAGGAAATTTGTGAGATTAGCTCCAAATTTCACTAGAAGAAGTCACTTAAACGAACAAATCATATGTATGTTACCAGTTTTAGGATTCGTATAAGCTCATATTTCGTTGATTTGTTATCAGATTTCATGAATCGAAACTTGATTGCCACATTGAGTTTGATAAAATGCATTGCTATATACAACTTTGGTAACAAGAACTCTCTCTCTCTCTCTCTCTGTTGTATCGCAGTGTGACAATGGACACATAGCTTGCTCTTCTTGCTGCGGCAAAATGAGGAACAAATGTCCTTCCTGCAATTTACCTATCGGTAACTACCGATCAAGAATCATGGAGAAAGTGGTAGCCGCAGTCGTAGTCCCGTGCCCGAACGCGAAACACGGCTGCAAAGAGAAGTTCTCCTACGGCAAAGAGATAGCACACGAGAAGGAATGCGCCTTCGCTCTGTGTCACTGTCCTGCACCCAACTGCAACTACAGCGGCGTGTACAAGGATCTCTACAGTCACTACGATGTGACACACAGGGACGTGGACCTGTCGAATAATTTCAGCTGTGGGTTTCGGCATAGCGCGTGTGTGAACGTAAGTGGAGGTTATTTGGTGCTTGAGGAGTATAGAGATGGTCCTTTGGTTGTGGTTCAGAGTTTCAAGGAGGAGCAAGGAGTGTGTGTGGCTGTGAACTGTATAGCACCGTCTGCTCCTGGTGTTGTGAAGTACTCCTATGAGCTTTCTTATTCGTTGGGAGGTAACAGTTTGTCGTTTGGGTCCAGGGAGATGAACAGGATTCGGAAAGTGAGCTTTGAAATTCCGGAGGAGGGCTACATGTTGATTCCTGACTTTTTTCAAGGTCAAGTTGATGTGTTGAAGAGATTGGAGATTTGCATCCGCCGGGTAGTAGAAGGTGAAGAAGAACCTGAAGAAGAAGAAGCTGAAGAAGAATATGATGAAGAAGATGAAGATGAAGAGGAGGAAGAAGAAGAAGAAGAAGAAGAAGAATAAGGTGAGTAATTATCATAACGTATCGGTTGTAGGGATTTTCATGAATTTTTCAATCATAAAAACACATTGCAAGTTTGTAAGTTGTAACCATGTTCAGAACGAACCGTGTTTTAAAAATGTAAACCCGAATTTTGTTGGACCGAACTGAACCATGCTCAAATATATCTGGAGGATTATTGCCCAATTTTGGTTTAAGTGTTTTATCGGTTTAATTCGGTTATAAACGGTTTAAGTTCAATTGTAATCACATCACCATCATATTTCATCTTTTCTATTATGAAAAACATTGTAACCATGTTCAGACCGAACCATGTAATAAATCTTAAACCCGAATTTTGTTAGACCGAACTGAACCTGGCTCAAATATATTTGGAGGTTTGACCAATTTTGGTTTATGTTTTTTATCGGTTCAATTCGGTTATAAACGGTTTAAATTCAAGTGTAATCACATTACCATCATCGTCTTTTTTTCTCTCCCTCCTCTCTGTTCCAAACTCCAAAGGAAGCTTCGAAACCATTAAAGCGCAGCAAAAGAGGAGAGAAATCATGAATTCGACACTAATGCTACGTCGTTTCGTTTCATCTGCTTTAACGTTTCCGCATCACTTTCTTCTGTAGCGTCGTCTCCGAAGAAGAAGCCTCTCATCTTCCTCGGCTCTCCTCAGGTGATCGAGTTTACATGTTACATGAACTATATAGGTTTTAGGGTTTAAGCAGTTTTCTATTTTCCTGCGAATTATGTTGCCGTGACTGTCCTTGAAGCTCTTTTCGATGCATTACAGGTTCAATTTTCTTTCAATCTTAACTCATACCACTCTTTCCTTTTTCTACTCTTAAACTCAACTACTCAAGTGTGTACAATAACACACAATAATAATACTTGGTGGCGAAAGCTAGATGCAGGGCCAGCGATTTCCACTAAGAGGTTCCAAGTTTGATGATAAATAAAGGTAAATGATACTTCATGTAGCTCATCATTTTCTTGGATCTTAATATAGTTGCTATAGTTGATACCTTTTGCAGCCATTTCATACAAGGAGTCAACAACTATAGTTGATACTCAATATGTAGCTCATCATTTTCTTCCCTCCATATTCGATGGATCAGCAAAATAAAAATCAGCTCCCCAAGGTGATCTTAAGCTACCTTAGCTCCAAAGGTATTTTGTAGCATATCTTGTATCATCACAAAACAGAGAACATAAATGAGAAAGCTGTCTTTGATATAATGCATTTTTTTTTTCTTTTATGTGATCTTAATAATCTGACTCAAAATTTGGTTTAAGTGAGACATATTATACATTTAACCTTGCAAAGCAAATACAGAAAGCTATCGGAAGCTAGCCAAGAATCATCAAGAAGCGCTTGTAAACCCAAATCTCAGGACCACTGCTCTGTTTCTGTAGTCCATGTTTTAGTTGATGGTACATTACTTTGATGAACTGTTGTTACCAAAGCATCATGGAGAAGACAAAAAATGACTTCTACTATTACTTGAATAACAAGCAAGGCTTTGAACCATAATATATCTTGAAGAGTTGCAAACTTGGACAAACAAACAGTTTGATTGAAACGCAAGCAAAAAAAGAAAGAACAAGATTACATTATTATACATTGACAATCGTCAAATGAATCTCATTATATTACTCCCTCTATTTCATACTCTTGACTTACCCAATGTATCTCGATGTATTAAGACTCAAAACACATCCATATACGTCAATAAATAGTCCATATTCATTTTGTCAAAACGACACTTATTATGAAACTGAGGGAGTATTAAATAGAGATTAAACTGGGGAAAAAACAAACAGGTTTTCCCACGGGTTCAGCTGAGAAAGCAACAACATTTGATCCAGTTTCAAGGTCATGTGTCACCAGTGCTCTTGTGTTGTCAAAGTCATAAAACAACAACTTCTTCTCCTTCTCCTTCTTCTTCTTCTTCTTCTTGTCCCCATGGAGAAGTGCGAGTGGCGAGAGAACGCATGTTGATCCAACACCACAGGAAAGATAAGTTAGATGCAGATCAACGGAACATATTTTGTCCCATGTCTTGTTCTCTGAATTGAAGGACCATATCACTTGGTTGCGCTGACTCTTCCGGGACACGCACAACCGGTTGTCGAGGCTGCACAAGTGCACCTCACAAGCCTTTGCATTGTCAAAGGGAGCTTTAGAGAGGACACGAAAAGCTTCCGTGTGGAGATCGAAAGACACAACCTTGGTTTCTTGGCACTCTGTCAACCAATGAAGCGACCCATCGAAAAAGACAGGCTCAACGCCAGCAAGAATCCGACAAGGAGACGAAGGAGACACATATCTCCAACCTTCGGTGCTAAAGTCGTAAACCTCGCACGTGGTACCGTTTTCTAAAGAGTTGTAGAGCCAAACGGGCTTGTACGTGCCCATGAACTTGTCTTTGCCGAATCCAAGCATAAAGAATCTGTATCCAAGCTTGAAGAAACTGCGTAAGTCGGTCATGAGTTGCTGTAACCCGCAGAGAGGAATAGGGCGATACCATCTTGTGGTTGGATTGACAACATAACCGGTTCTGTTGGCACGGTAGAGACAAACAAGACCGTCGAGGCTACTTTGACATAGATTGTAGTGTGTGTTATCCAAAGGAGTAGGGATCTTGACCGATGACAATGAACCAATCACAAGTGTTGTTAGGTGTTCGGTCTCCTCCTCCTGAGTAGCCTCGGACACCATGAGAAGAACTGGATCTCCAGATTGATGACTATGGGTAAGCTGTCTTTTTTTGAAGAATGGAGATTCGATCGTCGATTTCCACTGTTTCGATACAGCCTTGAATCTAAGCAGAGATTTCACTGGAAGTTTCTCCATGATGCACTCTACGACTTCATGAGGCAGCGATTCCGATTCCACCATTCTTTTTTAGCTTTCTTCCTCATTCTTGTCATGTCTCCATTGATCCAGAGATGAAAGAGGCTTATTTATAAATACACAAATAATTAGAAGAAAAGGAAAAAAGGAAATCTCAACACTTTCCTTCGCTTGGATCTAAAATTTTATAGGGAGTTCATGATTTTCATCAGACCAAGGAAAAAGGATCTCCCTCTCCCTCTCTCTCTCTCTCTCCGAAAAACACAAAATAACCCGAACCGAACCTTGTTTTAAATCTTAAGGAACAAAAAAAAACTTTAACAAAAACAAATGTTTGAAATCTTAAACCCGAATTTTGTTTGGACCTGGCTCAGATAAATAAATCTGCGGTTTTGCCCGATTTTGGTTCAATGTTTAATTTTCTCGGTTCAGTTTGGTTAGAAACGGTTTAAATCCAATTGTAATCACAGTACCAATATCGTCTCCGTCTCTCGTCGTCACTCGTCTCTGTTCCAAACTCCGAAGAAGCATCGTAAATCGAAATCACAGAAGCAGGCAAAAGGGAAGAGAGAAATCATGAATTCAGCACTAATTCTACGTCGTTTCTATTAGTGTATATAGTTTTTATATCCTTTATTTACGGTATTGTATATAAACCGGTCTGTTTAGGTGTATTGGTTATCTTGATTAGATGCTGTATATAAGCCAACACCTTAAGTGTAATTAACCAATCAATGAGAAATGAGTTTATTAAAGTTCATTTGGTAAAATGGTATCAGAGCGCATGTGCCTCTAACGGCATTTTCCGATCTTGTTTTCCACTTTTTCCAAGCTCGATTTCCGGTTTCTCGCCGGAATCACCTCATTTCCGTTCATTCTCTCGGTTTCTTAGCTTCGATCTACTCAATTTCCGTGTTTCCTCGTGCTCTACAGCTCACGATTCCTTCTCGGCGTCGTTTTCTGGGTTGTTCTCTCTCTGATCATGACGAAACGGAAGTGTAAATCGAAGTACCGTAGATCTACACCTGATTCGCCGGTTGCTCGATCTCCTTCACCTCCGACGACTCACAGCAAGTCTCCGTGACTCGTCTGTTACTCCCGATCGTGATGCTCCTCGTCGACCTGGTGTTCCTCGTTCTCTTCATCCGTTTGAGGTTTCCGATTCCCCTGGCAACGTTCACAGTCCCTATCACCTCCATAGCTCGGATCACCCAGGTTTAGTCCTTACTGCTGAACCTTTGGATGGCTCTAACTATGGAATTTGGTCTATTGCTATCTCTACTAGCTTAGAGGCTAAGAACAAGATGGGTTTTCTCGATGGATCTATCCCTCAACCTGATGAAGATGATCCTTATTTTAAGATCTGGTGCCGTTGCAATAGTATGGTGAAATCATGGCTTTTGAATTGTGTTTCTAAGAAGATCTACATGAGCATCTTGTACTTCAAGTCTGCTTGTGAAATTTGGAAGGATCTTCACACTCGTTTTCACAAGTCGAATCTTCCTCGCCTCTACAAGCTCCGTCATCAGATCCATTCTCTCCGTCAGGGTAGCCTTGACCTCTCGTCTTATCACACTCACGTTCAATCTCTTTGGGAGGAATTATCTAGTCTGCAGGTTACTGGTTCTGTTGAAGATTTGTTAGCCGAACGTGAGACTAATCGTGTGATTGACTTCCTCATGGGTCTCAATGACAATTATGAGTCTATTCGCAGCAGGATCCTCATGAAGAAGACGCTACCTTCTCTATCAGAGGTGTTCAATCTCCTTGATCAGGAGGAGAGCCAACAATCCGTGAAGTTCTCCATCGATGTCGCACCCTCAGCCTTCCAGATCTCTCACTCTGGTCCTTTGGCCTCACCTGTGCCTCCTACTCCAGCCTCTGGTGGTTCGTCCTCTCAGCGTGATGATGACAAACCAGTTTGCTCTTACTGTGGTCGTGTTGGTCATGTGGTTTATCGTTGCTACAAGAAACATGGTTATCCGTCGCACTACAAGTCCAAGCAGAAATTTACCAAGTCTGGCTCGGTTCTCGCGAATGTGGCTGTTGGTGACACTTCTTCCGAACAGGTCTTCTCCGCGGATTCACTCTCTTCGTCTCAGATTCAGCAGCTTGTCGCCTTCTTGAGCAACAAACTTCAACCCCCACCTGCTTCTCCCACACCTGAAGTTCACTCTGTCTCGGCTTCCCCTGTTCCTTCTTCAGTTTGCCCGATTTCCGGTACTTATCATCCCTCTATTGTTTGTTCTTTTTCTGGAATCGATAGGCCTTATGTTTGTTCTGTTAATAGCAATCTTCCTGCTATTAACGCTTGGGTTATTGACACAGGCGCCACTAATCATATTTGTCACGATCGTAATGCCTTTTCCACCTTTAAACCATTACCCGATACAACCGTTTCTCTCCCTAATGGCATTCTTGTGAGCATTGTTGGACTAGGCACTATTCCCTTGGGTAGCAACTTAGTTCTTACTGATGTCCTATATATCCCTCAGTTTAAGTTCAACCTTTTAAGTGTCAGCTCTCTCACAAAAAGCTTGGGGTGTAAAATCTGGTTTGATGAGTCCTCTTGTGTTATTCAGGAGCGTACGCAGGGATTAATGATTGGAATGGGTAGGCAGGTGGCAAATCTCTATTTCCTGGATATTGAGTCTCTTTCTTTTCAAGGTACTTCTGTTTCTTCGGTGGTCGCGAATGTTTCTAGTCCCGATTTGTGGCATAAGAGACTAGGGCATCCTTCCATGTCTAAAATACAGCCTATGTATGCTGTTCTTTCTTTTCCTAAGTTTAAAAGTGACATTACTCATCATTGTCGAGTTTGTCATTTAGCTAAACAGAGACACATTCCTTTTGTATCTCATCATAATAAAAGTATTCATCCTTTTGACTTGCTTTATATTGACACTTGGGTCCCTTTTCTGTTCCAACCCATGATGGTTATCGTTATTTTCTGACTATTGTGGATGATTGTTCTAGGGCCACTTGGGTTTATTTACTTAAGAACAAGTCAGATGTGTTAGAGGTCTTTCCTACTTTCATTAGTATGGTCGAGAATCAGTTTGATACTAAGGTTAAGGGGTTTAGGTCTGACAATGCTCCAGAATTGAATTTTACAGCCTTTTATCAATCCAAAGGAATTGTCCCTTTCCATTCTTGCCCTGAAACCCCTCAGCAGAACTCTGTTGTTGAAAGAAAACACCAACACATCCTTAATGTTGCCAGGTCTCTTCTTTTTCAATCCCATGTACCTCTTCTTTATTGGGGTGATTGTGTTTTGACCGCTGTTCATCTTATAAACCGCACCCCATCCCCTGTGTTAAACGATAAAAGCCCTTTTGAAGTCTTAACCAAGAAAATACCTGATTATGATCAATTAAAGGTTTTTGGCTGCCTGTGTTATGCCTCCACCTCTCCTAAAAACAGAACTAAATTTGATCCTCGATCCCGTGCTTGTATTTTCCTTGGTTATCCCAATGGTGTCAAGGGTTCTAAGCTTCTCGATTTGCAATCCAATGCTCTTATTGTTTCTCGTCATGTCATATTTCATGAGGAACTCTTCCCTTTTGTTCAGTCTGATCTTTCTCTCGATGCTTCTAATCTTTTTTCTGACTCTATAGTCTCACCTCCTATTGCGCCTCAATCTTCTGGTGTTGATGCTTCTGCATCTTCATCTTCCGTAGCGGATGTGCCTTCTGCCATTCCTACTGATGTTCCTGAACCTTCTGTTCAAACATCTACTAAGAGGACAGTTAAAAAGCCTGCTCATCTTCAAGACTATTACTGTGATTCGGTTATGTCTTCAACTATTCATGAGATTTTTCAGTATTTGTCTTATGATAAGCGTTCCCCTAAATATGCATCCTTTTTAGCCTGTATTGATAAAGAAAAAGAACCAGCTAACTATACCGAGGCAAAGCGTTTTCTTGTGTGGTGTGAAGCTATGGATGTTGAAATTGTTGCTCTTGAGGAGACAGACACTTGGGACGTTGTGAGTTTACCTCCGGATAAGCACTGTATTGGTTGTAAGTGGGTTTTCAAGATCAAATTTCTTGCAGATGGTTCTGTTGAGCGTCATAAGGCTCGTTTGGTAGCTAAGGGTTACACACAGGAAGAAGGCGTGGACTACAACGAGACGTTTTCTCCAGTCGTCAAGCTCACTTCGGTTAAGCTTGTATTGGCGCTTGCTGCTGTTTTTGGCCTTTCCCTCACTCAATTGGATATCTCAAATGCCTTTCTGAATGGTGACCTTGATGAGGAAATATACATGAAGTTGCCTCCCGGATATGCCTCGAAACAGGGGGACCTTCCTCCTAATGCAGTTTGTAAGCTTAAGAAGTCTCTTTATGGCCTTAAACAAGCCTCACGCCAGTGGTACCTTAAGTTTTCTTCTACTCTTCTCTCTTTGGGTTTCATTCAAACTGCAGGAGATCATACTTGTTTTCTGAAGACCTCGACGGATCTCTTTCTGTGTCCTTGTTTATGTTGACGACATCATCATTGCTTGCAACAATGACTCTGCTGTTGATACATTGAAGACACAACTACAATCGTTCTTCAAGCTCCGTGACCTTGGCACGCTAAAGTATTTCCTTGGCTTGGAAATTGCTCGTTCCTCCGAAGGCATCTTCGTTTGCCAACGTAAGTATGCTCTCGATCTATTGGCGGATGCAGGTCTTCTCGGCTGTAAACCTTCTTCTGTTCCCATGGATCTCTCAAGCTGTCCCTTGACAAAGGTGGTGATCACGTCGATGTCGAGCCTTATCGTCGTTTGATTGGGAAGTCGATGTATTTGCAGATCACGCGACCTGACATTACTTCCGCCGTTAACAAGCTAAGTCAGTTCTCTGCTGCACCTCGCAAAGCTCATCACCAAGCTCTTCTTAAGATTCTTCATTACATCAAGGGTACTGTTGGACAGGGTTTGTTTTACTCAGCCTCCTCTGATTTGCAAATTCGTATCTATGTTGACGCGGACTATGCTGGTTGCCGCGACACTCGGAAATCTACTACTGGCTACTGCATTTTCTTGGGCTCCTCTCTCATCACTTGGAAGTCTAAGAAGCAGGACGTCGTCTCCAAGTCTTCCGCTGAGGCTGAGTATCGCAGCCTTTCCAAAGCTACTGATGAGCTTGTCTGGTTTACCAACTTCCTCAAAGAGTTGCAGGTTCCGTTATCTAAACCAACTCAACTTTACTGTGACAACATGGCTGCAATCCATATTGCTCGGAATCCTGTCTTCCATGAGAGGACCAAGCATATTGAATCGGATTGTCAAAGCGTTCGGGAACGTTTGGTTGCTGGCTTCTTTGAGTTGAATCATATCAAGAGTGAGCTGCAGATTGCTGATCCGTTCACTAAGCCCCTTTATCCGGCTCAGTTCCGTTACTTGTTTGGCAAGATGGGTCTTCGAAATATCTACGATCCATCTTGAGGGGGACTATTAGTGTATATAGTTTTTATATCCTTTATTTACGGTATTGTATATAAACCGGTCTGTTTAGGTGTATTGGTTATCTTGATTAGATGCTGTATATAAGCCAACACCTTAAGTGTAATTAATCAATCAATGAGAAATGAGTTTATTAAAGTTCATTTGGTAAAAGTTTCATCTGTTTAACGCTTCGTCTCCGAAGAAGAAGCCTCTTATCTTCCTCGGCTCTCCTCAGGTGATTGATCGATTTTACATCACCAAATAACTATATGGATTTTATGCCTTGTTCTAACTTCCTTGGAATTAGTTTTTTGGAGACTGTCCTTGAAGCTCTTTTCGATGCATCTTCTGCTCCCAACTCTTCCTTGGAGGTAATACAGTTGATTAATCTGAAGATTGATCAATTCCTCTTGTTAGATTGCTGTTGTATCGTCGTCGAAGCTTTCTTCAAAAATTGGAACTTTAGATTCCGAACCATTGTTGATTCTTGTTCAGTACGGCTGCTTAATCTGAGACCTCGTTTAGAAAATTTCTCAATTTGCTTCGCTGTGATTCTTAGATTGCTGTTGCATCGCCGCTGAATGATTTCTCTTGGAAAGTTGGTTTTTACTTCGTTAGTATGAGTGGGTTAACTTCAAAAATTGGAACTTAAATAAAGTTTTTTTTTTTTTTTTTTTTCTAATGTCGTTTCCTCTTTTTCTTTGTGTGGACTCAACTGCTAGAAAGCGTATTGTCAAAGGAGTACAAAGCCTCGGAAGACTTGCTTCTTGGGGAGCTACAACTGCTTCTTGCTCATACACACTCATAGTACACACCATTTTACACAAATCTTTGGCCATGCAAAAACAATAGGATTCTTAAGTTCTCTATCTCCCTAAGCCATCTAACATGAATATAGACTAAACACACCATTTTAGATTTGGTTTTCCAAGAGAATAATGTTTGAAAAAGGCTGAGGAAATTACTTGTCACTGGAGGACATTTAATGTGATTTATTTCTCCAAATGAATTTTGATGTAAAACTGTTGGAAAAAACGAATTCATTGGACGACATTTTAGAGTGCACACATATATAATTAGGAATAATATTTTTGGAGAGACGAATAATTTTTTACTGTGTTAAATTCCGAATTTTTAGGTGAAAATTTCTTAAACCCGAATAACCCGAACCGAACCATGTAAGAAATCTTAAACCCGAATTTTGTTTGGACAAAATTGAACCTGGCTCAGATAAATCTGCGGTTTTGCCCGATTTTGGTTTATGGTTAATTTTCTCGGTTCAGTTCGTGTAGAAACGGTTTAAATCCAATTGTAATCACATTACCAATATCGTCTCCGTCTCGTCTCTCGTCTCTCGTCTCTGTTCCAAACTCCAAAGGAAGCTTCGAAAATCGAAATCACAGAAGCAGGCAAAAGAGAAGAGAGAAATCATGAATTCGACGCTAATGCTACGTCGTTTCATCTGCTTCAACGCCTCCGCATCTCTTTCTTCTGTAGCTTCGTCTCCGAAGAAGAAGCCTCTCATCTTCCTCGGCTCTCCTCAGGTGATTGATTGAAAATACATTACTACATGGGTTTAGGGCTTAAGCAGTTCTCTAATCTCCTGCTAATTAGGTTTCCGTGACTGTCCTTGAAGCTCTTTTCGATGCATCGTCTGCTCCCAACTCTTCCTTCGAGGTATCAACAAATCGCTTAGAAAAATTTCTCAATTTTCGTAGGTTTCTTCATTAGTATGAATCGGTTTTCTTCCAAAATTGGAACTTTTAGATTTCAATATTTCTTGATTTTTTTTTTGTTAGCCTCTTATAAACTCTGAATCAAGATTAAGAGAAATGTGGAGAGATTCTTGGTGATACATTTTTGTCACATTGAGAAGATTGATTGGCTTTGTTCTAAGGTTGCAGGCATTGTGACACAGCCACCGTCAAGGAGAGACAGAGGAAGAAAAGTGTTGCCGTCTCCGGTAGCGCAATACGCTCTCGAAAAAGGCTTACCTTCTGATCTCATATTCTCTCCTGAGAAAGCAGGAGATGTAAGGTTTCTTTTCTTTGTGCATCAATGTCACTCTTCTAAAGGTTAGAGGTAAATTTTTGTGTAATATCTTCTTTGCAGGAAGCATTCTTATCCAGTTTAAGAGATTTGGAACCTGAGCTTTGTGTTACAGCAGCTTATGGGAATATTTTGCCTACCAAGTTCCTTAACATCCCAGTACATGGTTGGTATAAATTGCTAACATCATGGAACATTCTTTATACTACTGCAAAGGAATCTTGTTTTTCTTAAAGTCAATATTTACTATGTTTAGGAACTGTGAACATACACCCAAGTTTGTTGCCACTTTACCGTGGTGCTGCTCCGGCTCAAAGAGCATTACAGGTTCAATTTTATCTTTTAATCTCAGCTCATACCACTCCTTCATAGCTTCTTCTAAGACTCTTAACTCAAGTGTGTACAATAACACTAGGATGGTGTCCAAGAAACAGGAGTATCATTAGCATTTACGGTGCGAAAGTTAGATGCAGGGCCAGTGATTGCCACTGAGAAGTTCCAAGTTGATGATCATATTAAGGTATTTAATACTTTGTGTAATCTCATCATCAATTTGTCACATTTTTCTTGGATTTTAATGAAACTGAACTATTTGCAGGCACCAGAACTACTCTCCTTCTTATTTTGTGAAGGTAAATATTTTAGTTTCTTTATGCTTATGATTTTCAGTAAAAGGCATTTGAACAATGTTTGTTGGATAGTAACGATTCTATCTTTTTTTTGTGTGTGTGTGCAGGGTCTAAGCTTCTTATCCGTGAACTTCCCTCAATATTTGATGGATCAGCAAAATCAAATTCAGTTCCACAAGATGATTCTAAAGCTACCTTAGCTCCAAAGGTATATTTTTTGCATGTCTTGTATCATTACAAAACAGAGCACATAATTGAGAAAGCTTTCTTGATATAATGCACAGATATCTCCAGATGAGGCCTGGCTCTCTTTTGACCAGGAAGCTATAGTTCTACATAACAAGGTATAAGAAGAACCAATTCATTTTCATTTGGTTTAGTCTTATAATCATAACAACAAAATGTAAAACCTCTTTCTTAGGTTCGTGCGTTTGCAGGATGGCCAGGAACGCGAGCTAAAGTTGTAGTCCTCGACGCTGACAAGAGCGGTCAGCAAAACGTGCTGGAGCTTAAAATCATCACCACTCAAATATGCCAAAATACAGAGACCTTGAACGGTGAACAAGATTATGTAACTTTCGAGAAAGGCTCGCTTGTTTTTCCCTGTGGAGGAGGCACAGCTTTGAAGGTACTTGAAGTCCAACTTCCTGGTAAGAAAGTGATTGACGCAGCCGCTTTTTGGAATGGCTTAAGAGGTCAAAAGCTAAAGAAGCTATAAAGATGTTTCTAAATGTTCATTTTCTTTTGCTTACTCACATTCTTTGGTATAATACGATTATACACTTAGTTTCTTGTCAAGGTAAACGAGTTTTTAGGGTACTATAGTGGTTTAGGAGATGGTGAAGATTATGACATTTTGGTCAACGATAGTTTCACTAATGTAACTGTGTTAGAATAACATTCAACATAGAAACTACTAAATCTGTGCAAGTAAAGATTACCAAAATATCTGAATAACAACATTGATGACTAAGTGGCCATGTAGTCTCCATAACTTTCATCCAACATCTCAACCACAGGAGCATACTGCATAACGATGAGAGTCCATTAGCGAAAAAAGAAGAACAGTGATCCATCAAAACAAACTCTTTGATGATAGATTTACCTCATCGTCTTCATCAAAGCAAATCCCATCAATAGAGCTCTTCTTCTTAAACTCCCATCCTAATCTGTTCTCAAGCAACTCTTTAAACTTCCTCGTCTGCAAAAAAAAGAGAGACATGTGTGAAGTGAGACACGACAGTAACAGTTGAGAAAGATACTGATCTGGTCTGTCTATGTAGTAGAGTTAATACATACCCATGAGAGTAAATCTCCATGAACTACAGACTCCTCTTCCACTAACGCAAAGAATTCCTGAAAACGTATGCTCAAATCTTTTAGAATCTCTCAACAAAACGTATACTCGCTCAGAGGAAAACATGTTTGCTAGTCAAGAGATTTAACCTTGCAAAGCAAATGCAGAAAGCTATCAGAAGCTAGCCAAGAATCATCAAGAAGCGCTTGTAAGCCCACCTCAGGACCACTAGTCTCTTTCTGTAGTCCATGTTTTAGTTGATGGTAGATTACTTTTATGAACTGTGTTACCAAATGCAACAGAGAGAAAGACAGAAAATGAGTTATACTTTTATAGTACAGTAAGATAGAGAAAAACGAGATACTATAAGTTACTATTCTTAATGAAAATTGACAACACTCACCTTCGTAAATAGTTGACTCCTTGTATGAAATGGCTGCAAAAGGTAACAAGGAAATGCAAATGTCAAAAATCAAAGAGCCATGAAAACGTGAGAACACCAGAGAAGACTAGATTCAGAGATAAATCATAGACTTCACAGAAACACGAGACAGGACATATCGGATAAAGAAGGCGTACGTAGCTTCGAAAATACATACCGCGTCGGTGCAGCCTAGTAGAAGACTGACTAAGGACTTCCACTGCAAGAATGATTCAAGAGACTGCCCCATCTGCACAATAACATGACACCTTGATCTCAGGATGAAACAACTCTGAAGGATTCCTATTTGTAACCATACATATAAATATATGAGCTTATAATAAGCATATCACAGTAAACAACACATACCAAAAATGCTACAAACGAAAACTGTAGCTCCCCAAGAAGCAAATCTTCCGAGGCTTTGTACTCCTTTGACAATACACTCTCTAGCAGTTGAGTCTATACGAAGAAAAAAAGAGGAGGATGACATAAGTTAGCTTTACCGAAAAAGCAAAGACGAAGAATCTATTAAAACCGGAGCTACCTTGTCAAGATTCATAGAGGTCAGCTCCTGACCAGACATTCCCTTGTGCTTTACAATCCGAGGAATACAAGTGTAGTAGAACCTATTCCCTTTTGGCTGCTCATCAGATGATTCCTTAAACCTACTGCTTTTCTTCATCTGTTCATCAAGTTCTCTTTCCATCGCCGTTTTAGGTCCACCTTCTAGAATACCAGATTCATTAACGACTGATATTTCTCCTCCAAGTGGCTCTACAAAAATTGAACAAGCTTAGTTTTACAGTGTTCAATAGTAACTCAAGCGAGGGAAAAACATTAACAATGTGGTCAAACATACCAAATTTCTCAACAACATCCTTTGTAATGTAGTTAGACAAGTGCTTCCATGCCCCATATTGAGTTAAATTGTATGGGCCAAGATGTTTGTCAAACTCCAAACTCCTGACTCCTTGAGAATATCTCTCTTCCTGCCACCAAAAGGATGCAAAACAAGGTTTGTATAAGCAGTGCATTTAATAAAAAAAATTGATGTAGGTTATTTGAAAAGGACAAACCTCTTCTTCAGATACTTTGGCCAAACACTCGTCTTGCTGATTCCACTTGCGTACAATAACCTTGTACAGTCAAAACAACAGAGAGTGAAAAATCTACCCATTGATTGGTTTATACAAGCTAATTTGTTTGAGGAGGGACTAGTTTTCCAAACCTGAGAAGGAGCAACATCAACAAAGAAGCCAATGGTAGGTGAAAACTCTTTACCATCCCTAAATAAAAAAATACAATTCTTCACTAATCAGCCAAAGAAAATCGATATCATGATTCTTGATGAGTTAAATCACTTATAAAGACTTGAACCTGGTTGATGAACTATAGAACACAAAGTGAATTCCAGGAGGGATCATCTTAATCCCTTTGAAATTTGGTCCCACTGAGAACATCTGTAACAATGATTCACAACATTGTCACATTTTCAGCATATACTATTAAGATTTCACTAATTTCTTCATGCATCTTTCAAAAACGTTCGTCAGGTACTGTTATGAAAGTGAGTTTTACCATCAAAGAAAAAAAAAATGCATCTTTATTTTAATCACAATTCATCCCAAAAAGATAATCTTTTAAAATCTCAAAGCTTCAAAATTTAGTCATTTCCATATCAAACTCACAACTCAAACACATTCTTCTTCAGGGTTTTGCATGAAAAATGTCAAAAATCGGTTGCACATGATTCGATACTTTTTTTTACTGCAAAAAGACTGCGTTTCAAAACTCAATCGCAATTTTCAACAGCAAAAAAGTAACTAACCTGAGTATCGATTCCGATAAGTGTATGCTGAGGAACGTCGAGAAAGAGAAGCGTAGCTCCATGCTTCACAAGCTCTAGTGCCTTTTCGGAATCCATCGTATCGTCACTTCCCTTTCTTCTTCTTCTTCTTCCTTCGGTGATTTGGAGAAGACGACGAGTAAGTTTCTAGAAAACTAAAGCCCATTAAGTAATTGGGCTTTTTCGAGCGTGGCCCAATTTAAAACACGTAACGTTTCGGACGAAAACGCGAATTTCACGCGGTTTCCTTTTACAACCGACTTAAACTTTTTTATACATATATACAGGAATATTTGTTGCTTCGTTCACAATCGTTTTATCGTTTGATCTTCTTCCAATATTCTCTCTCTCTCGCATAAACACAAAATCGAAATTTAGGGTTTTTTTTGTTCTCTCCTCAAATTGTTCGTTTGAATCTCTCAGAGGAAACTTGAATCGAGAAGATGTCGTCATCCAACGGAGTCCACGCTCATCAGAGAAACACACACCGGAACGCGAACGGCCCGACGACGACGTTGAAGAGACGAATCGACAATCGCGGTCACGGCGGAGGAGGAGGCATCGGAGATTTCAAGGAAGATCGGAACCGTTACGCGCCGCCTCAGAAACGCGCCAGACCGCAAACGCAGACTCAATTTCGATCGGCTAATCCTGGGATGAATCCTCCTCTGTATCATCATCATGGTAGTAACAACATGTCTAGGGTTTCAAATTACGGTGATTCGAATCGTTTTAATTCAAGCAATAGCTTTCCTTTCGCTTTACGTAATAATGATTCTTCTCAATTTGGTTACGGAAACCCTAACCCTAACCCCCAATTGGTTCCGATTCCTTATCGTAAGCTTGATGATTTCGATTCGTTACCCGAATGGAACCCAAACCGGTCGAATTTTCCAATTAACTCTCCGAATTTCGTACCAAACAACTTAACCGGAGTTCGGTTTAACGCTCAATCATCTTCTTCTCAAGCACCTCTGTTTACGAATTTCCCAAATCCTCAAGCTTCTGTGTTTACGAATGTTCCAAATTCGATGCCTATGGTCTCAATTGTGTCGCAATCGTTGCCTCAAGAACCAATTTTGAGCAAAGAGTTGGCTGATTTTCTAATCCATCTCAACAACGAGAAGCAACAAAGCGACGAATCTGCTCCTCTAGGGCTCGATTTCGGTTCTGTGAATCTCAACGTGCGTAACGAGTCTGTGATCAAGTCTCTGTATTCCGATTTGCCGAGGCAATGCACGTCTTGTGGGGTAAGATTCAAGTGCCAAGAAGAACACAGCAAGCACATGGACTGGCATGTGAGGAAGAACAGGATGGCCAAAACCTCTGCAAAAACAACGAACCAGAAACCGAAGAGATCGAGGGAATGGTTTGCGAGCTCGTCTTTATGGCTCAGTGCGGTTATCGGAGGGACGGTAGAAGCGGTGATGGCGGCGAAAGCATTGTTTGATGTAAACGGCGAAAAAGAGAAGAAGGAAGAGAAAGAGGAAGAGAGGCGTGTAGTGCCTGCTGATGAAAACCAGAAGATGTGTGCTTTGTGTGTAGAGCCGTTTGAAGAGTTCTTTAGCCATGAAGAAGATGAGTGGATGTATAGAGATGCGGTTTACTTGAACATGAACGAATCTGGTCGTATAGTTCATGCTAAGTGTATGCCCGAACGAAGAAAAGGACCAGCGAAAGAGAAGAAGCCAATGGTTGTGTCTGGTATGGTGGTTCCATCGGTTGCGAGCGCAGTGGTCTGCTGATTGATTTTATAGAATTTAGATTTGGTTGAGTTAATTTCTATTTTAACAAATGTTGATGCATAAATCTTGGGTTGTAAATCAAAAGTTTAATTCAATGAAAACTTCGTTATACTATCTTGTGTCTCTCTTACTTTTTGTTTCTTGTCTTCTCTTGCTACTGTATAATTAACACGGAACTGAAGTATCTTATCTCAAAGCACATTGTGTAACTGTAAGCTTTAAGTTGAACATTAAGATTGTGAATGCTGTACTAAATTTATTAAACTCATCGTAAGTAATAACATAATTGACACAATATAACCTGCAATCGATATAGATATATGAATTAAAATGGCAAAACTTAGTGTTCAAGTCATGAACATGTTAATTTTGCTTTGTACTGTGCTGATTTGAATGGATCCACACCATATGTAATGTGGCCTTATGGATTTGGAATCACACCAAATAAAGATTTTATCTATAGCCATGGATTTCCAAGAAAAAGGTATTTCTCTCGTTTACAAAAAGTAGAAAAAGCCTAATTTTTGTAAGCACAATGAAATTCAGAAGATTAATTAAGAAAGAAAAAACTTAAACCCAAAAATCTCGTTAAATCACCAATTTTCAAGTTGGTGTTTTTTTTTTCCAATCTTTCTCATCGAAAATTAAGTTGCTAGCTACCTAACTTAATAAACCAAAGTAAACACGATGAAATTTAATAAACCAGCATTTCTAGAAGAAAAAAGAAAAATGATAATTTGAATTTTCAGGGGGAATTTTGAATTTTCTCTGAAAAATATTTTGCTTAGTCGAGGAGGCCATTGACATGAAGTGTTTATATCTATTATCTAGAGAAATCAAGTTTGAAAATAATTTTGCAAAAAGGAGTTTTTAAATAGCATATTTAGCTCTACTTTGTTGTTCTCTTTTTATCATTAGAGTGTAAGTAGCAAGTAAAGATTAGTAGATGTGGGATGATTTGTTTGACCAGTAACATACATCCCAACACGGAACCGTGAATCTTTTTTTTGGCCTTTTTTAGTATTTTTACTTCATCAGGAGTATATCCTCTTAATTAACTCTCAACAAACTCCAAATTTGGTTTTAGTTGATCGAATAACTCTATACTTACAAAAATTGTCTAATTATGAACAAATAAATATTATTCTAGTTAAATGCTATGAAAAATTATCGCTTCAGTAGTTTTTGATCGATTTTTACCATTGAATAACATCAACCACAAGTAACACGTTGAATTCGTCTATTTTCGTATAAATTTGGATTCTGTAGCTTGATATAATGGATGGAACAAAAAGATGAAAAAGCTTCTAAAGAAGTTTTCAAATAACCGAATAAAGTTACATTTTTCTTAATATAGTGATTGTCTTTCATTTTTCTTACATTATAACATGGCGACATGCATGAATACCAACCGTAAACTTGGAAAAATACGTCAAGAAGCACGAGCGGTAGTTACAGTCATTAATAAATTAAATATCCAAGCTAATTCAGATTGCTTTTTAAAAAGACTCTAACAAACATACAAAACTGATAAAGATTTTAAGAAAATGTATCGCTAATTACGCAGGGACCGACATTCAAGATGATTCTTTTCAAACATGCTGAATACATTTTCAACGTTAAAGACTTTATAAACCATTTTTTTAAGTAGAGGAATCTATGTAAATTTTTCACAGCTTCACACATATTATAATTCACAAAAAAAAAAAAAATTCAACCAAACCTCCCTTTAGCATATAGTATAAATACATACAGCCGCTTTTATATGACATTTTACATTATCCATCAATAACAGAAAAAAAAACCAAAAAGCAGAGCAGAGAAGAAAATGGGAAACAGCATAACATTAAAGAGAAAGAAAGCGAAAGTGATGAAGATCGACGGAGAGATTCTCCGGATTAAAACTCCGGTGACATGCCGAGAAGTCACGGCGGAATATCCCGGCTACGTCCTGTTAGACTCCGAAGCCGTGAAACACTTCGGCGTTCGCGCTAAACCGCTTGAGCAGAGCCAGATCTTGAAACCGAAGAAGACGTATTTTCTCGTCGAGCTTCCCAAGCTTCCGCCGGAGAAGACAACGTCGGATAAAGATAATAAGCTTCCGTACCGGCGAGTGATGTCCGGAATCCACGTCGGCGCGAAGGAGCGGTTGGAAATGCTGATGCTTTCTCGGAGAACGGTTTCTGACGTCACGGTTGTCAGATCTGACGGCGGAGATGGGCCTGGGCTTGGACTTGGGCCTGGACATACGAGCGTGAGGCTGAGGTTGCCTCGATCTCAGATTAATAAGCTTATGGAGGAGAGCCACGACGGTTCCGAGATCGCCGAGAAGATTTTAAGTTTATATAGAGAGAGCTCCGGCGAGATTGGCGGCGGTCATAGCCGCCGGAATCTTGGAACCGGGGAGAATAAGGCGCGTGAGGTATTTTCTCTTTTGACTTTTACGGTTTTACTTTGAAATTTGGTCAAAATAGTTTTACCGCGTGAAATTTTAAACAGACAAATTCAATTCAATTCAATACAAACAAGAAAATGGAATTTATAATTGTAAAAATAATGTCAACTATCGCTTGTGAGGATATAGTGACAGTAATATAATAAACCAAGAATTAAGCAAAATTTTAGTTATTAGAGTATTGTTTCTATATTAATGTGCAAGACAAGAAACATAATTTATTTTTTCGGCATTGCTTTAGCATTTGATTAGAGCTTATATTAATTATATTATTGTAATCACTACTAGGCCACTATAGGGTTTATGTAACTTATCTTATCTATTTACGTCATCTCTAAACGTGAGTATGACGTACGTGAATATTTACAAACAATTGTGGCCGGTCCTGAGGAGGGATAAGCGGCCGAGTAGGACATCCAATTAATAAAGGCATATTTTTGTTAAAACTTTTTTTGAAGAGGTGTATATATCATATACAAAGTTTTAATAAGGACATACTTTTTAGATTTGAGTAGGGTATATAAATTTATTGGACCGGTGCATACATGAATTAGTGGACTTAGGTAAATAAAATTTCTCCCAAAAAATAAAAAGATAAGTGATACTATATCATATTTTTAACACCAATGATGCAGATCCTCTCGATCATCAAACAATATCTGGTCGATTTGTTTAGCTAATCGTTTATTAATTTTCTAGTGTTAATTAATTAAGAGTCAAAGAGGGCATGATATTAAAATTAAACATGTGCAGAAGCAGGTGAGTTTCGCCGGAGAAGGTGGACGGGAGCTTCCTGTTCTATGGAGCAGAAAGGAAAGATAATCATCAGTTAGATAATTGAGATATCAAATTTTTCTTCTCTTTAATTTATTTTATTTTGAGTATGTCATCTTTATGTGTGTACATATATATCGTATTATATAACAAATAGAGATGGTTTAGAACTGTTTACTCGTGGGTTCCATTTTTGATTATTTACTGTTTTCGTTAATTATTCACTTTCACACTTGAAGAGATAAGAAACTGATTTATAGATTGCTAGTGGAAATGGTTGGGTGGCATCTGTTGTCTTCGGCCTACCCTACCAGTTACAAAATAATCAACGATACTTAATTAATTATACATCCTATCAACTCGTTTAAGAGCAAAACAAAAAGTTTCCCAAAACGATGAGGGTTTCAAATTTTGTGTATAGGCACGCCCCTGATTACATCATACTTATCAACAAGTTAAAGAAGTACGTTTAATTCTTAGCAATTTTAAGCTTTAGAGTTTTGTTTTGGATCCATACAAGACTTTTTTATTGGATCGAACTTCAGTTTTTTTCGATTTTTAGATGGTGTTCAATGTTCTTTTCACGTAACATTTTTTATTTATTTATTGTAGAGATCGAATTTTAAATGGAAACTGAAGAATTAGGATTTTGTAATGTTTACCATTGTTAAGACGCAGTATTGTTAAAACATATCTATTCTACCAAACAAAAGTATGTAAGACACTTTATGTTTCATTTAAAAACAAAATCTGCGCTGTATGTGCAACTCTCGCGATCATGCATGGCGTAGAAAATCTAAGCTCTTTACCCAATCAATTGGCTAACAACACTTCCACACAACTACTGAGTTTAACTAATCGATGTTTTTCTTACATTCTGACTTTATGTTTGTTGACAAAGAACAGTTTGACTTTTAAGTCATTTCCGAAACTAGGTAGGAGGATGCGAGTAACAACCAAAACAGTTAGCCTAGTTTTCCTGATTATAGCAGTATTCATAAATTTAATCATCAAATAAACATTCCAAAACTATTAATTTTCTAGTATTTTCGGTGGGGAAATCATATCATTTTTTGGCGTTTCTTTGTAAACTCTTTCGTTTCTGTCTATGTATATCATTAACATGTCAACTATCTTTTCCTTTTTGGGTGGAGAAATCAGTTTTCTCTTTCGCCATAAAAAGAAAAAGGAAAAAAAGAAAAAAATATTATTTAGAGTGCTTTAGGTGCACCACTCTCTCACCAGAATAGAGTAAGCAAAACCTTATCCGACCCAAGCGTCAATGCCTTATAACTGATAACAACTATATGTGAATAAACGTATGTCGTATAGTGACGTGAAACTATTTTAAACGTTTTTGCTCGGGTTAGATTTATGTATATGATGGGTGTAAGAACTAAGAACACACGGAGTATAAAGAGTATGACACAAAGAGTTACAAACACCATTTTGCTTTATTAAGAATCTGTGTTTTGCTTTATTAAGAATCACTTAAATAATCTTGCAGATCTGTTTAATTAGAATAACACACCGTTACAAACCGTAACTCGACACTGACCAATTTCTAATCTATCCTTGTCTCACACAACACCAATTGTGTATCACACTCTTTGTTCACTCACCAACAACACCTATCAGGAGCCTAAATAGTTCATGTATTTTTAAGCAAAAGTATAGTTCATATAATTTTAAGTTATAAACCTTGTATTTTTTATATATATTAAACGGTGTTTTATCATTTATGTTAAACTAGATTAGGCCCGCGTATACGCGGGTTTATTTATTTTTATATTTTTTTAAATCACGGAAGAATATTAAACAAAATTTGATCAATTTTAAAAATAAGAAAATAATATTAAAAACCCGATAACAAATCTCTAAATAAAGATATGTAGTCTTTTACATTTTTATTTTGAATTCATGATATGAAATAGAAAGATTTACATGTGTCTAAATCTAATCGACTCATTATTTTATGAAACTTTGATTATTCCATGATGAAATCTTTATTTTTAATATTTTTTTACCTAACAAAACATGGAAAATTAAACTATTTAATATTAGAAGATCAGTCCATTATAAAATTTTCTTTTTTAATATTATTTAGTTCCTTAATAATTATTTTGTTAGTTTTCTATTTATATTGTTTCTTTTTCAATTTCGTTTTTGCCTCTGACCATTATAAATTTTCATTTTCATTATTAGTTAGTTGTTTTAATATTATTTTGTTAGTTTATTTATTTATGTTACTACATTTTTCCAATTTTCTTGTGTTGACACATGTCATCACTTCATCAAATATTAGACACATGTATCGATCTAAAGTTAAGTATTCTTCATTGATATCTTTAACTTTTAAAGACATGAATTTTATTTCTTAATGAGAAAGAAACTTAAAAAAATATATATATATTTTTTTTTTCATTTTCGTAATGGGAATATGTTTTTTTATTCCTTTTCTTATTGGATGTAACATTTTTTAATTATTTCTTCATGTTTTTCTGATTTTCGTTTTTTTTCCTTTTCGTAATAGAATTATGTTTTTTCTTTACTTCTCATAATGGATGTAATATTTTTTCTTTTTAATTGTTTGTTTCCTGTTTTCTGATTTTTCCTAATGTACTAATAGGATTTTATTCAAATAATTTTAATTTCGATCCAATTGACCTAGAGTCAAATAATCTCCACTGTTCTCTTGAACTTTCAAAGACATGATTTTGAAATTAGAGAAAGAGAATCAAAGAGATTTTCTGAATTTGCTTTGATGAGTTTGTGAATGAGAAAAAGAGACTACAATAGCTCTCTTTTTATAGGGGGTTCATGTAACCAATTTCATACAGTTTTAGGATATTTAGTTTACATACCTATTACATGTACTAATAGGATTTTTTTAAATAGGAGTTTATATAACTATTCCATACAATTTTAGGATATTTAGTTTACATACCTATTCCATATACTAATAGGAATTTTTTATTACATTATTTTTATTTTATTATATAAAATTTCGTTTTTATTATAAGATATTAAAATTTCTCTTTAAAATAAAAATTTCTTTTTCCGAAGACATGTGTCACGATCTTAACGGATATAACATTAAAAGTGACACATGTCGCAATCCTATATTTTATAAAAATCCTACGTGTCGCAACCACGTTGTGCGCATCCAGCTTTATATAATAAGATATTAAAATTTTCCTTTTAAAATAAAATTTTCCTTTTTCCGAAGACATGTGTCACGATCTTAACGGATATAACATTAAAAGTGACAATGTCGCAATCCTATATTTTATAAAAATCCTACGTGTCGCAACCACGTGCGCATCAGCTTTATATAATAAAATCGTTTAATGGATTTGACAAAGCCAATATAAAACTAAAGATTTTTGAATGTTTATGTTTATAAATTGGGTCTTTTAAATATATATTTTGTTTTTTGTCAACAACCTTCAAAATCTTATGTCGCTCCGGTGATCCACGTTGATGGACTGGAGTTAATGTAGTACAATTTAGTGGGGCGATTTCGTGCACTTTGTGCTAGTCTGTCCGCCTTCTTGTTGTCTGTTCTTGGGATGTAGTGTATAGAACATGCGGTGAAGATCTTCATGCATTTGTCAATTTCTTCAAGGAGAATTGCGAAGACTGACCATTCATTGGGATTGGACACCATCTTCGCCACATCCGTACAGTCAGTCTCAAAGACAACACTATGCTGATTATGATCTAGCATGTTTTGCATGGCCCAAATGACTGTTTCCACCTTTGTCTGAAATGGTGTCAGGCCTCTCCGTAAATTATTGGACCCCATTAAAATTTTCTCTATTGCAAATTTGACCAGTACCTGTACCAGCCCAAACCAGCCCGTCGTGAAGTTGCTTTCCACAATCCATCAACCTCACATATGCTAGCTTGTATTTGTGGTTCCCTCATCCCCATTCTACTGTTATCGTCATTTTCTTGAGCTAATCTCCACGCAATAGCCCTGGATTCCGGTGATCTGATAAGATCTTGAGGGTCACTATCTTCATTTGGGAACACTTTCTCGTTCTTAACTTTCCAAATGTACCATATTAACCATAAATACATCTCCATGCGATTGTCATTCGTTAGATTCCAGAAAAGATGGATCATATTCATAAATAAAGCATCCAATGGAAACTTACTGGTCAGTGTACGAATTGGGGATAAAGCCCAAACATGAAGTGTGGGAGGACATTCAAAGAGAGCATGATTAATCGTCTCTGTATATATTCCATATCTTGTACATTATGGGTCTTTTAAATATTTTGCACCAAATTTTATATAGCTAATTTTTTTATCATTTTTTTTTTTTTTTTTTTATGATTTCATCGTTTTTCTTGTTGATCTTGTGGATTTTACTTAAACAATACATATCTCTTTTTAACAACAAAATAATACAGATCTTACACAACTTCACATTTTAGACTTCAAACCTATTGAAAGTTTTTGTAACCGTTTTCCCTCTCTTCTCTCTCTTGAGATGGAGAGTGCGACTCCATGAAAGACAACAGAGATGGATGGATCCAAGAGGTTCACAGTTTTGTGTCACTATCGATGATCCTTCTTTTGACTTTGTCTCTGTTTTATTCTCATGGCACCTCAAGAGTGGAGAAGAAAGAGAATTTGCATCTCATATCTCGACTGGATGAGATTGGTTTCTCTCTTTCTCCTTCTTTGGATTGTCATCATTTGGCTTTGTTATGGTTACGATTGGGTTCACAAAAGACTCAATCCATAAAGACTCAATTACGTCAGTTCGTGAGTGGTCACGTTCTCCATTAAATGACGAAGTACTCATTGTTCGTCAGATTGGGTTTCTTCTCTATAGTTACCCATGTCGAACACGTCATCTTCGTGAAGGATCTTGTTATTCTCCATGATGTCCAACATCTCCGACACCAATATCTTGAAGGAATCGGCTATCAAATCTAACAAATGTCTTAGTGTCTTTGTCGGCGAATTTGGAATCCAGGAAAATCAGTTTTATGGAGGAAGTTACAGAATGAGAAGATCGTGTTCGATTACTTTTGGCCATTGGAGTATGATGGACAAAGCTTGAACAGTACAAAAGGTAGAAGATTGATTTTCAACAAATGTAGTATCTATTGAAATTTATATTTTGATACATTATATATATTATATTTGACATCAAGCTGAAACTCTATTATTCAGGAAGCCTCTCAAGCAAGAACATCTTCAAATTTTAGTTTATTTGATCTATTGTTATTATCTCATCATCTTATTTTTGCTTTATTTTATCTTTTTATTTTATGTTTTCTCTTATGTACTCTTACATTTAATTCAATATTCCCTCCGTTTTAAATTAGTTGTCGTTTTAGCAAAATGTATCTGCAAATTTTTGGATGTATCTGGATCAAAACACATCCATATACATCCAAATATTTGCAGATACATTTTGTCAAAACGACAAGTAATTTAAAACGGAGGGAGTATTAATAAAGCTGGATGTAACAGAAATAAACCTATTGAAAGTGACTTTTTTTTGTAAAAGAGTTATTAATTAGCCACGGCCGCCAAATGTTTTATCAACAATAAATGGTTGCGTTTTTACAGGACTGTAAAATCATACTCCTAAATTATTTTATACCAAGAACGAACAAAAGAAAAAAATTCGCAGAGCGTGTAATCATTTAATGTATTTCGTGTATTGCCTATAGAATTATTCTGTTTAGCTTTAAAATGATTTCTTCAACCTTTTCTTACGCATAAAAAAGTGTTTGCTATTTACATATCTTCGAAATAAGAAAAAAAAGAAAAACATTATAATTCTGCTTTTTCCACAGCCCAATCCAACAAAGAAGAAATAACGTATTCTTGAAGACCTACAATTCTGCTTTTACATAAGGCCCATTAACACGAAATTTGTAGTTTTAATTACTAGCAAAGAGTAGACAGAGTTTAGCTGTTTAGATAGAGTAGATTAGGGTTTAGAGACATCGATTATGAGAGGAACACGCAGCAAAAGGACCAAGACCGTGAACAAGATCAATCAACAAGCGTTGGAAGATGAAGAAAACTTTGTCCACATCCCTCTTGACTTAGTGATCGAGATTGTTGGTAGATTGCCTTCGAAATCCGTAGCGAGGTTTCTAGTAGTATCCAAGTCATGGGAAACGTTCATCCGAAGTCGAGATTTCATCACATCTTTTCCGTTTGGGTCTTCATCGTCGTCACAGCCTCGTCTCCTAATCACTTTGAGTCATTTAAATACCATAGAAAGACGCAAAACTCTAGACTTCTTCTCGTCGTCTTCTTCAGCAACGTCATCATTATCACGTTTTACATGTTCGTTTTCAACTCTTGAGCACAAAGTGTACCTTCCGCAGTTTGTTAATGGCTTTATAAGCCTTGGATATGGCGAAGAGAAAATCATTTTCAATACCACTACTGGTAAGTCAATAACTTACCTAAAGTCGTAACGAAGACAGTGATCGTCCGAACTTATTTCGGGTGTGATCCGGTCAATGATCAATACAAAGTATTGTGCTTGACGGAAATATTTGATTATAAAGTATTCACACTCGGAGAAAGAGAATCATGGAGAGAGATAGATTGTAGCATTCCTCACTGCCCTAGGTCTAATAACGGTTTGTGCATAAATGGTGTTTTGTATTATCTTGCTCTAACCGGGAAGGGATTAATGGAAAGGAGCTTAATGAGATTTGATGTGAGGTCTGAAAAGTTGGATCTTTCTGTATATATTAAAGCTTTATCTGTATATGCTTTGATAAAGTACGAGGGGAAAGTAGCCATAACGAAAAAAGGTTTAGTATACCCATTACCCACGTTTATTGTGTGGGTTATGGAAGAAGATGGATGGTTGAAGACAAGTTTCAGTATCGAACCTTAGAGTCTACAAATGAATGATATACAGATAACAGGCACTACTCATATGGGTGAGATTATTTTGGCACCCTACCGTGCTACTGGAGCGTTTTATGTTTTCTTTTATAATCCCAATAAAAATAGTTTTAGAAACATGAAGATTCAACTAAACTTAGACGATGGCTTTGAATGGATGTACAGAAATAATGCAGAGAAAGTACAGTCCAATCCAAAAGCAGGCCCACCTGTATATGACAGCCAATCACATTTTTTTGTGAAAAACAACAATAATATAGTACACTTACCTATCACACTCCATGCAGTCAAAAGCATTTTTAAAAGTTGGACTGCAAGGAGGTGAGCTCTACGAACCTGTTCACCCAATGCATGTAGCATTTTCAAATTTTTTTTATTTCTTTTTTTTTTTTTTTTTTTCTATATTTCCTATTCTTCTATAAAACCAAGAACTCTCCTCGTTCCTCATTCACTTTTAAACAAACAAAACAGCAAATCCTCTCAAGTTTTTTTTTTATATCAAGATTCTCTCAAATATAAATGTATGAACTCATTTCCTTTTTATTTATTTCTGTAACAATTTTGTTTCACAACAATTTTATTATTAAGTAACATATTTAATACAAAGATTTTGCATAGTTTCTATTTTATCTAGAGAAATATATTTATCTGGAGAAAATATATTTATTTATTTTACATTCATGAAACTTCTATAATTGTTTGCAACAACTATATAGTTTCATTTTGATTTTCAACAACAACTACTACATATCATAGAGAAAATTATGCATGTTGACTCATGCATCAGTTTTAAAGATATAACCTCATTACAAAACAATTATTAGACTAATAGATGTATCATATATTGAACTCATGGATGCTATTTTATTATCTATATTTTAACTATTAATATTTATATACTTATATATATAGTTATTGTTTCGTTTAAAAAAAAAATGTATAGTTATTTTATATTTATTTGATATTTAGAACTATAATATATATGAATTTTATTCGTTCTATATATACACATGCATTTTGGTTATCACATTTTGTTTAATTGGAAATTTATATTTGGGAAATCAATTAATTTCAGGCTGTCTTTTATATCCACCACAAGGATTCTCAAATCTAAGGTATGTTTATTTTATTATTTTATGATATTTACAACTATAATATATAACACAGAAAATTTTCATTTGTTCTTTATATGCACATGCATGATGGTGATAGTATTTAATTTAATTATTTTATTTTATTTTAATCAATTTTTTTTCAGGTTGTCTTCTACATCCACCAGAAAAAGTCTCAATTTAAGGTGTGTTTATTATTTCCAATTTTGTTATTATGAGATAGTTGTGATTTTTTTTTTAATTTCTACTAAATTATTTACTAGCTGTATTTTAAATTAGTTATGTTTTCTAAAATGATATGAAATCTTTAATATATGAAAATATAAGTATTTTAGGTTTATGTGTAGTACATCCTCTTCAGCATTTTAAATTGGTAGTTTTAGTATTTTTAGTTACAATTAATAATTTAATAAGATAATACAATAATATTTTAACATATATTTTTTAAACACTGATAGAGAAATTATAATATATTCACAATTTTATATTTATTTAACCATTTCATTTCATTGAATGTAGATTTGTCATATATTATAAAGTAAATTAACTCTAATTTTAGAGTTTTTGACCATGTAATTAAATTTGTCAACCACTAACATTAATTTATTAGCTCCTTTAACTAATATTTTATGAAAACAAAGAAAGTCATACTCACATATTAGTATTTATCAAGGCTAATTGAAATTATTATATTATTTAAAGTTTTGTAACATGTTCATATGATAAATTTATGCAAGTTAATAAACTTACATATGTTAACATAAAATTCTTGTGTAAACGTAAACTATTTTACGAAATTTTATATAACTTTTATTTTATTTTCCTTTATTCATTCAAAACAATTATTATTTTCAATTTTGTAGATATGGCGTTAAATCGACAAAACAGAAATTCTTCTCGGCAGTCAGATTTGATTCATCATAGCGAAATATCAATACGGGTAAATATTTTATACTTGCATTTTCAAGAGTTTATAGTTTAGTTGAAGTTTAAATGAATAATACCTTTTACAATTTTTGAAAATTTTAGAATGATGAGGATCTGAATTGGACTCATAGGCGAGAAAGAGTATTTATTGAGTTGTACGATCAAGCTCTTGCCATGAACAATTACCGTTTAAAAGACCCTACTCCAACTGGTAAAGAATTTGTCGTTGAAAAATTCAATGAGGAGTTCAATCTTCATATAGATTACAAGTTTTTCAGAAAAAAACTTGATCTAATGAAACGAAAATATAAAAAGTATTTGGGTCTTATACAAAATTCTACGGGCATCTCAGTTGATCCTGTTACATCTCTGATATCTGCATCAGACTCATGGTGGAAAGATCGTGAAGTAAGTACTTTTCATCTTTTCACACCTAAAATTTGTTAAGTAACCATACAAATATGAAAATTTTGTTAACTAAAAAATTATATAAATTTGTTGACAGTATGTAAAATTATAAGATCATTTCATAGACAACCTCTAGAATTTTGGGATATTATGCAACGTTGCTTCAAGTTATACGATGTCCACTCGCAATCCCAATATTCTGTGAGCCAACGAAGAGAAGAAATAGAGCGTAGTCAATGCTGAAGATTTTGTGGATTCAGAAACATACGAAGAAGATACATTAGAAACTCAAGTTCCACAAACACAAGAAAATGAAGATGTGTATCGAGTTAACATTGACGATCCGACACGTCCTTCAAATGAGTTTACTCGTGAAACCATGCATCAAAATTCTCCACCGGTCAATCCATTTCGAAATCCTGCTTCCAGAACGCCACAAAGGAAGATTAAGACGTGAGAGTGCTACAAACACAGTTGCAGGAAGCTCCAAAACTACTTCACGAGGAAATCGTAAAAAACAGTCATTTCAGGCAACTCTAATAGATACAATGGTTGGGTTCAGAGAGTTTCAACGCCAAAGCTTACAACAAATGCGCCCAAATTCTTTTGATCAAGAGGATTATGATGAATACGACAAGGCTGTCAAGATGTTTGAATCACTGGAGGTTCAGAAGAACACTGGATTTTATTGGGCATGCTTACAATCATTGAAAGATGAAAGATTTTGGCGAAGACATTTCATTGACAGAGCTGAAAACACTGTCAAAGATAAGCTACAATTTTTGCAAGCTTTGAGTGGATATACACAAGACGGCGAATTTGTTGGAAAAAAACTTGTCTCAGGTCAAAACAGCGGAAGTCCAAATTTTGGTGGTTTTGTTTCTAATAGTCCACCTTTCGGCGGTAATAATTCGTGGGGTCAAACTTCAGGTGGACAATGGGGTTATGGTTCTCATCACTTGGGTACACCTCCAAATCTTCAACAATGGGGTACTCCTCCAAATGCTCAACAGTGGGGTACTCCTCCAAATGCTCAACAGTGGGGTACACCTTCAAATGCTCAACGATGGGGTACTCCTCCAAATGCTCAACAATGGGGTACACCTCCGAATCCTCTACAGTGGGGTACTCCTCCAAATACTCAACAGTGGGGTTCATCATCAAATATTCCACAATGGGGCCCTACATCAAATGTTCAGCAATAGGGTTCATCATCGAGTGGTCCACAAAGAAACACCCCTCCAAATGCTCAGTAATGGGGTTCATCATTACATGGTCCACAATGGAGTTCACCGCAAAATGCTCAGCCATGGGGTTCATCTTCGAATGCTCAATGGGGGTCATCAACTAATTCTGGTCAATGGGATTTATCACCAAACAACCAACGATGCGACTTATCACCAAATGGTGAACGTTGGATTCCTCAGACAAACATTCAACATAGATTTTCATTAAGAAATGAAGTAGAAACTACAATGAGTGGTGAGCTAGGAGTTTCAAAAGAAGCAGAAGTTCGTATTTCCGAAAACATTCAGAGAGGAGTATCACCAGAATTTGGTTTCACGGATTATTCAGGAGGTGCAGAAATACACGGAGCAAGAACGCGTAGATTGGGAGGGTTATTCAATATTTGGGGAAATAAACAAGGGCCAAACTTAAATGAGAGTCATCACACTGATTCAGGAGCTGAAGATTAGTTTAGTAGCGCTTATATTTTGTCATTAGCAGTTATGAAAAAATAATGTAATATTTTTATAATATTGAATATCAGTTACTCACTTTGTTTCTTATTATTTGATGTTTTTGATTTTTTATGGTGTTTCTTATTATTTGATTTTGTTAGATTATTCAATGTACTTTTTGACAATAAATGCAACAAAATGTTCCTTATTATTGGTTGATAGCTATTTTAAAAAAAAGTAATACATCAAAAGTGAAGCATTAATTGTTTCTTAATCAATATGAATACTCTAAACATCAAATAATAAGGAACGGAAGGAGTATGTTTTTGTGAACATTGTACATTTTTCTTGTCAATTGGATTTACAATTTCTCTTGTTTTTACAATTTTTCAGGCTTTTCGTATATGTGAGTTACGGTCATATGGTCTCCACAATCTAAGTTACGAGGAGAGAATTGAGTTGTGGAATTTGGAAAATGAGCAATTTGAAGAATTAATAATCCAACCATCATTAAGTTACTACAATCGATATATTGAAAGAGGGCCGGTCCAAACTGATGGAGGTTTGAGATGGAGAAATATTTGGCGTCGATTACAGGAAGATGATGCTGCTTGTCTTCAATTATTACGGATGTCGATTGGTGCTTTCAGAACATTATGCGATAAACTGGAAACGAGTTATGGTCTACAACCAACATTGAATGTAGGCATTGAAGAGAGCGTCGCCATGTTTCTACGGATATGTGGGCATAACGAAGTTCAAAGAGATGTTGGATTAAGATTTGGACGAACACAAGAGACAGTAAATAAAAAGTTTTTTGAAGTGCTAAAAGCGACAGAGTTTCTTGCTTGTGATTATATTAGAACTCCAACAACACAAGAACTACGACGGATTCCTGAACGGCTAGTAACAGATAAAAGACATTGGCCATATTTTAGTGGATTTGTTGGCGCCATGGATGGAGTTCATGTCTACGTTAAAGTGAAGCCTGAAGTACAAGGAATGTATTGGAACTGGCACAATATAACATCATTTAATATAATGGCGATATGTGATCTAAATATGTTATTCACATATATTTGGAATGGAGCACCTGGTTCATGTCATGATACCGCAGTTCTCACAGTGGCGCAAGAAAGTGATGGTGATTTTCCTTTACCTCCGCCAGAAAAGTATTACCTAGTCGATTCGGGTTATCCAAATAAACAAGGTTTTTTGGCTCCTTATAGATCTTCACGAAATGTGGTTGTTCGGTATCATATGTCACAGTTCGAAAGTGGTCCTTCTCCTAGAAACAAGCAAAAGTTGTTTAATCGATACCATGCATCTTTACGCTCTGTTATTGAAAGGACTTTTGGAGTTTGGAAAAAGAAATGGAGGTGCAAAAAAGAGTGGTAATGGCGACAATGGGACTACATAATTTTATTAGAGTTTCAAATTTTTCAGATGAAGATTTTGCTGATGTAATGGGAGAAACAGAGACTGACAACACAAACTCTTTGGTAGAACTAGGTGATATGGCAGAAGCGGAAATAGGAGAAGGAAATTTTATGAATAATATCAGAGAGCATATTGCAAATACATTATGGGCAGATAAAAACACTCCACATTAAATTTTGTTCAATGTTGTAATGAATTTTAAATTGAAGTTGTATTTGAAGTTTTCTATAATTGGTTATTTAAAAAAATGTTACATACTTATTTGTTTTTTTTTTGTTTTTGTCTTTTTTTTTTATCAAATATTTAAAATATTTTTAGAATTATTTCATCTGTTTATTTAGCATGAACTGTATTTATTTTGTATATTTTAAATGAACTGTATTTTTTCTGTGTGAACTGCATATTTTCTTTGAACTGTAAATTTTGGACTGGATCCCATTTGAAGCCATAGTCGTTTAGAACTTTTTTTTTAGAAATTTCATGATTTGATACCAATTATAATGTTTTATTAAGATTTGCGTTGATTAGTCTTTTGACCGAAAATTAACATCATCACTTTGTTGCCCAAACTAGTTTGATTTGTCTGTTTGCTATCTTCGCACTTCAAGTTATGTCTACTATCTCGATCATTATACTCTTTGAGACTCCGAATCAGGCAGGAGACTACTTATGATGTTATAATAAAAGC